TTCTACGGTAATGGTAGATTTGGAAGATGGTATTGGGAACAAGCATGAACTTAGGGCTTTGCTTGATTGTGGATCTCAATCTTCATTCATGACCTTGGGCGTTAGAGAAAGGTTAGGGCTACCATTAAAGAAAATGGACATGAAAATTTTGGGTATAGGAAGTGGGGTTACCCATATAAATAAATATGTGCATGCTACGGTATTTTCGAAATATTGTGATTATACATTTAGGGAACCATTTTTGATAATCGAAAATATATCAAACAACATTCCGGCAGTATCTATTAAACAAAATGTGATTAATATTCCAGAAGGTATTAAATTAGGGGATAGGAACTATGGGACTGCGGCAAAGGTGGATTTGTTGATAGGGGCTAGCGTGTTTTGGGATTTATTGGAAACAGGTAGAATTAAATTAGGTACTGGTAAAACAATAATTCAGGAAACGAAGTTAGGTTGGATAGTATCAGGACCTGTACCTAAGTATAATTTTAACCAAGGTTTAGGGCCGAAAACAGGAACATGTAATTTAGCGGCAAATGTTACTATTCAGGAGCAGTTAGAAACCTTTTGGGTTTTGGAGGAGTATCCTAAGGAAAAGAGATTATCTGCTGAGGAAGAAGAGTGTGAAAAGGAGTTTTTGAGTAACACTACTAGAGACGATACGGGTAGGTTTGTTGTTGCATTGCCCTTTAAGAACGGAGTAACTAGGTTGGGTAAATCTTACGAAATCGCAAAAAAACGGTTACATCACATGGAGAGAAGGTTGGAGAAAGACGAAATGATGAAAAGGGAATATCATAGCTTTATCGAAGAATATTTAAGGTTAGGTCACATGTCTAAATTGGGAACTGAATCCGAGAAAGGCTTAGAGGGTAAGATGGCAGAAGACTTACTTGAGGGTATTCAGTATAAGGAAGGTAAAATATGTTATTTGCCACATCATGGGGTGTACAAGGGGACATCTAGTACCACCAAACTTCGTGTGGTTTTCGATGCTAGTGCAGCTACTAGCAATGGTGCTTCCCTAAACAATAGGTTATTGGTGGGTCCTAAGTTACAGGATGATATTTTTTGGACTTTAACTCGTTTTAGGCAGCATGAGGTGGTTATTACAGGGGATATTGCAAAGATGTATAGGCAGGTGTGGATCAAGGAAGAGCAGAGAGATTACCAAAGAATCTTGTGGCGATTTAATTCTAACCTACCTATAGAGCATTTTAAATTAAACACGATCACGTATGGGATGGCAAGTGCATCGTATTTAGCTGTCAGGTGTCTTCAGCAATTGGGTAAAGAAAATCAGCTGAAGTATCCTAAGGCAGGGGAAGCTATTTTACGTGATTTTTACATGGACGACTTCTTGTCGGGGGCGGAGTCGATAGAGGCAGCTATAAAATTAAGGCAAGAAGTCAGTAGCATCTTAGCAACTGGGGGCTTCCATCTTAGGAAATGGAGGTCTAATCGGAAGGAAACGATAATCGATGAAATTCATGATGACGATATGGATCATTACTTGGCTAAAGAGGAAGATAGTTCAAGGACGTTGGGATTGCTTTGGGATTCAAATAGGGATAAATTACATTTTGAAATAAACGCGAGAAAATTATCAGAGACGGAACAGAATAAGTCGGGAATATTAAGCAAAAGAATAATTTTATCTTGTGTTGCACAAGTGTTTGATCCCCTGGGACTTATAGGACCGATTATAGTTAGGGCAAAATTGTTGCTACAGTCCTTGTGGAAGTCTAAGGTAAATTGGGATGAAGAGGTACCCTCAGGAATAGGCTTAGCATGGACTAATTTCAAAGAGCAATTAGAATCTCTAGGAGACTTACATATTGACAGGCAGATATTTTGTTCCGATCCTGTGGAGATAGAGCTCGACTGCTTCTGCGACGCAAGCAACCTTGCGTATGGTGCTTGTATCTACGCTAGGTCCAAGAATAGAGCAGGGGAATATTGGCTACATTTAATATGTGCAAAATCTAGGATTGCTCCGTTGAAAGTAGTTTCGCTTCCTCGTCTTGAATTATGTGGAGCATTATTGGGGGCTAGATTATGCAATGCAGTAGTTGAGGCTTTGGGGTTGCAAAATAGTAAGGTTCGGCTTTGGTGTGATTCCACTATAGTATTGTGTTGGTTAGCAGGCGAACCTATAGAATGGAATACCTTTGTGGCTAATCGTACTACTGAAATTCAGGAGTTGTCTAAAGGACGTAAATGGAGGCATGTTAGGTCACAAGACAACCCCGCGGATATAATATCCAGAGGTATGGATGTGGGCTTGTTAAAACGTAGTGATTTGTGGTGGCACGGGCCAAAGTGGCTTTCACAAAATGAAGAAAACTGGCCACAAAATGGGTATGAGGTAGCAGAGATTCCAGAGAGGCGGGCAATGAAAAAATGTTTCGTGTCGACAATTTCAATAGAAATCTTAGAGCGTTATTCTTGTTGGGTAAAATTATTGGGGGTGACTGGGTTTTGTTTACGATTTATGGAAAATTGTCGAAAGGGAAAGGGACTTAGAAAGATAGGCTCATTAACGGTTGAAGAAAGACAAAGGGCTCTAGAAATTTTAGTACGGTTATCTCAGAAACAACATTTTGAGACTGAAATTCGTTGTCTAAAAAATTCTAAAGGTTTGCCAAAGTCCAGTAAACTCATATCGCTTAATCCATTTTTAGACGAACTAGGAATATTAAGGGTTGGGGGTCGTCTAGCTAAATCGGAATTAAGCTTTGAACAAAGTCACCCGATAATTTTATCAGAGAAAAGTCACTTGACTATTTTGTTAATAAGACACGAACATTATAAAATGCTACATGCAGGCGCGCAAGCATTACTTGCAAATATTCGGTTAGCGTTTTGGCCTATAGGTGGAAGACGCACAGTCAGATCGGTTTTAAGAAAATGTATAGTGTGCTACAGGGTAAAGCCACGGGTGGCAAAGCAATTAATGGGAAATTTACCTAGAGCGCGAGTTACGCCGTCTAGGCCCTTTAGTCATTGTGGGATTGATTTTTGTGGACCCTTTGAAACAAAGGTGCAAAAGGTAAGGGGTGCAGTGACTAAGAAGACTTATTTATGCGTATTTATTTGCTTCGCCACTCATGCAGTACATCTTGAATTGGTAGAAGACCTGACAACACAGGCATTTTTAAATAGTTTTAAACGTTTTATCGCGAGAAGGGGATTATGTAGTGATTTGTATTCCGATAATGGTACCAATTTTGTGGGGGCCAATAACGAAATACAAAAATTATTAGAATTTTTTCGAAATGATGACAGACAAAATAAGCTTACGGATTTCTTTTCGAAAATGTTCATCCGATGGCATTTCATACCACCAAGGTCACCGCATTTTGGTGGATTGTGGGAGTCGGCGATAAAATCCGCTAAGTTTCATATAAGGAGGGTGGTGGGAGAGCAAATACTTTCCTTTGAGGAATTATATACGGTTGCAACTCAGATAGAGTCTTGTATGAACTCCCGTCCATTGCTTCCTTTATCCGAAGACCCTTCAGACCTAAATGTTTTGACACCTGGACACTTTTTGGTGGGATCTGCATTGACTGCTCTTCCACATGAAGATCTGGTGAATGTTAAACAAAACAGACTGAAACGGTATCAGTTATTAACTCAGATGATTCAAGGATTTTGGAGTAGGTGGTCCAAGGAGTATATTACCACGCTGCAACAAAGAAATAAATGGAGGATACCTGAGGACAACGTGCAAGTAGGTGCTTTGGTACTGTTGAAGGACGATGACTTGCCTCCGTTAAAATGGTTACTGGGCAGAGTTATTGACATTCACACCGGGAGTGATGGACAATGTCGCGTTGTGACAGTGAAAACTTCTACGGGAGTGTTTAAAAGAGCAATAGCGAAATTGTGTATAATACCCATAGAAATCGAGTAATATTCGAGAAACTTGACTTTACATTTGTGTTTTTTTTTATATATATATATATATATATACAGTCCACTGTTTTTTTTTGTGATTATTTTGTATTTGTATTGGGTTATTTGTAATATTTTTTATTGAATGACAAGCATTCAAGGGGGCGGCATGTTAAGTCTTATTGTTTTAGACTTTATTTTAAAACCGGCAACGCCGCACACATATGGCATATTCTTTGCGCCTTGTTCTAAAAGGCATAGGGTACTTAAGATTGTATAAAAATTGGAGCGAAGGGTGCAACGTTGACCGGCAAAAGGTTCAGTGTGTTAGTTTTGTATTTTTTCTATTACATTAAATTCGTATAAAAACCATAAAGCAGTTTTTTTTGGGTTATTAAAAGTGCAATCAAACACTTAGTGCCTCAAAATCCAGGACTGACCAGCTTTTAATTCTTCTGGATAGATCCGTTGTACAGAAGGAAATGTCTATAATAGAGCTTTGTTCTCTCCTAACAAATGTTGGTGTCGTGCCCGTGTTCAGAATGACCAGCTGCTGGGCCATCATACAATCAGCCAGGAATTCTCCTCGCCTGTCCTGTCGTCCAGCTCCCCATAGGGTTGACTTGGAGTTGAAATCCCCAACAACCAGCACTTCTCCTTCCTCACCCTTTATGTCGTCCATCAGCCGTTCCACGAATTCCCTGTATATTTCAAAGCTGACATTAAGGGAAATATAACAATTAAAAAGTGTCCATTTAAGCATACGCAGTTTTGTGTATCCCTTATTACATTTGTGTATTACTGCATCACAGTTCCTGTTTTTGCAGAAGACAGCCGTGTCCCCTTCCTCATCCACAATCCATCTACGATCACTACTAACCAGAGCTCTGTTGGGCTCCTGTGTTGCGATTATGTCACAGTCCAGAGAGTCTGCTGTGGCGCGTGCAAGGTCCTGTGCCTTACTTCTCCTGTCCACATTTATCTGCAAGACCTTTATTGTCATTTTTATAAATATATGTACAGTATGTGTAAACTACCTCTAGATAAAAACTATAACAGAACAACTATGTACAATTAAAATATATCACAGGTACGTATCACCGGGTACTAAACCTTCTTTCACCTTTTCTTACCGCATCCCTGAATACTGGGCACTTGAAGCTAGCGTTTCTGTGACCATCTGTTTTGCAGGTCCAGCAATATGTTTTGGTCTCCTTACACTCGGCGGCTTTATGCCCTTCGCCTCCACATTTCCTGCACTTTTCCCCCATCGGGGGCTCCTTACAATATCTAGCTATATGGTTGATGCTTCCACAGCTGTAGCATCTATTCACTTCTACCCTTTCTTTTAGTCTACACTGGGTCCATCCTATCCTAATACTTCGTTCCTTTATTAGCTTAGCTGCCGCCTCCTCTTCCATGTCTACCGTTGCCGCCTGCCGGCCACCCTCCATAGGCCTTAACGATCTGACCTCAGCTGTGCCCTCGCCCGTAAGCGACTCCACCGCACTTACTATATCCTCGGCCGTTGTCACCGCGTCTACGTCATATATGTGTAGCACCGTTTTTTTCCCCTTAAGTATTTTTACATTTGCTCCACAGATATTTTTGTCAATCTCCTTCTTTAGTGCATTTATGCTCTCTTCGTTCTCCAATTCAACTATCATGTCTCCTGTTCTAGTCTTCCTGATAGCCTTAATCCCTTCCGGTACCCTATCTCCTTTTATTTTTGATTTCAGGTCTCTCAGAATATCCTCATATGCCTTCTCCTTATTTGTAATAATGATAGCTGGCGCTTTCTGCTTCTTGCTTCTCGTTATAGCAGCCCATTTCTCCCCCTCCTCCACCAGTTGCATGTCCATATCAAAGAGTATTATCTCCTCTACCGCACCCCTGAGGGCACACTCCACCATCTTGCGGAACCTTACGTTTACCACTCTGGGGCCGGCCATAATTGCAATCTTGTCGGTTTCTCCCTTCTTCACTTATAGCCCTCAGTAATCTATAATCTTCTTCCTCCTGTAGACTTACTCCTGCTAAGTGGATTGCCCTACCGACATTTTTGGTCAACGATTTCCCATCCAGTACCAGTTTTTTTTTGGTCTTGTAGCTTCGCCATACATCCCTTCTTTATCTTTTTCATCTGGATTACCTCTCTGATTGCTTGGTGTCCTGCGATATTTAGGTTCCTATTATCCCCCTCGGTATCGAATAACACCACCGTGTCAGCGTCGCCTGGCAATGAGGTGGGGTTTCCTCTATATACCTTCGTCTGGTATGCCTCCTTTGCCCACTCCTGGTCACACAGTTGTCTAGTGCTCTCCCATGTGCCCTTTTCTCCTTCCTTGTCAACATCCTCTTTTGTCGCCTTTTCGCTGACCTGTGTAGCCATATCATTTGTCTGGACACCTATCACCGACTCCTCAGTTTGCGTTCCCATTTCGCAGGTTTCTGGCTTGTTCACTTTATTTTCGTGCTGCGGGACCCGTTCCGCAACCCTTTCCGTAAGACAGGCAAGTCTTCTCACCTCCCTTGCAACCTAACCTAACCTAACCTAACCTAACCTAACCTAACCTAACCTTTTTTTTTTTTTTTTTTTTTTTTTTGGGTGGGGAAAGCTCATAGCCGGCCTTCGGCGCTTGTGCCATCGTCGTCTATCGCGCCGAAGAGTGTGGGACTCAGGTGTTTGGAGTCCGCCACCTGCCTACCCTAACTAAAACCCCACCTCGGCACCACCAATGCCCCGGAATCGTCGGTTAGACATTCGTTCGGTGCATCGGTTGTTTTTGTCATTTTTTTTGGTTCTCTCTTGCTCATCCTCTCTCTCTTCTTTCATCCGTCTCCTTTCTCTCCATTACACTCCTGAAAAATGACCTTGTTGCCTGCCATCCCTCTCTTGTTCCGAGCATAATGTCTATAATATTTGCCGCTGTCGGGTTCCTTCCTGCTGTCAATGCCAGCTCCGTCCTTTCTCTTTCCCATCTGATACAATTAAACAAGGTGTGTTCAGGCGTGTCCGTATCGTCACAATATATACACTTGTCGTCATTTGTTTTTCCGATTTTTTTGGTAAAGGTTTTAAATGACCCATGTCCTGTCAAGGCTTGCGTTGTGTGGTAGTCGAGGACCCTATGTGTACATTTGTACCATGTCACGACGTCCGGAATCAGTGTCTTCGTCCATTGTGCCGTCCTGTTATGCTCTCTCCACTCATTTTGCCAGTTATTAAGGGACCTATTCCTCTCTTCTTGTCTTTCTCTTTCTCTCTGTTCCTTTGGTACATTTTTGAGGTTTTTTCGTTCTGTTACCATTAAGTGTATCGGGACAGTTCCGGTAATGACTTGGATTGCCTCCAGCGAGACTGTACGGTAGGCCGAGGCCACTCTCAATGCCGCTTTTCTCTGGGTGGTTTCCAGTATTTTCCTGTACGATCTTACATTGACTGCTCCGTGCCACACTGGTGCCCCATACAGCAGTATGGAATGCACTATGCCTAGGAGTAATTCTCGCTTTTTGCTCTGTGGGCCCCCGATGTTTGGCATAATTCTCGCTAGTTTGCTCGTCCTCTCGTTTGCTTTCCTTGCTGCCTCTTGGATGTGTGCTCCGAAGCTTCCGATATCATCTATAATTATTCCTAGGTATTTTACATGCCTTTTTGGGGCCACCACCGTTCCGAGTAATCTTACTCGCACTTCCTCCCTTTTTCGTTTCCACCAATGGCCTCTGAGGACTACCATTTCTGTTTTTTCGGGAGCCAGTTCCAGTTGCTTTCCAGTCATCCATGTAGTTATTGTCCTTAAAGCTTCGTTTGCCCGGTCTTGGAGGTCTCTAATGTTTTCCGCTCTGACCATCAGTGCCAGATCATCCGCAAAGCCTATTGTTTCGCACCCTTCTGGTAGTTGGATTTTCAATATCCCATCGTAGACGATGTTCCACAGGGTCGGTCCTAGTACCGATCCCTGTGGGACCCCTGCTGTTACCTCTAGGTTCTGCTTGCCTACCGCCAATTTTCGATCTTTGAAGTAATTTTTTGTTATATTTATAAGGTATCTAGATATTCCTCTTCTCTCTAGATCGTTGATTATATCGGCCCATATTACTGTATTAAACGCATTCCTTACATCTAGCGTAATCAAGATTAGCCATCTGCTCCCTTGTCTCCTAGCGGCGTTTACCCTTTCCACTGCTTGGACGGTTGATCTTCCCCGTCTGAAGCCATACTGACTGTCCGATAGATCTTCCCCGTTCTCCATTTCCGTTACCAGTCGATTTTTCACCATTCCCTCATATAATTTGCTCATTGTGTTCAATAGGCATAGCGGTCTATAGGTTACGGTGTCATCTGCTGCTTTTTTGGGTTTCGGTATTAGGACCAGTTTTGCTGTCTTCCATGATTCTGGAAATTCTTGGTTGCTAAGAAGTTTATTGAGATATGCCAGTAACATTTCTGGTTTGAATCGTCCAGCTTCTTTAATTGCCTCTGGTGGTATGCCATTTGGTCCTGGCGCTTTTCCAACCTTCATGTCGTTCAACGCTTCTCGCAGTTCCTCCTGTGAAAATGGAGTTATGTTTCTCTCGATAGTCGCTGTTCCTAGGTTGGTACAATTTCTGCTTGGGAAAAGCTGTCTGGCAATTTTGACTTTTTCATCTTCATTTAACTCAACGGGAGTCGATACGCATAATCTGCCCATGGCTATGCTATAGCCTTTCCCCCAGATGTCGTCTTCTAGTTCCGCGCAGACCTCCTGCCATTGTTTCCGTTTGGATTCTTTTATTGCGTTTTGTAGAATCTTTTTCGCTCTCTTATATTCTGCTGTTGTCCTCTCTATTATTAATTCCCCGTCATCCGTGCTTCTTGTCTTCCTTAATAGTTGTCTTCTTAGAGCTGTGCAATCCCTTCTCTTATTTTGGATTTCCTCTGTCCACCAGTAAGGCATTCTTTTTACTTCCCTTGTGTTATTTCTTTCAGTGCTTATTTTGAATGCTTCATTAATTATTTCTTCGCACTGGCGTGGCTCCCCTTGATTGCCCTCTGTCCTCCATTCAATCATGGTTCGGAATACGTTCCAGTTTATTTTTGTTTGTTTCTTCTCCAACTGCACTTGGTTTTTTCCGTGTTGTATTTCAAAGTAGATATAAGGGTGGTCGCTTAGGTTTTCTTCGTCTAGTACCTTCCAGTTTAATATTTTCCTTGCTATCTTTTTTGTAGAGCAGGTGACATCTTCGTACGATCTGCTATTTCCTCTAATGAATGTAGGCTTTCCCCCATTGTTGTGTACAACCATGTAAAGGGTTGCCAGCCATTCCATGAGATATTCGCCCCTAGCGTCTGTAGTTGGGGATTCCCATTGGGGTGATTTGGCATTCATGTCTCCCATTACGATAAATTCGCCTTTTGTGCTTTGTCCCTGTTCCATGATTTCATCTATTGTTCGCATGTATTGTACCATCTCTATGTTTGGAGATATATAGCAGCATATTAAATGACTGTGTTTTAGTTTTATAGATATGAATCTTTGTTTTCTCTGTACCTCTAATACCTCCACCTTCCTATTACGGAAGTACACCGCTACATCTGCATTGATGTCCTTCATCCACCTATTGCCCTTTGTTATGGCTTTGTTTGGTTCCCCGACCACTATTATGTCTATTTCTTCCTTGGCTGCCATCGCGTGTACTATGTCATGAGCAGGTCTGTGCCTGTTAAGGTTTTATGCATTGTTATAGTTTGGCGGTTTGGCTTCTACCGTCTCCATTTCTTCCTCTTCTTCGTCCTCTTTATTGTCGTTTATAGTTTTTGTTATATTTGATTGCGATCTTTGGTATACATGCCCGCTTTCCCTTCTTTCTCTTGTCCTTTCGGTCCTTAGTGCTGCTCTGAAGGCTGGGCATTTGTTTGTCCCGGCTCTATGTTTATTGTCTTCCTCACACAGAGGGCACTCCTCGACTTCGCAATCTTTGGCCTCGTGACCGTTTTTCCCGCATTTGAAGCAGTTTTTTCTGCGGTCTGGTCCCGTGCAGACATCCTGGGTGTGATCGTAAGACCAGCATTTCTGACATCTTTGTACCCTTAGTCTTTTTTCCATCCTGCACCTTGCTAATCCAATCCTTATATATGGCTGTTTGAGCAGTTCTTGGGCGTCCTCTTCTGTTACCATTATCGTTACCGCCTTCGTTTCGTCTTTGAGAGGTCTTATTTCGCTCACATATTGTTCATCATAGTTTTGCTTGCCTAGGACTGCCTGTATTCCTTCTATTATATTCTGTTTTGTAGTATCCGCCGTCATGCCTCTTATGTTTATAGCCACTCCTTGTTCTCTCATTTGTTTGGTTTTAAGGCCTGCCTTGCCCAGGAGATCATTTAGTTTTGTAAATTTTTCTTTTTCTCTTTCTGTGGTAACCAGAACCTTGCCGTCTTTTGTTGATCTTACAGTTCTTATCACTTTTTGTACTTCATCCTTTCCTATAGCTGCCTTTACCTTTTCTAGTACTTCCAGGTAGGTTTTCCCGCCTGTTTCCACTATCATTCCCATTGTTGTCCTTTCCTTCCTATGCTGGTTTTCCCTGGTAGTATATATTTCTACCTTAGCTTGTTCTCTTCTGAACACGCACTCCGCCATCTTCCTCAATCTTGTGAGGTCCATTTCCTTGAGGTGGTGTATTCTTATTTTTATTTCACCTTTATTTTTGTTTTCCTCCCTTATCCATTCCAGGTTTTTCCATAGGTCCTTTTCTTCCTCGATTGCCGTGAGTTTTATTACTTTCGTTGTGGTCATTGGTCTATTTTGAATCTTCGTGATGTTTTCCAGTGTTTCACTATCGTTCATGCTGGTTAGTTCTGGATACTTATCTCTGTATATCCGTTGTATGCTTTTCTCCATTTTTGGGTCGTCTCTTTCTAGCATTACTACTCTTATGGATTCTTCCCCATCTTGTACCGGATTTCCTACAATTATTTCTGTTTTTTCAAAGGCCCTTTCCGGCCATTTTTCCTTTGCTGCTTCGTTAAAGTCGCTCATTCCTGAGATTTTATCTATTACTTCTATAATATCATCTTCCCTGTTTGTTTGTGTTGCCATTTCCTTGGTAACTTTCTTACATTCTGTCTGTACGTCGACATCGTGTAATATTTTTTCTGGTGTCTCATATTTCCTATCCTGAAGCCATTTGGTGATTATATCTCTTTTGAAACTTATGGAGTTTTTTTTGAGTTTTGTTGCTGTTTCCTTAATTTTTCTCTGGGTGTTTGGGAATTCTTCAATTAGTTTGGTCAGCTCTGCCATAAGATTATATTGATGTTCTATTGCTTCCAGTATTATGAATACCTCCATAGACTCCTTTTTTTTGTATGGTTGTTCTTCGTTGTCCTGTATTAGGATTGATGTATCTTCCAGTTTCCTCTTTCTTTGGTCATCTACAGTTCTATATTTCCTAATCTCTTCTCCTAGTGAGTGTATTCTACCTCTTATCGGTACCCTGGAGCTGTTTTGTACTCCACTCAGGCGTTCTATGAGCGTTTGTTCGCTCGCGTCCATCGAAGCCTTGCCCCCCCCAGAATCCGTGGGGCAGTCCTCTTTCGAGGAGAGGGATTCTGGACCATCGGTCCTACCCTCCTGGGGTATTATATTTTGAGTATTCGACATCATCATTCCTTTCGATTGGTTTTCTGTCAGGGTTTTCCTTCCCTTAGCCGAGGGGTCTCCGTTATTTGATGGCGCCGAGAACCCGCCATTTGCCCTCCCTATCTGGGTAAGGACTTGCCAGTTTGCTTTGGTTAGCTGGGCTTAATGTTCTTGAAACTGGCATTTACTGGTGTCACTTTATCGGCATAAATGACCCCGCCAGTGCTCCACTGACCGTTTTTTGGGCTGTTTCTCGGTTTCGCTACCCGTTCTCGTCCCCGGAAGGCTTGAGAACAGGGAGCTACTTAACCCCTCCACCAACGGTAAGGTGTTACAGCCCCTAGGAGGGGAACCTAACCTAACCTAACCTAACCTAACCTAACCTAACCTAACCTAACCTAACCTAACCTAACCTAACCTAACCTAACCTAACCTAACCTAACCTAACCTAACCTAACCTAACCTAACCTAACCTAACCTAACCTAACCTAACCTAACCTAACCTAACCTAACCTAACCTAACCTAACCTAACCTAACCTAACCTAACCTAACCTAACCTAACCTAACCTAACCTAACCTAACCTAACCTAACCTAACCTAACCTAACCTAACCTAACCTAACCTAACCTAACCTAACCTAACCTAACTTAACCTAACCTAACCTAACCTAACAACCTAACCTAACCTAACCTAACCTAACCTAACCTAACCTAACCTAACTTTTTTTTTTGGGTGAAGGGGAAACCGCTTGGCCCCGGACATTTGGATCTTATATGACCGGTAGTGTCGGGCGCTACTCCGACTAACACCCCTCCTGTCTTCTTGTTTTATCTCGCTGCGGAGTCAATGGTAAGATCAGTGTGACAACCAACATTGACCTCACAGCACCTGGCATTTTATGCATTTCTTGCTCTCTCTTCCTCTTGGAAGATTCGCTCCTCGCTCTCTTTTTCCTGTATTATTCGTGTGATGATACTCTCTAGTTGTACGAAGTTTCCTTTTGATCTTATCATGTATTCTATTATGTTATCTACGTTTATTCTGTTGTCCATCAGAAGCCTTTCATTTTGCCATCGTACGCACGAGAAAATGGTGTGTTCCACAGTATCTATTTCTTCACAGTAGTAGCATATATTGCTGGCTTTTTTCTTAATTTTATTTGTATATGCTCCAAAACATCCGTGTCCACTCAGAAATTGGGTTAGGTAGTAATTGGTATACTTATGTTTGCAGCTTACCCAGGCCTCTAGATTTGGGATTAACCGCTTCGTCCTTTGCCCTTTTGTGTTGTTTTGGTCCCATCTGTCTTGCCATCTATTTAGTGTACTGATTCTTTCGTTTAGTCTTCCTTGTTCACTGTTGTTATGGTTAGTTATTTTGCACCTTTCTTCGGCAAGTAGATCTACGGGGATAATTCCTGCAATTGCGTATGTGGCTTCTCTTGAGATGGTCTTATATCCCATAATTACTCTTAACACCATTTTTCGGTGTGCTCCAACAAACTTATCCCTATACTTTTGGACACTCAAAACTTCTGCCCACACTTCTGCTCCATATAGCAATATGGATTGGGCTACATTACTGTAGACTCTCCTCTTATAGCTCCCTGGACCATTTAGGTTCGGAAGAATCCTTGTCAGTGGGCTGACCATCTTGGTGGTTTTCTCCACTGTCCTATTTATGTGGTTCCTAAAGGTTCCGCCCTTGTCAATCCAGATACCTAGGTACTTTAGGCTGTTTTTGGCCTCTATTCTGGTTTCCCCAATGTTGAAAATTACTCCTGACTTATCCCTCTTTCCCTTAATTACAACAGCTTCTGTTTTGTGTACAGCCAATTCCAATTTATTCTTGCTCACCCAGTATCTTATCTCTTCCAGAGCCTCGTTTCCATTGTATATTAGGTTTTCTCTGTCCTTCGCTGTAACCACCAAAGCTAGGTCATCCGCATATGCTATAGTAAAACCGTCGTCCGGTATTTCAATCTCCAGAACAGGATTAAACATAACATTCCACAGAGTAGGTCCCAATACAGAGCCTTGAGGCACTCCTTGCGTTATATCCATGATGTTTCCCTCTATGACAATCTTTCTGGTTGAGAAGTAGTTTTGTACCAGATCAATAAGGTATTGTGATATCTGCAGAGTTCTTAATCTTTCTATTATATTTTTCCATGATGCGGTGTTAAATGCATTTTTAATATCTAATGTGATAATTGCTGCCCATGTGTTCCTTTCACTGTTTCTCACCCTCTTTATAATCTCTCCTACTGCCATTGGAGCGGATCTGCCTTTTCTAAATCCAAACTGTCTGTCTGATATCCCATGTTTGGCTTTTGATGATTTGTTCATATATTTTCCCCATTACGCTTATGAGGCAAATTGGTCTGTATTTTTGCTCTTCAGGGGTATTTGCTATTTCCTTTGGAATAAGAATTACCTTTGCTTTTTGAAAGTCTGTTGGGAACATTTTTTCTACCATTAGGTTGTTTAGAATTCTCATCATATTCCGAGGGCTGTACTTAGTAAATATTTTTACTGTTTCTGGTAGCAGGCCATCTAGTCCTGGGGCTTTGTCCTCTTTTAACTTGTCTGTTGCTTCCTTTAGTTCTTCAATAGATATTTCTGGGCCATTTTTTTCAGGGTATATTCTTTCTCCTATTGTTTCTCTGCTCATCTGGAATAATTCTCTGGTAATTTCAATCTTTCTCTCTTTTGTAATTTGGAAGGGGGACGTGTTGTTTTTAAATTTCTTTGTAACGATTCTGTAGCCGGTTCCCCAGTAATCGTTTTCTAATTCTTCACATATGGACCTCCAGTGTTCTTTCTTGGAATTTCTTATCTTATTTTTGTATTCTTTTTTTGAGCTCTTGAAGAATTCCTCCAGCACGTCTAGTTGTCTTTCATCTCTTTCTCTCCTGCCTCTTTCTCGCACCAGTGCCCTTCTTGCTTCGTTACAACGTTTCCTTGATGTCTCTATGTCTTCGTTATACCAGTACGGTTGATTCTTTCTTCCCCTCCTGGTTCCAATTGTGCATTTATCTTGTATTTCTTTTAGTTTTCTTACCATTCTTCTGTGTCCCAGGTTTTCAAATTGTTCCATATCCTTTTGCACTTCCTCTTCCAGTTTTGTTTTGTTTATCTTCCTTCCGGTCCATTCCATGTTCCCACTTCTTGTTTTTCCCATGTTTACCTCGAAATAAATAAACTTGTGCAAGCTGAAGGACTCTTCTTCCAAGACTTTCCAATTTTTGATTTTTCCTGCAATTTTATTTGTGGAAAAGGTTACGTCTATATGTGAAATGCTTTTTCCCCTTACAAAGGTTGGTGCTTCCCCGGTGTTATGCACTGCGAGGTCCTTGGCCTCTATCCATTCCTCCCAATACAAACCCCTTTCGTTCGCGGTTGGTGACCCCCACATGGGGGACTTTGCGTTTATATCTCCCACTATCAGGAATTCTTTTGTTCTGTCAATGTTCTCGACAATTTGGTCTACCTTTGTCCTGTATTCAGCCATTGTTATGTTTGGTGAGATGTAGCATCCCATCAAGACAAAATTCTCAAAATCCATCCTTAGATAACCCCTCTCTCTTATGACCTTTTTTACTGCCATCTTTTTGTTCCAGATTCTGATTGCCACGTCTTTATTTTGGTCCGTTACCCATATATTTTTGTTTGATTTGCTTTTATTTGGCTCAAGCATTACTAGAATGTCAATTTCTTCTCTCCTGCATTTTGCGTCTGTCACGTCATGTGCCACGTGTGCTCGACCTCCGTTTATTTGTAGAATTCTCATTTTCTTGGATTTTCTGTGTTATATTATATAGGTATATAAGTAGAGAGTATATGTATAGGTGTAAGGATAAGATAAAAGTAGTGGTTACTGGCTCGCGTGTGTCATTACTAGGGGCCCCTTTGGGAGTTCTGTCATTTCCATTGACTCTGTGCCATCCTCTTTTGTGATGCTTGCATTTTCTGTTTTCTTTATTTGTCTCGGATTGTTGTAGTTATAGTGTGTCCCTCTATTATCTCTTCTAACCTAACCTAACCTAACCTAACCTAACCTAACCTAACCTAACCTAACCTAACCTAACCTAACCTAACCTAACCTAACCTAACCTAACCTAACCTAACCTAACCTAACCTAACCTAACCTAACCTAACCTAACCTAACCTAACCTAACCTAACCTAACCTAACCTAACCTAACCTAACCTAACCTAACCTAACCTAACCTAACCTAACCTAACCTAACCTAACCTAACCTAACCTAACCTAACCTAACCTAACCTAACCTAACCTAACCTAACCTAACCTAACCTAACCTAACCTAACCTAACCTAACCTAACCTAACCTAACCTAACCTAACCTAACCTAACCTAACCTAACCTAACCTAACCTAACCTAACCTAACCTAACCTAACCTAACCTAACCTAACCTAACCTAACCTAACCTAACCTAACCTAACCTAACCTAACCCAACCCAACCCAACCCAACCCAACCCAACCCAACCCAACCCAACCCAACCCAACCCAACCCAACCCAACCCAACCCAACCCAACCCAACCCAACCCAACCCAACCCAACCCAACCCAACCCAACCCAACCCAACCCAACCCAACCCAACCCAACCCAACCCAACCCAACCCAACCCAACCCAACCCAACCCAACCCAACCCAACCCAACCCAACCCAACCCAACCCAACCCAACCCAACCCAACCCAACCCAACCCAACCCAACCCAACCCAACCCAACCCAACCCAACCCAACCCAACCCAACCCAACCCAACCCAACCCAACCCAACCCAACCCAACCCAACCCAACCCAACCCAACCCAACCCAACCCAACCCAACCCAACCCAACCCAACCCAACCCAACCCAACCCAACCCAACCCAACCCAACCCAACCCAACCCAACCCAACCCAACCCAACCCAACCCAACCCAACCCAACCCAACCCAACCCAACCCAACCCAACCCAACCCAACCCAACCTAACCTAACCTAACCTAACCTAACCTAACCTAACCTTTTTTTTAGGAGGATAAAAAATGAATTTACGCACTCACAGATAGATCTAGTTGCTGTGTTGTGTGGGACTCCAGATGTCTAATACCCACTAAAAAACCCCCATCTTTTGCAGTAACCCTTCCATCCACCCCGGGACCACCTTGCGGTTTTACATCAGGGTGGGGGTATGTGTTTCCATTGCTGATTTTAAGGTTTACACGTTAGTTCTTTACGGTGTCTATTGTGTTCTTGTGGTTTCTCATTCTTATACTCCACCCATTTCCTGAAAGTCTCTCTCTTCCTCTTCTTTACGTTTCATGATGTTCCTTATATCCCTTGTGATGGTGTTCCAGTTTTCCTTGTTGTCGATCATTTTATTTACTATGTTTTGTGATGTAAGATTTAGTCCTCTAATTTGATCCCTTTCGTTCCGCCATCTGATGCATGAAAATATTGTGTGTTCCGGTGTATCTAGTTCTCCGCAGTATATACAGTTTGGGTCTGAAGCTTTTCCTATTCTATGAGTGTAGCTCCTGAACGAGCCGTGCCCACTTAGGAACTGTGTTAGGTAATAGTCCGTTCTCACAGTTTATCCAAGGTTGTAGCCTTGGGATCAGGATTTTTGTCCATTGTGCCACTTGCTCGGTGTTGTCCCATTCCTCTTGCCACATGGTGATGGAGTTTTCTCTTTCCTCCCTTCTGGTGTTGTCTGTTATTTCCTCGCCTGTTTTTTTCCTTAAGTGAATTCTCACTCTTTCCTTCACCATTAGGTTGATGGGTATGATGCCCCCGATGACATTTGCAGCTTCTCTGGAGATTGTGCGATAGACATTGGGTATTTTAATCAGTATCTTTCTCTGTATTCCTTGTAGCTTTTTGCTGTAGGTTTTTATGTCAGTTGCTCTGTGCCATATCGGTGCTCCGTTGAGAAGGATAGAGTGTACCACATGGCTTAGGATGATTCTTTTCGTTTGGGAGGGGCCACTTATGTTTGGCATAAGCCTCGCGAGGGCGGCATACGATTTTTCTGCCTTCTCAATGGCCTTGTTTGTGTGTTCGTTATATATCAACTTATCGTCAATATATATTCCGAGGCATTTTACGCTTTTCGTTGGCGTGATAACCATGTTCCCAACGTTAAAAGTTACCCCTGTTCTATCCCTAGGTCCCTTGAATATGACCGCGGTTGTCTTTTGTGCTGCCAGCGTCAGGTTGTTTCTGTCCATCCACTCGTGTATTTGGACTAGTGCGTGGTTGGCTTTCTCTCTCAGTCCCCTACTCGACCCAGATCTCACAATCAATGTGAGATCGTCCGCATAGGCGACTGCCTCGCAGTCTGTAGGCCACGGCAGGTTCAAAATGTCGTCGTATAGGATGTTCCACAGGGTTGGCCCTAAGACAGAGCCCTCTGGAACACCCTGGGTCATGGTTTTACTGTACCCTTTCACCGTAATCTGTCTGTTCTCGAAGTAGCTCTTGATCAGATTCAGGATCCATTCTGGAGTGTCACTATCTTGAAGTTTTTGGATTATCAGGTGCCACTTTGCGGTGTTAAAGGCGTTCTTAATGTCAATGCAGACCAGAGCTTGCCAATGGTAGTTTGATCTTTTTTCTATTGCTTCGACTGCTTCAATAGTGGACTTCCCCTTTCTAAACCCATATTGAGAGTCGGAGATCGTTATGTGTTGTTCTAACTTGATCTTTATCAGGTGTTCGAGGAGCTTTCCCAGTACGTCCAGAATGCAGATGGGTCTAAATTTCATATCATCAGGCTCGCCCTTAGGAATAAGAGCAACTCTGGCTTTTTTCCATGTGGTAGGGAACCTTTGAGTTCTGGCGATGTTGTTGTAGACCTCTAAAAGTTCCATGCAACCTTCACTACTTCTGGAGTGATACCGTCTAGGCCTGGTGATTTCCCGTTTTTTATTTTTGTCGAGGCGTCTCTTAGCTCTTCTGCTGTAAAAAGGCCGTATTCTTGGGTTCTCTCCCATCTTTCTCCCTCATGTTGCCAGTCAGGAAACAGATCGTCGATAACTCTTCTTCTCGTCATTCGATAGTTCGTAGGCTTGACATCTGGTTCTTATGTGCCGAGTGGCGATTTTGTACCCCTGTCCCCATACGTCGTTCTCTAGGTCGTTACAAAGCTCTTTCCATTTATTTTTTTTTGATGTGTTTATTTCTTGTCTGTAATCCGCTTTCGCTGCCTTGTATATGGTTTCCAGGCGCTGCACCTGTTCTGGTGTTGTAGCTCTATTCCTTCTAGCTCTAGTTAGTTTTCTCCTATTTGCATTGCAGGCTTTTCTCTTGTCCGCGATGTCCTCGTTCCACCAGTATAACATGTTTGTTTGCGTGTCTTGTGGGTGTCTGATTTCACTGGACCTCTGTGCCATCTTGAGGGTTTCGGTCAGTTTTCCAGGCGATTTGCCGATATTGTGTTTTAGTAGGACCAGTGAGTTCTTCAGGGTTTCTTTGTCTATCCGGACTTTATTACTCCTGAGTTGTTGTTTTTTGTTCTTGTTTGTGTCTGGTGTACCCACTTCGAACGTAATGAAACGATGAAGACTTAGGGACTCTTCGAGAGATACTAGCCAGTTTTGTGTTTGTCTGAATGTGTTTACCGATGCCAGGGTTACATCTATGTAGGATTCGCTCGATCCCCTTACGAAGGTGGGTGTTTGACCGTTGTTTAGGGTAGTTATGTTGAGTGTGGCCATCTATTGTTCGATGTAGGCCCCCTTGTCGTCAGCGGCGGTGGGGCTCCATAGCCTTGACTTTGCATTTAGGTCTCCCAGAATGATATAGTTTGTGCTACTTGATCTTCTAACATCCTCCATAATCTCGTCGATCTTCTCCTCGAATTCCGTCCTTGGGATATTTGGCGATATGTAGCAATTGTAAAGAGTTGTTCCACCGATATTGATTTTAATGTATCCTGTTTTACAGGAGTGCTCCAGTATGCCTACTTCTTTATTCTTAATATATACCGCTACGTCTTTTTTGGAATCTAGATTCGTTGTATATTTTTTGTTAGGTTCTTGAAGGAAAATTACATCGATATTATGTCTGTTTGCCATGGCTAAAGCTACGTCGTGTGCCGGTGTAGCACGTCCGACGTTAATTTGTAATATTTTGAAGGTCATGATGAGGGAATAAAAAGCGTGTGTAAATTATGTATAAATAGGTGTGTGCGTATGTACAAAGGTGTATGTACAAGTGAGTTCCTTGAGGTATGGATGCTAGTTGGGTTGTTCGGTGCTGTCCATCTCGGCCACCGTGGCACGGGCTTCCTGAACAAGTTTGTCAAATTGCCTGTTGAAGCAGTCTTACAAGGGATTTGGCTCTTCTACATCAACTTGTATATTTACTGGTTTTTGGGGCCTCTCGGTTGTGGGTGCCATGAAGTTCTTACTTCTCTCTTCAAGTCTAGCGTTCTTCAGAGCGGTTTTGAATTTTGGACATTTCATCGTGCCCATCTTGTGTCCTATCGCGTTGCATAGCGGGCAGGCCTCCTAGTTGTTGCAGTCTTTCGAGCTGTGGTCGCTCTTGCCGCATTTGAAGCAGTCTTTGGAACGATCTGGGCCATTACAAGTGTCGGAGTAGTGGTCGTACGACCAGCACTTCTGGCATCTTCTGATGTTCAGCCTTTTTTCTACCCTGCATTTGACTAGTCCCACACGTATGGAGCCATGTTCCAGAATTTTGTCAGCGTCTTTTGATTTTAGGGTGAGGGTTGCTGCTAGGGTGTCGTTATTAAGTGGGCGAAGTTCGCTTACTTTGTTGTCTTCCTCCCATTTGCCCGTGATGTCTATAATTGATTGCTTGATGTCCTCTATAGTGGTATCCGCTTCCATTCCTCTCAAGTGAAGGGCTGTGCTCTTCTCCATTCCTAATTTCCTAGTTTTTAGCCCCGTGGTGGTCATTAAGCGCATTATGAATGTTACAGATAGTTTTCATAGTTTTAATTTTATTTTAATTTTAATCAAATTGTCCTCTAGACTATAAAAAATACTGGTTACTATGATTAATTTTTTTTAATGTCATAGAAAAAGAAATAAAAGTCAGTCCTTTGACAAATATTTTTTCCTCATTTTTTCTTAATATATTCTGGGCACTACTAACCAAAACTTAAATATCAGTTCCATCTAATCCCAAACATTGGTCCTTCTACGCCTTAAAGAACTTCTGTGGAATACAGTTAAAAATGTCAAAAGAAAGTCTTGCTCCCGACCTTAGACGAAGTGAAAGATTGAAGGGGAAGAATACAATGAATACACAGAAAGAGACAATCTGTGGCGACAAAGCATTATCAGTAAATACTAATAAATAACACTATCCTACTGATAATGCAACCCTTGTATCCCTTAACAGTTACTCTTCGTCCTCAAATAAAATACGTATTGCTGAACTAGAAATTGCAATGAAAAAGAAACAACTAGAACAAGAAAAGAAACAATTGGAACTGGACATGTTAGATATAGAATTAGCTGTAAAAATTGCTCAAATAGAAGAGGAAAAAAGTAATCGAAGTCATCAAACTCACTCAGAACCCAATAAATCAGTACAAATGTGGGTAAATACCCAAAATTTTGAGCAAAATAAAGTGAGTTTTGAAGAAAAAGAATTAGCTATAAATTCAAGAGACTCTAGTGACAGACAGTCACGTATTTTCGACAAAGAGCCTTTTGTAAAATTTGACCACGCCTCTACTAGTGAATTTCAAAATTTAAACAAACCGTCACTGGTAAATGATAGAAAAGACGATAATGCAGACAATCCAATAGCCTTTTTTCTATCACGACAGTCAATGCCAAAGAAATTACCTATATTTGAAGGTGATCCAGTTAAATGGCCAAACTTTATTGCGCACTTTGAAAACTCTACAAAAGTGTGTAGATATACAAACGAGGAGAATTTATGTCGCCTCCAAGATTGCTTGAAAGGTGCAGCAAGAAGAATTGTAGATTCTATGTTAATTTTACCTGAAAATGTTCCGGAAATAATACAGATTTTGGAAGACAGATTTGGAAAATCTGAAAACATTATATTTATGCTTTTAGAAAGAATAAAAAAACACAATTTTGTTAAAACTGATAATCTAAACAATTTAGTAGAATTTTCTGATGAAGTAAGGAATTTAATTTCGACAATTAAAAACCTAAAAGAAGAGTGTCACCTCCATAATCCCATATTGCTGCAGGAACTAATTAATAAACTATCTACAAGCTACAAGATGTCATGGGCAGAGAATTTATCAAATTTAAGTCCTTCTTGTCAAAAACTAGTAGAATTCGACTTATGGTTACAGAAAAAAGCTAAAGCAGCTTCATCTCTTCAAGTTAATATAAATTTGATGAAAAGTATGATCATAGTAAAGGGAAATACAAATCCAGAGAGGTCACACTTACAACTAAAGAAGATGTCAACAAAAAATGTGCCTTTTGTAATTATGATATTCATCCACTTAAAAAATGTTCTAAATTTTTATCTTCAACTACAGACGAAAGGTGGAGTTTTATAACTGCCAAACGTTTTTGTATTTCATGCCTATTTCCAAATCACAATATCAAAAACTGCAAAAACAGAAAAAGTTGTGGAATAAACGGCTGTAAAAAACCCCACAATGGACTTTTGCACAAAAATGAAGGTGAAGAGATGGAAAATCAAAGTAACATTAACTGTTATGTGGCTTCAGATCAGAAAGTTCTTTTAAAAATAATACCTGTCATCCTAAAGGGGAAAGAAATAGTAAAAACATATGCCCTATTAGATGAGGCATCAACAGTAAGTTTAATAGCAGAAGAGCTGGCAGATAAACTTCAATTAGAAGGGCCTCAACAACTACTTTCTTTGCAATGGACCAACTCAAAGGTCAAAGAACAAGAATATTCCCGAACTGTAAGTCTTTTAATTAGTGGAGATTTTCCCAATGCAAAGATGTTTGAACTAAGAAGAGTACGTACAGATAGAGACCTAGACCTACCCAGTCAGACAATTTGTTTTAAGAAACTAGAAGAAAATTATCCATATTTAAAAAACTATGACGTCAAAGACATTATAAATGGTAAACCTATGATATTAATTGGACAGGACAACTGGCCATTAATAATTAGTAGACAAATAGTCAATGGTCCATGGAATGGTCCAGTTATCAGCAAAACCTTACTAGGATGGGTCGTACACGGCAACATAAAAGAAAAATTAGGTATAAAACAATCAGATATCAAAACAGTTTGCCATATAAAGAGTATAGTTAAAGATGACCTGGATTTATTGCATGACCTAGTCAAAGAACAATGGAAAATCGACTGCTATAATGTAAAAAATCAAGAACATAATACATTTTCCAAAGAAGACGAAAGAGCACATCAAATTTTAGAGACGACAATTAAAAAATTAGACAAAAAATTTGAAATCGGTTTATTATGGAAACACGACAACATATATTTCCCGGAGAATAAGACAGTAGCACTGCAGAGACTAAATTCATTAGAAAAGAAAATGGACAAGAATCCAGAATTCGGCAAAACATACTGCGAAAAAATGAAAGATTTACAGGACAAAGGGTATATAAAATTATTATCAAGAAACGAATCTGAATTAATCCCTGAGAACAGAATCTGGTATTTACCACATTTCGGTGTTATAAATCCTAACAAGAAAAAAATGAGAATTGTCTTTGATGCTGCCTCAAAATCAAAGGGTTACTGCCTCAATAGTTTTCTTCTTACTGGTCCAGATCTGTACAATAACTTACATACGATACTCATGAATTTTAGAATCAAGACAGTAGTATTCGTAGCTGATATTAAAGAAATGTTTCTTCAAGTCTTGGTTAGGTCAGAAGATAGATCAGCCCAAAGATTTCTTTTTAGAGGTACAGATAGAAAAAAACAGCCAGACATTTATGAAATACAAGTAGTTTTCTTTGGATCTACATGTGGACCTACACTTGCCCAATATGTAAAAAATAAAAATGCAGAGATGTTTAAAAACACTTACCCCGAAGCAACCCAAGCCATTATAGAAGACCATTACATGGACGACTATTTAGGAGGTGCCGATTCAGAAGAAGAAGCCGTAAAATTAATCCAAGAAGTCATATACATTCACAGTGAAGCAGGGTTTAATATATGTAACTGGATAAGCAATAAACCAGAAGTCTTGTTTACGATCGACGAAACGTTCAAAACAATCGGGGAAAAAAGTCTAGACATGAATCAAAAAATATTAAGTAGTGAAACAATTCCCGAAAGAATACTTGGCCTGTGGTGGGATCCCAAAAATGACATCTTCTGCTTCAAAACAAATTTAGACAAAATTGCATCTGATATCCTACATAACAAAAAAAGACCCACTAAACGACAAATTTTAAAAATAGTAATGTCCGTGTTTGATCCTCTTGGCTTTTTAAGCAACTTCATCATTCACGGAAAGATCCTTTTGCAAGAAATTTGGCGATACAAGCTAGAGTGGGATAGTCCAATTACAGACAACTTAAACCGAAAGTGGCAGTCATGGTTAGAAGAATTAAAGAAAATTCACACATTTTCAATTCCCCGACAGTATTGCCAAATGCCCAGAGGTGAAAGCAACATCCATTTGCATATTTTTAATGATGCCTCAGAGCTGGCATACTCAAGTGTAAGTTGGCAATATGACGAAACTGTTAAAATTTGCTTCCTTACCGCAAAAGTTAGAGTTGCACCATTAAAACCAACTTCAATACCCCGTTTAGAATTACAGGCAGCCTTACTTGGTGCGAAATTGGGAAGTAGCATCAAAGAAAATTTAAAATTACCAATAAGTAAAATTGTATATTGGACGGACTCAAAGACAGTTTTGTACTGGCTCCAAGCCGAAGCTAGACGATTTAAAGTATTCATAGCACAGAGATTAGGGGAAATTCAGCAATTAACAAATATATCGGACTGGAGATACGTTAAATCAAAAGACAATGTAGCAGATGAAGGCACAAAAAAGGGACAAGGATTAAACTTTTCAAATACATCCAGATGGATTCAAGGACCGATGTTCCTGCGACAATCCGAAAATAATTGGCCCCTCCACGAAGATGAAAAAGACATACAGAATTCAGATATAAATAAAAACGACTTGGAAGAACGTATAGAATTTGTATTATTAAACATAGAAAGAGACAAAATCTTGATTCCTGACATACCTACACCAACAAGATTTTCAAAATTTTTATGTTTGAGTCGTGCTACTGCTTGGATGTTAAAATTCGTAAATTTACTTAAAAAAAAGTTCAATAACTCGAAATATTCTACAACTAAACCATATGAACTACAAATTACTGATATGGAAGAAGCTGAAAAACTTCTATTTCAGAGAGCCCAACTGGATTCATTCTACATGGAATGCAAATTACTTCGACAAAATAAACCCATTCCTTCTTCTAGTCAGCTATTTCAACTAATGTGTGAACTAGATGAAGATGGTTTATTGAGATTCCATGGAAGAATTAATAATGCTACAAACCTGAGTGAATATACCCGAAAACCAATTATTCTCCCACAGAAACACGTCATAACAAGACTACTAATCCAAGACTATCACGAAAAGATGCAACATCAAGGAACCGAAACAGTATTAAATTTACTAAGACAAAAATTTTGGATTCTGAAAGCTAGACGTGCAGTTAAACACATTGCTTATAATTGCCAAAAATGTAAGTTAATGAAGAGTAGTCCTGTTGTACCAAGAATGGGCCAACTTCCGAACTGTAGATTAGAAAGAACAATTCGGCCATTCATAAAATGTGGAGTTGACTATTTCGGGCCTCTTTATGTTACAGTTAAAAGATCCCACGAGAAACGCTACGGAGTCATTTTTACATGCATGGTAACTAGAGCTGTGCACCTTGAAATAGCACAAGATATGTCAACGAATAGCTTTATTCAAGTATATCGACAATTTGGATGCAGACGAGGTTTTCCTGAAGAACTATACTCAGATAATGGATCAAATTTTAAAGGAGCTGAGAGAGAACTAAGCGAAGCATTACAAGGTTGGAATCAGAATGACTTATATAGATGTTTAACACCAATGAAGACTACGAATGGTACATTTAGAAGAGGAGTTTCAAATTTATGTGTTTTAAATATAGATTAACACTGCGCCGGAGAATGTTACAGATAGTTTTCATAGTTTTAATTTTATTTTAATTTTAATCAAATTGTCCTCTAGACTATAAAAAATACTGGTTACTATGATTAATTTTTTTTAATGTCATAGAAAAAGAAATAAAAGTCAGTCCTTTGACAAATATTTTTTCCTCATTTTTTCTTAATATATTCTGGGCACTACTAACCAAAACTTAAATATCAGTTCCATCTAATCCCAAACAATGAAGGTTTTTTAAGGCTTCCTGGCCTTTCTCTATCGTAAGTAGTAATTTACCATCCTTCGTGCTTCTCAGGCCTCTGATAGATTTGACAGATGTGTTGTTTCCGACGATGGTCTTGACCCTGCTCAGGACATCCTTGTATGATTTCTCACCGTCGCTGATGATCATACCATACGTTGTCTTGGCCTTCTCATCCTAACCTAACCTAATCTAACCTAACCTGACCTAACCTAACCTAACCTAACCTAACCTAACCTAACCTAACCTAACCTAACCTAACCTAACCTAACCTAACCTAACCTAACCTAACCTAACCTAACCTAACCTAACCTAACCTAACCTAACCTAACCTAACCTAACCTAACCTAACCTAACCTAACCTAACCTAACCTAACCTAACCTAACCTAACCTAACCTAACCTAACCTAACCTAACCTAACCTAACCTAACCTAACCTAACCTAACCTAACCTAACCTAACCTAACCTAACCTAACCTAACCTAACCTAACCTAACCTAACCTAACCTAACTTAACCTAACCTAACCTAGCCTAACCTAACCTAACCTAACCTAACCTAACCTAACCTAACCTAACCTATCCTAACCTAACCTAACCTAACCTAACCTAACCTAACCTAACCTAACCTAACCTAACCTAACCTAGCCTAGCGTAACCTAACCTAACCTAAGCTAACCTAACCTAACCTAACCTAACCTAACCTAACCTAACCTAACCTAACCTAACCTAACCTAACCTAACCTTTTTTTTTTTTTTTTTTTTTTTTTGAGGGGAAACCGCTTGGCACCAACTGATGGGTCTATGCAGTTGGTAGTGTCGGGCGCAACTCCGACTAAAACCCCTCGTACACCTCTGTGGTGTCCTTGTTCCACCCCGGAACCACCTTTCGGTTTTACTTCAGGGTGGGGACGTTTTTTGTGTTTATCCTCCTCCTAATTCTTTATAGTCTCTCTCTTCCCCCTCCTTGGTTTTCATTATCCGTGTGATAAAATCCTGTATTGATTCCCAACTTTCCTTGCTACTTGTCATTTTCTCAATGATATTCTCTGGTGTTAATGTACCTTCCTTGTCTATAATTTCTTTTCTCCATTCCCTCCACCTTGTACACTTGAACACTGTGTGTTCCGGACTGTCTTCCTGTATCTGTCTACAGTATATGCACCGCGCGTCGTTTGTCTTCCCAATTCTGTGGGTATACCTTCGGAATGAGCCGTGTCCGCTCAGGAATTGGGTTAGAAAATAATTCGCGTTGCGGTGCTCGCATTTCAGCCAGACCCTGAGGTGAGGAATGAGGGTTTTGGTCCATTGAGCGTCAGTAAGGTTGTTTTCCCATTCCGTCTGCCATTTAGTCCAGCTCGTGTCCTTCTCCTCTCGCCTGATACCTTCTGTTATTTCAGTACCCTCATTTTTTCTTTTGTGTAACCTAACCCTTTCAAGTATTTGGATTTTGATGGATGTAACTCCTGCGATCACTGTGGCTGCGTTGTATGAAACGGTTCTGTACGCACTTGTTATTTTTAGTAGCATTTTCCTCTGTGTGCTTTCCATCATGCCACCATATTTCTTAGTATTCGCAACCCTGTGCCATATCGGTGCCCCGTATAGTAGTATCGACTGCACTACGCCGCTTAGCAGCAATCTCTTATTGTACGCTGGTCCTCCTATATTGGGCATCAGTTTTACTAGTGCCGCGTACGATTTCTCGGCTTTCTCGATGGTTCGTTTAACGTGCTCGTTGAATATGAGTTTATCATCTATGTAGATTCCTAGACATCTTGTGTATTTTGTGGGAGTTATTTGGTTACCTCCTAAGGTGAAACTGATGCCGTTTCTGTTCCTAGGTCCTTTGAATATTACCGCCTCTGTTTTTTGTGGTGCAATTTCGAGATGGTTCATGTTCATCCAGTTATAAATTCTATGTAGGGCGTGGTCTGCCTTTTCCATCAGTACTTCCTTGGATCCCGATCTGACGATCAATGTGAGATCATCTGCGTATGCTACGGTTTCGCAGTCAGGTGGTAGCTCTATTTTCAGGACCTCGTCGTAGAGGATGTTCCAAAGAGTTGGGCCCAGTATGGATCCTTGAGGCACCCCTTGCGTTACACTCTTATTATATTCTTCCACAATGATCTCCCTGTCTTGGAAGTAGCTTCTAATTAGGTTCACTAACCACTCTGGGGTACCTCCTTCTTGTAATCTTCTTGTGACAAGCGACCACTTCGCTGTGTTGAAGGCGTTTTTTATGTCTATGCACACTAGTGCCTGCCAGTAGTGATTAGTGTTCCCGATTATGGCCTCGATGGCTTCTATGGTGGACTTCCCCTTCCGAAAGCCGAACTGCGAGTTTGAAATGGTAATGTGGTCTTCCAGCTTTGCAAGTATGACGTGTTCGAGTAGTTTCCCAAGGACGTCTAGAATGCAGATCGGTCTGTATTTATCTTGGTTCGTTTGCCCCTTTGGGATCAAGGCTACTCTGGCTTTCTTCCAGGTTTTAGGGAAAACTTGCGTTCTCAGGATCCTATTGATGACATTTATGAATTGCTCCGGCATCGTTTCTACTGCCACTTTTATCGTTTCAGGCTGAATCCCGTCCGGTCCTGCGGATTTTCCGGTCTTAATTTTTTTACATGCTTTCATCAGATCTTCCATCGAACACTGCCTGAAATTGTCTGTGGCTTCCCATTCCTCCATCTCGTCATCCCAGTCTGGGAATAACTCATCCACTAATTCCCTTTTTTTTGTGTTGGGATGTCGTATGCTGTAGTCGGTCTTCTGAGGTGTTTGGTAACTATCTGGAAACCTTGTCCCCATACATCCTCGTCCAGTTTCTCAAGTATTTTTTTCCATTTTTCCCTTTTAGAATTATTAATTTCGTTGCGATACTCCGTTTTGGTGTTTTTGTATAGGCGCTCAAGTTCCTCCGTTCGTTCTGCAGTGGTTAACCTATTAGCTCTGGCTCTAGTTACTTTTCTCCTAGCCTTGTTGCACTCTTTTCTTCTGTCACCTACTGTCTCGTTCCACCAATAGGTCGTTGGTTTCTGTTGTGCTGCGTTTCTTCTGCAGATACTGAGACTCTGTGCTCTCTTTATTACCCCAATTAGTTTTTTATGTGATTCACCGATGTTGTGTCGCAGTATTTCGATAGAGTTCTTAATAATCACTGGATCGTATTGTGTTTTTTGAGCGAAGATGTTCTGGTTTCTGCCTCGTTTCCCAGCGTCCTGGATTTCAAACATGATGTATCTGTGGAGGCTCAGAGATTCTTCTAATGATACTCTCCAGTTTTTAGTTTGTCTATAGGCGCGTTCTGATACTATTGTAATGTCTATGTACGATTCACTCGTATTTCTGATGAAGGTGGGAGTTTGGCCATTGTTTAGGGCAGTAAGATCGAGGGTGGCCATCCAGTTTTCTAGGTATGTGCCTCTTTCGTCGGTGGTGTTTGGGCTCCAGAGAGGCGATTTTGCGTTAAAATCACCTAGGATGATTAGGTTAGAATTAATTGAGGATCTCGCGTCTTCCATGATCTCATCTATCTTTTGGCAATATTCTATTCTGGGTATATTTGGGGAGATGTAGCAGTTAAGGATGTCAGTTCCATTTACAGATAATCTGATGTATCCGGTTTTGCATTTGTGATCTGTTATACCTACCTTTTTGTTTAAGACAAGAACCGCCACGTCCTGTCTCGTGTCAGAAATAAGTCCCATGTTTTTTACTATTTTTTTGTTTGGCTCTTGAATGAAAATTATGTCTATATCTTCTTTTATAGCTGTTGCGTATGCGACGTCATGTGCTCTTCTGGCGCGGCCGACGTTGATTTGTAAAATTTTGATGGACATTTAGATGTTAGTTCGTTAGCTCGGTGCTGTCCATCGCAGCTGCCGTGGCTCGGGCCTCTTCGAGAAGATTGTCGAACTGAACGCTAAAGGAGTCTTGCAGGTTATTTGGCTTCTCGTCTTGTATTATTTTGTTTTCGGCGGTTTTTTCGGTCGTCGGTGCCATGGAGTTCTTGTTTTTTTCTTCGAGCCTTGCATTTTTTAAAGCAAACTTAAATTTTGGACATTTCATGGTGCCCATTTTGTGTCCTGACGTACTGCATAATAGACATGCCTCTTCATTTTTACACTCCTTTGAACTATGGTCTGTCTGTCCGCACTTAAAGCAATTTTTGGATCTATCGGGGCCGTTGCATGCGTCAGAGTAATGGTCGTACGACCAGTATCTCTGACATCTTCTGACGTTCAGTCTCTTTTCCACCCTGCATTTGACTAGCCCAACCCTTATGGAGCCTTCTTCGAGAATTTTATCAGCCTGGTTTGATTTGACTGTTATCGTTGCAGCCAGTGTATCGTTGCCGAGCGGGCGTAGCTCGCTTAGCTTGTTTTCCGGTTCCCAGGTTCCTGTTTTTTCAGTAACCGCCGTTTTGATGTCCTCAACTGTGACATCTGCCTCCATTCCTCTAACATGGATTGCTATATGTTTGTCCATCCCTAGCCTTCTTGTTCTTAATCCCGTTGTGCCTTCGTTTAGAGCCTGGTGCAGGTTATTTAGTGCATCTTTATCTTTGTCAATAGTGAGTAACAATTTACCGTCTTTGGTACTCTTCAGGCTTCTGATGGCCTTGGCCGACTGGTTGGCTCCCACCAGTGATTTAACTTTCCCCAGGGCGTCCTTGTAGGATTTATTCCCCTCACTTACTATCATGCCATAGGTCGTTCTTTCCCTCTCGACAATTCGGTTATTCGCCGTGGTGAATATGGACACTGTGGTATTACCAGATCGAAAGACCACCTCTGTCATTTTTTGGAGGGTTTCATTAGTCATGTTCTTCACATGATGAATCGCCACTCTTTCGTCTTCCAGGGTTTCATCTCTAATTCTAACCAGTTTTTCCCAGATGTCCTGGGTGGTTCCGTTATGTGTTACCTTTATCACTTTTTTGGTACTGAGTTTTGTTGTACTGTTACTGGATTTGACTTTTGTGATCTGTTCAATGATTTCAAAATCATTTGTTATTTCCGTCAGCTCTGGGAATTTTTCTCTGTATAACCTTTGTATACTCGTGTTCATTTCTAAGTCGTTCGGTTCAACTAGCACAACCTTGGTGGTTTGGTTGTCCGTAGTCAATGGGTTTCCAACAGTGATCTCGGTCTTGCTGAAAAGTGTTTTATCCCACGCCATATTTTCTACTTGCCTGTATTTTTCTAAGCTGTCGATGCCCTCCAGTGATCTCAGCGTTTGTTGGCCTCCGTGCCAGGGTTCGGTTTGTGTGGACATGTCGACTGTATTTCTTTTCTGTGGTACCGTCTGTGTTTCTGTATCGAATGTAAGTTTCTCGATGGGCTCGTGTTTGTGTCTGGCCAGCCACTGTACCACCACTTCTCTCTCGAAATCCTTAATGTTGACACTCATCTTTTTAGTGATATCTTTTATTTTTTTATGTGTGTTAGTGCACTCCTCGATCATTTTTTCCAGTGCTTTGACTAGGAACTTGTTCCTTTCAATTGCCTCGTTTAGTGTAAAGGCTTCTGAGCATTCTCTTTTAATGTAAGGGTCTATTAGTGAGTTGTCTAAGGAAGTGTCACTAGCTTTTCTTTTTTTACTATCTGGAAGGGATACGGAGTTACATCTCCTTCCCTCTCCAAACATATTCAGACGACTGTGTTTCGGTATTGGTATCTTTTCTGTGTTTTTTGCGTCTGTTGCCACATTGATTGTTCTTCCAGATTTTGGGGAATCCCCCTCGGGCTGGTCGCCCCCGCACAAATCAATCGTTTGTAAGTTGTCTCCCATAATAAATCCCACGAGTTGGGCAGAAGTAAAGGTCCAGCGGGGCAGTGCTCCCGTACCCCGCTAAGGCATTCCTTTTGGCTACCCCGCACGCCCTCGCCATGGCGCCGGGGGGCTGCTCGCGACCCTCTTCGGGGGGCCATTCATCCCTCCCCGCAGTTGCCCAGGGTTAGATTCCTTTTTGGTTTTCTGTCAGGGTTTTCCTTCCCTTAGCCGATGGTCCCCGTTTTATGGCGCCGGGAACTCGCCATTCGCCCTCCCGTTCTGGGTCGGACTTGTCGGTTTGCTTTTGTTAGCTGGGCATAGTGTTCTTGAGACTGGCATTTATTGGTGTCACGTTATCGGCATAAGTGACCCCACCAGTGCCCCACCGACCATTTTGAGCTGTTTGTCGGCTTCACTACCCATTCCCGTCCCGTAGGGCTCGAGAACAGGGAGCTACTGAACCACTCCACCAACGGTAAGGTCTTACAGCTCCTAGGAGTGGGAACCTAACCTAACCTAACCTAACCTAACCTAACCTAACCTAACCTAACCTAACCTAACCTAACCTAACCTAACCCAACCTAACCTAACCTAACCTAACCTAACCTAACCTAACCTAACCTAACCTAACCTAACCTAACCTAACCTAACTTTTTTTTTTTTTTGTCAGGTGGAAACGCTTTGCGCGCACCGGGTACAAGTTCAACCTTCCCCGGTAGTGTGAGACTCCCTTATCTGGTCTACTCACTAAAACCACCTCTGTTTCCTAGGGCCCGGGACCGTCTTTCAAGACATAACGTCGGGCAGTAGGTAGTGTCTATCTTCTCCTCTTTTCGTCTTCCGTTTTCTTTTCCATTATAATTTTAATAAATTTTTCTCCATTTTCCCAGTTTCTTTTGTTTGTTACCATCCATCTCACCAATCGTTCAACATTCACTCTTTCCCCCATCCTTGCCTCTAAAGCCAGTCTCGGTACCTCCCATCTGGAACAGGCTGAGATCGTGTGCTCTACATCGTCTCTATCCCCGCAGTAGTCGCAGTCATCCGTTGCAGTCTTACCAATTCTTTGTGTGTACTCCTTGAAGCTCCCATGCCCGGATAGAACCTGTATGACATAGAAGCTGGTCCTCCTATGTTTACATGCTAGCCAAATATTTACGTTTGGTATCAACCTTTTTGTCCACTGCGCTACTAATGTCTGTTGTTCCCATCTGGTCTGCCATCTTGCTATCGTGGCCTCCCTTGCTTCCTTCCTCACATCATCCGTGATCCTTTCATGCAGAGACAGACTGCACCTTTCTCTTACCATCTCGTCCAGGGGTGGTATCCCCGCAATCACTGCCACTGCCTCTGCAGACACCGTTCTGTATGCACTGGCGACCCGGATAAGCATTCTTCTCTGTAGCGATATTAACATGTCCCTGTACTTTTTAATTGACAGTACCTGTCCCCATATTGGTGCAGCGTAGAGTGTTACCGAGGCCACCACTCCATACAGTACCCTCCTGCTGTGGTACCCAGGCCCCCTTACATTTGGGAGGATCCTCGTCAATGCAGCCACCTGTCTGCTCGCCTTTGCACACACTTGCTTTACATGCTCGTTGTAGATGAGTTTATCGTCAAGGTGCACTCCCAGGTATTTCAGAGATTTCTTTGGTACTATCTCCGAGCCGTCAAGATTAAAGACGACGCCCTCCCTATTCCTTGGACCTCTGACAATGAGAGACTCCGTTTTTTCAGGTGCAATCTGCAGTCCCCTGTCCTCCAACCACTTCCTCACCTTGCCGAGAGCCCTGTCTACTCGGAACATGAGTTCTTCTTTATCCATCGCGTTTACCACTATCGCTAGATCATCCGCGTATGCTATCTGGCTACAGTTCTCTTCTAGGTCTAGTTCTAGGACCCCATTGTAAAGTATGTTCCACAATAAAGGCCCAAGAACTGAGCCTTGTGGAACCCCCTGGGACACCTGCATCTCTTCCTTTCCCACCAATATTCCTCTGTCACAAAAATAGTTTTTGACTAGGTTGACCAAGTATTCACTTACCCCCATATCCTCCAATGTTTGGACAACTTGACTCCATTTTGCAGTATTAAAAGCATTCCTCACATCGACAAGCGCTATTACACCCCATTTAAACTCTGTATTATTCGCCTGCTGAATGACTTTCTTTATGGCATCTATAGTGGACCTGCCCTTTCTAAAACCAAATTGATTTTCTGAGATCAGGTGTCTCTCTTCCAGTTCGCTTTCCAGTCTTTGTTTAATGAGGTGTTCGAGGAGTTTCGCTGCTGTGTCGATAAGGCATATTGGTCTAAACTTTTCCAACTCCGGGCTGCCTTTGGGGATTAGACAAACTTTCGCCAGCTTCCACATGCTTGGTATTTCTGCGGTCCTAAGGATGTCATTTGCTACTGCAAGTATGATGTGAGGTACCTCCTCTACTACAATCCTTACACTCTCTGCTATGATGCCATCCGGTCCTGGGGCCTTACCAAGTTTTAATTTATCTACCGCCTCCTGCAGTTCCTTGCTTGTGAAGGGGTCTGGGTTACTTGTGGCCGCATTTCCACAAACTGGGCTATCCCTTGTCTTTGGAAAAAGCTCCCTAGTTATTTCCATCTTTCTTTCGTCTGGCATTTCGTACGGTGTCAGCATGTTCCTGCATCTGTTTGTGACAATCTTATACCCCTGGCCAAAAGGGTCGTCCTCTAGTTCGGTACAAAGCTTGCTCCAGTTTTCAACTTTGGACTTTTGTATCTCCCTCCTCAGCTGTCTCCTATGATCCTTGTATACTTCTTCCAGTTGCTCTATCTCATCCGGAATAAATACACCGCCCCTCGCCCTGGTTACTCTTCTTCTGAGCTCTATGCACCGGCGCCGGACTTCCTCAATACTAGCATTCCACCACACTGGCATCTCTTTGAAGCGAAAGTTTTTCCTTGTCATGCTAATTTTTTGGACGTTCTTAATTTTAATCATCGCTTCCTGGGCAGAGGCCGGTTGCCTGCTCATTGTCAACCCAAGTGTCTTTATTCAGAAAGGTTTTGCCAGCAGCGTGACACTTCTTTCTCTCACTGGTCAGGTCTATCTCGAACACAATATACCTGTGGAGGCTAAGCGACTCAGGCTCCTCTAGCACCTTCCATCCCTTTACTTTCCCTGTAAGGCTACTGGAGCAGAGTGAGATATCAATAATGGACCTCTGGGCCCTTCTGGTAAACGTTGGAGTTGTACCTCTGTTTAGAACTACTAGATCTGTAGCTATTATGTAGTCTGCTAAAAAGTCTCCTCTCTTGTCCTGTTGGTTCGCCCCCCATAAAGCTGACTTGGAGTTAAAGTCGCCTACAACCAGGACATCTCTATTCTCCTGCTCTATGTCATCAAAAAGTTGCACAATATACGCTTTGTACGCCTCCAGGTTTATGTTCGGGGAAATGTAGCAGTTGTACACTGTTATTTCCTTCATTTGCATCTTCGTGTACCCATTTGCGGTATTGTGCTTTACTACTCCACATCTCCTATTCCTGCAGTACAGGGCCGTGTTGCACTCCTGATCAACAATCCATCTGGGGTCTCTACCCGACTGGGCTCTATTAGGCTCCTGTATGGCAATTATATCGATGTCGAGCGAGTCCGCTGTGGCACGTGCCAGGTCCTGTGCCTTGCTTCTTCTATCCACATTTATTTGCATAAATCTAATTGTCATTCTTATAACAATATATAAAAATGTGTATAAAATATGTATACAATATGTAAAATATATATAAACTATGTAAAATATGTACAGTACTTTAAAGTGTAGCAGAGACCTTATCACTTTTTTCTTTCGCCTTTTTTCACGGCATTTCTAAAAACAGGGCACTTGAAACTGGCATTTCTATGTCCATCAGTTTTGCATGTCCAACAATATAGTTTTTCCTCCTTACAGTCGGCGGCCTTATGTCCTTCATCCCCACATTTCCTACACTTTTCCCCCATCGGGGGTTCCTTACAATCCCTAGCTATGTGGTTGATACTCCCACATCTATAGCACCTACCAACATCCACCCTTTCCTTGACTCTGCACCGCGTCCACCCTATTCTTACTTCTTTTTCTTTAAATAACTTATTTGCCTCCTCCTCATCTAATTCCACCGTGGCCGCCTGTCTACCGCCCTCCATGGGCCTTAGTGACCTAACTTCAACGGCTTCTGCTCCCGTGTAGGCCCCCACCGCTCTAGCAATCTCTTCGGCAGACGTTACTGCATCCACGTCGTAGATATTAATCACGACCTTGTTCCTTTTTAGGATCTTTACGGTCGCTTCACTGATATTTTTATTAATCTCCTCTCTTAGAGATTTTATGCCCTCTTCATCATCCATCTCGACAATTAGGTCTCCCGCTCTTGTCTTTCTAATCATTTTAATACCCTCCGGTACTCTTTCCCTTGAAATTTTTGATTTGAGGTCCCTAAGTATATCTTCATACGACTTGTCCTTTTGCCTTATCATGATTGCCGGTGCCTTTTGCTTTCTCTTTTTTGTTATGGCCGCCCATTCCTCTCCCTCTTCCATCAGCTGGGTTTCCATGTCATACAGAGATATCTCTTCTGCCACTCCTCTGAGCGTACACTCTACCATTTTTCGTAACTTTACGTTGACTATTTTTGGCTCCGCTATGATTTTAATCTTTGGGGCCCGGCCCTCCCCTCCTTCTATTTTTTCTTTGACTATTTTTAGGAGTGCGTAGTTGCTCTCCTCCTGATCACTTATCCCTGCAAGAAAGACTGCCCTTCCCTCGGTTTTTGTCATAACTTGTCCGTCCATTATTAGTTCCCTTTTATTTTGTAGTTTCGCTACCCCTCCTTTTTTGATTTTCCTCAGTTCTATCACCTCCTTTATAATTTGTTGTCCGGCTATGTTCATGTCACCTGTGCCCTCTTCTGGGTCAAACAGTACCACCACATCCGCGTCACCTGGAAGTGAGGCTGGATTTCCTCCTATAATTTTCGTGAGATATGCCTCTTTAGCCCACTCCTCCTCACACAGCATTTTGGTGCTATCCCATGTCCCCTCAGCACCTTCCCGGTCCACGTCCTCTTTCGTGACCATCCTATTTTCGCTTGCCTGGGTCGCCATATCTCTTGTCTGACTTTCTGTCACATTTGTTTGCGTCCCCATATCAAAGGTAACAACCTCTTTCTCGGGTTTAATATTTTTGACCTGATCATTAGCTGATTTCGATATCCTGAACAGCTGTTTACATATGTGTTTTATCTCCTTCTTAGTATTGGGGTTCTCTGTCACCAGCCTTTGGAGTTCTTCTACTTTTTCTTGTAACTGCTTTATTGTATTTACATGTACATCATATGAATCTGGTTTTTTATTCTCCTCCAGTTTTCCCTTTTTCTTGTTTCCTGTCGGTTGCGTGATACTTATAGGCAGTGAATTCGATCTATCCCTGCCTTCCTCTGTTCCCTTAACGTCTTCTTCTGACGATGATCCTTCTTTCCTGGGTCTTTTTGTGGATCTATGTTTTCTCGCTGTAATCGTGTCGTTAAGACCGTCGCTGTCGCTACTGTTGCCGTATGTTAATTTGTATAGGGGACCTTGGAAGGCTTCACCTTCCCATTCCGGTGTGGGAGTAGCTGAGCTGTACCCAGACCTGGTACCGCTACTACCGCTGCTAATACTTATTTTTCCTACTGGGGAGTAGAACTTTTCCGGGTCGCATTCAGTCGCAATCTTTTTTAGTCCTGGAGGAGTCCTCGTTAGGGATCTTGCTCCTTTAAATACTTCGTCTTCGGGTACAAGCAGCGGGTCTTCCTCTGTCCCTACCCCATTGTCGGACATTCTTTTTTTTGTCTCCTGCACTTCCGTCCTTATATCCTCTTTCCTTCCGTCAGTGTCCGTATTATGCGTTTCCTCTTGGATGGTTACAGATTGCTCTCCATCTTTTGAAGTTCCATTAGTCGTGTCTACCTTTCTTGCTTTTCGTACCTCGTTGCCACCTGCTTCGGTACTCCTATTCGTGTTACTCGAGTTTTTGCCCCCCCCCAGAATCCAAGGGGCAGTCCGTATCTACGGAGGGGGATTCTGGGCATTCAGCCCTACCCCCCTGGGGTAGTATGTTTTTAAAGCTCGACATTTCATCTTTGAATATATAATGGTTTTATGTCAGGGTTTTCCTTCCCTTAGCCGATGGGTCCCCGTTTTATGGCGCCAGGAGCTCGCCATTCGCCCTCCCATTTCAGGGTCGGACTTGCCGGTTTGCTTTTGTTAGCTGGGCTAATGTTCTTGAACTGGTACTTATTGGTGTCACCTAGTCGGCATCAGTGACCCCACCAGTGCCCCACCGACCATTTAGAGCTGTTTGTCGGCTTCACTACCCATTCCCGTCCCGTAGGGCTCGAGAACAGGGAGCTACTGAACCACTCCACCAACGGTAAGGTCTTACAGCTCCTAGGAGTGGAACCTAACCTAACCTAACCCAACCTAACCCAACCTAACCTAACCTAACCTAACCTAACCTAACCTAACCTAACCTAACCCAACCTAACCCAACCTAACCTAACCTAACCTAACCTAACCTAACCTACCCTAACCTAACCTAACCTAACCTAACCTAACCTAACCTAACCTAACCTAACCTAACCTAACCTAACCTAACCCAACCTAACCTAACTTTTTTTTTTTTTTTTTTTTTTTTTTTTCGGGGGGGAAAAATGCTTTTACGCACGCCCGCTGCTTGATGGTCGGCAGGGGTTTGTGTGGGACTCACGACCGCCAGTCATATTTGAATACCCACTAAAAAACCCCCCTTTGCTTCTCCCCCTATGGCATCACGGGAGCGTCTTGCCGACATACATCGTGATGCCTAGGTTTTGCGTTTTTTTTAATCTCTCCTGTGCTTGTGCTTCTCTTTCCTCCTCTTCCTTTTTTTTCATTACTTTTCTTGCCATGGTATCGACCACTTCCCATGCTTCGGGGTTTCTAATCATTGTGTCGATTAAATTTCCTACGTTGAGTGTGTGACCCAGTGCCCTCTCTGCCCTGTCTATATGCTGCCCATCTCCTGCAGTGGAAGAAGGTATGTTCTGCTGAGTCCGTCTCCCCGCAGTATCTGCAGTATGCGTCTGCGCTCTTGCCGATCTTTAGCGTGTAGGATTTAAAGGACCCATGACCTGTCATGACCTGCGTCAGAAAATAATTAACCTTCCTGTGCTTGCAGTTCAGCCAAGTTTCAATCCTCGGTATGAGCTTTTTGGTCCATTGTCCGGTTTCGTCATGTGTTTCCCAATGCTGCTGCCATTTTCTTACCGTTTCCTTTCTCTCGGCGGTTTTTTGTGCCTCCGTATGTTCTTCCTGATGGTGGAGGCGCACCCTTTCCTCAGCGAGGAGGTGTATAGGAATTGTACCCGAGATGACTCTGATGGCTTCCAATGACACGGTGCAATAGGCGCTTGCTATTCGTAGCGCAGCTTTTCTCTGCACTCTTTCCATCATGTTTCTATACCTGTCAGCTTTTAGTGCATCGGCCCATATCGGGGCCCCGTATAATAGGATCGAGTGGGCTACGGAGCATAATACTTCTCTTTTTTTGCTTGACGGTCCTTTTATGTTGGGCATGATCCTCGTTAGCGTCCTGATGCGTTCTTCCGCCTTTTTAGTTGCGTACTTTACATGGGGGCCGAAAGAGCCTATGTCGTCGAATACTATGCCGAGATACTTGACTGTAGTTGTGGGTGTTATTATTTTGCCATTTAGTTCGAATCTTATTTTTTCCCTGATTTTCCTCCAGCCGTGGCCTCTCAGTATTACAGCCTCCGTTTTTTCTGGCGCTAACTCGAGTTTGTGTCTGCGCATCCACTGGTCTATCCTTCTCATGGCCAAGTTAGCAGTTGTTTCCAAGTCTTCTCCGTTCTGTGCAGTGACTAGCAGTGCGAGGTCGTCCGCGAACGCGATAGTGTTGACATCCCGTTCCTGTACTGTTCGCAGAACATCGTCGTACAGGATGTTCCAGAGTGTTGGCCCCAAGACCGATCCCTGTGGAACTCCCCTTGTCACCTCTTGTTTTTTGTCCGAAGTTATTTGGATGAACCTTTTTGACAGGTAGCTCTTTATTAAGTTTATTAGGTATTCGGAGATCCCCCTCTCCTCTAATTTTTTAATGATAATGGGCCAGGTGGCCGTGTTGAAAGCGTTTCTTACGTCAAGGAGTATCAGTGCTAGCCACCTCCTGCTCCGATCTCTCGTTGCTTCCTTGACAACCTCCGCTGCCTGAATGGTACTTTTGCCCTTTCGAAAACCAAACTGATTCGGGGAGAGGCCCTCTCGTTCCTCTAATTCCTTCTCCAATCTCCTTTTTACTAGCCCTTCGTATAGCTTGCTGATCGCATCGATAAGGCAGATTGGCCTAAATGAGCCGTCCTCATTGAAGGGTTTTCCGGGTTTTAGGATCAATACTAGTTTGGCTGTCTTCCATATGTCCGGGAAATCTTGTTCAGCGAGATGTTTGTTTAGCATTTTTAGCATCGTGTCTGGGAAGCTCTTGCATATGGCTTTGATTGCTTCTGCTGGAATTCCGTCAGGTCCGGGGGATTTTCCATTTTTAAGGTTGCATGCCACCTCTTCTAGTTCCTTTTGTGAAAAAGGATTTGCATCCGTGGGGTTGTACTGTGTATCTACAACGTCTCCTTTCGGGAACAAGTGGCGAGCTATTTTCTCTTTTTGTTCTGGGCTCAGATCAGTGGGAGTCGATGTACACATTTTACCTGTTACTATGCGGTATCCGGTTCCCCATATGTCATCGTTCAGCTCTTCGCACAGTTTGTTCCAGTGTTCCCTTTTCGACTTGGCAATCATTTTTTGTAGTTCCTTTCTGAATGTTTTGAGCTGGTTTATATCGTTTTCACGTTCTATCTCAGTGACATTTGGCTTCCTCGCATTTCTTAAGGCCTTGCGTCTTAGTGATATGCACTGAGTCCTGTGTATGGCGATCTCGTTGTTCCACCAGTATGGCATTTTCCTGATTTCTCCATTTGTTCGAGTCCTGCTTGCATTATATGCCGTCTTTATGTCCTTTATGTATTCTTCTAGGGACGTGTGCCGTCGTAGTGTCGCGATATTTTCATGTTTTTTTTTGAAAGTGTCCCAGTCGACTTTAACTGTGGTTTTTTCGATCGGTTTTTTGTTTTTTATATTTTTGTTTATTTCGAAATAGATGTACTGGTGGTCTTCTTTTCCTGTATCTATGATCTCCCAGTTGGTGATGTCTCGGGCCAATCCCCTGGATGAACTAGTGACGTCTATGTATGATTTGGTATTTCCTCTATTGATTGTGGGCTTATTGCCTTTATTGTTGACTATCATATCCAGGGATGCCATCCAGTCGGTGAGGTAGTCGCCCCTCGGATCGGTTATGGGAGATCCCCAGTGTATCGATTTTGCATTTAGATCGCCCATGAGTACGTATTCGGCAGACAGATTTCGACAATTGTTCATGATTTCGTCGATTTTGTTCTTGGATTCGTTGTGCGTTATGTTCGGAGATATGTAAACGGCAACCAGGTCGAACTGTTTGAATGATATTATGACGTAACTATCTTTTTTCTTGATGTTATTTACTGCCAGGTTTCTATTTTTTATCAATACCGCTACGTCTGATCTATTATCCGTTATCCATCTGCTGCTTGCGACTAGTTTTTTGTTTGGTTCGCAGTCCACCAGTACATCTACTTCTCTTTCCGCCATTTCGACAGAGACGAGATCGTAGTTTGCTATTGACCTATTGGTGTTAGTCTGCAGCACTCTTATGGGTTGTGTTGATGTTTTTGGAGCCATGTTTTATGTGTGCCCTTGGACCGCCTAGTTTCTAGAACGGTGTACCTGTCCTACTGAGGCTAGTTTTTTTATTATCGGGGTGGAGCCCCCGGTTATCTTGAGGTATGTGAATTGGCTCTCCTTATTTCTTCCCTTAGAGCCTTCTGGTACCTGGGGCATCTTGTGTTGGTATGCCCCGGCTCCTCGCATGTCCAGCAGTAGGGGACGTGGTTTTCACAGTTTCTCATTATGTGCCCTTCTCCGCCACATTTCCTGCATCTATCATCCCTGCTAGGCCCCTTGCACTCTGCGCCTTTGTGTCCCAGTTTCCAGCACCTGTAGCACTTCTCGAATACGATCTTTTCTCTTATTCGACAGCTTGTCCAACCAATTTTGACACTGCCTTGCTCAGTCACTTTTTTGGCCCCCGTTTCATCCATCAACACCAGAGCGGTTTGTCTTCCCCCTGGCGTTTCCCTCATATGTTTAATTTCTACTTCGGCCCCCGCTGCTATATCTTTAATGGCCGCTGACACCTCCTCCTTGGTCGTTATCGCGTCTAAGTCTTGTACATAGAGTACTACTCTATTATCGCCCGCGTTTTTGACCTGATCTCCTTCGATCTTGGTGGTGATTATGTTTTTAAATTCGTTAAGGTCCTTTTCCTTTTTAAGGGTAATCAGTAAATCTCCATTTCTTGTTTTTTTAAGATCCCTGACAGCATCCCCTACCTCTTCCGGCTTGATCTTTCCTCGTACTTCCTTAAGGAGGTCTGCATAACTCTTTCCTTTGGCTTGGATAATCAGAGCCTGGGTGTCGTACTGTTTCTTAGGTGGCCTTTTTGCGACCTTCCATCCCTCCTCTTTTCCTTGTGTTCTTGGCTTTCTCCTGCCCATATCGTACATATCTATTTTAATTTCTGTGTCCGCAAAGACGATTTCAACTATCTTTCTGGATTTATCAGTAAGAAATTCGGTGTCGCTAACCATTTTGGTTTTCTTGATGCTCTTTCTACCCATCACTTCCTTTAGTTTGTGACAGCATTTCAAGAAGGCTCTATCCGCCCCTTCCGTGATGTCTCCCTTGACTAAAAGTATGCACCTTTCCTCGATTACGTTGTCACTTCCCTCTATTTCTAATTTTTTTTGTTTTTTCAGGCATGCCGTGCCGCCTTTTTCCACCATCTTTCCTTTTATGATTGTCCCTATCTCCCTGTTTGCCGCCATATTAAGGTTTTGTTTATCACTTTCTGGGTCGAAGATGACGACCAAGTTTTCGTCTTCTTCCGGGACCTCAGGATTTCCTTCTATCACTGCCGTATTCATATATGCTTCCCTGTTCCATTTTTGGTCTATGATCCCCTCAATGTCCTCTAGGCTGTTTTCCTTATCTCCTATTTGGGCAATCAGACTTTCTCTATCCTGGATCGTCCTTTGGTATTCTTCTGTTTCTGTCTGTGTTCCAACTGTAGCCGTTTCTGGATTCACCTGGGTATCTGTATCTTTAGTAGATATTTTTGTCCCACTTATGTTTGTGATCGCCCTCTTTTTTGTTTTTACTGAGTCATTCCATGCATTGAATGTCCAGCTGGCCATCTCCACCTCTCTTTTCAATTTAGAAATAGCGTGTTTAATTTCGATTCTGGTATTTTTTCCTACCAGTTTAGCAAGGGCTTTGGACGTTTTCATGACCCTGTCGATTGATTCTTTTATTTCCGCGATTTCTTGTTCTCCCGTTTTCTCGTCGCTATGTTCTCTTTGCCTTTTTTTGTTACTACCTTTTTCCTCCGACTGTGCTTGTATATGTGTTTCCTTTGATTTTGCTGGGAATACTGGTTCCGAGTCCTCCATGTCCTCTAGTGTCACCCCTGATAGATTGTATATTTCGCTCGTCTCTAGCTCTTCGTCTTGCCAATCTTCGTCCTCCGTCTCTCCAACTGAAACTGGCTCCTCTATATCGTTCTTCTGAACGTTTTCCGAACTTCCCATTGGGGTAAAGAATTTCTCCAGTCTCTCTGTGTTTACGCTTTTTGGCGTATTTTCCACCTCCAGGCTTATAGGCAGGGTTATTTCCCCGAAAGGGTTTTTGGTCCCTGCTGAAATTGTACTTTTGGCCTTTTTTGTCGGCGTCCTGGGCAAAGACGAGCGTCTCACCGATGGATCATGTTCACCTTCCCAATTATATGACATACTACCTGTTGTTTGGTTTTTTGTTCCAGAGTTAACGCCTTTTTCACCATCCTGGTTCCCTGATGGTGTAGTGTGTTTTGAATTTAATAAATCGTCCATATGAAATCCCACGAGAAGGGCAGAAATACATGTCCAGCGGGGCAGTGCTCCCTTACCCTGCTAAGGCCTTCCTTTGGTTTTTACGCCTCCGGCTACCCCGCGCGCCCTCGCCATGACGCCGGGGGGCTGCTCGCGACCCTCTTCGGGGGGCCATTCATCCCTCCCCGCAGTTGCCCAGGGTTAGATTCCGTTTTGGTTTTCTGTCGGGGTTTTCCTTCCCTTAGCCGATGGTCCCCGTTTTATGGCGCCGGGAACTCGCCATTCGCCCTCCCGTTCTGGGTCGGACTTGTCGGTTTGCTTTTGTTAGCCGGGCGTAGTGTTCTTGAGACTGGCATTTATTAGCGTCACTTTATCGGCATAGGTGACCCCACCAGTGCCCCGCCGACCATTTTGAGCTGTTTGTCGGCTTCACTACCCATTCCCGTCCCGTTAAGGCTCGAGAACAGGGAGCTACTGAACCACTCCACCAACGGTAAGGTCTTACAGCTCCTAGGAGTGGAACCTAACCTAACCTAACCTAACCTAACCTAACCTAACCTAACCTAACCTAACCTAACCTAACCTAACCTAACCTAACCTAACCTAACCTAACCTAACCTAACCTAACCTAACCTAACCTAACCTAACCTAACCTAACCTAACCTAACCTAACCTAACCTAACCTAACCTAACCTAACCTAACCTAACCTAACCTAACCTAACCTAACCTAACCTAACCTAACCTAACCTAACCTAACCTAACCTAACCTAACCTAACCTAACCTAACCTAACCTAACCTAACCTAACCTAACCTAACCTAACCTAACCTAACCTAACCTAACCTAACCTAACCCAACCTAACCCAACCTAACCTAACCTAACCTTTTTTTTTACTTTCAAGCATTTGCTTGACGATAGTATCCGGCGTTAATTCTTCATTATCTTCCTCTAGTCATTTGAGTTCTGATGCTTTCCCATTTGCGGCATTTGAAAACCGTGTGTTCTACTGTGTCAGGTTCAGGGCAGTATCTACATATGTTGTTGTTACTTTTTTTAATTTTGAAGGTGTATGCCTTAAAGGATCCGTGTCCTGTGAGGAACTGTGTAAAGAAGTAGTTGGTTTTTTTAAATTTGCAATTTATCCACGGTTTTATGTTTGGAATTAGTTGCTTGAGCCACTGGGCGGTGATTTCATTATTTTCCCATTTAGTTTGCCATTTAGCTATTGATGATTCCCTGACTTCTATCTTCTTTTCAGCTGTGTGACCTCTACCGCTTTCAAAGAGCTCTCTCTGTTCATTTATTATGATTTCAATTGTGAGGGTCCCTGCTATTACTTGTACTGCTGCCGCTGATACAGTTCGGTATGCGCTACATTGTCTTGAGTCCTTCTTTGAACTTTTGTTATCATATCTTGGTATCGTTGGATTTTGATGGCTTTGTACCAAATGGGGGCGCCATAGACGATGGTAGATTGTACGACGCCGTAGAGGGGTCTTCTTCTTATGTGGCTCGGACCACCTATATTTGGCATGATTTTAGCCAGTTTTGTAATGCGATCTTCTGCTTTGCTCGTAGCTGCTTTGACGTGTTCCCCAAAGTATCCACCGCTATCCAGATGGATGCCTAAATATTTGAGAGACTTTTTTGGTCTGAGTTCTTCCCCTCCAATGCTTAGCCTTATATCATCCCTTCCCTTTCTGGGGCCTTTTAGGATAACCATTTCCGTCTTAGGTGTAGCCAAAAACAGGTTGTGCTCTTCCATCCATTCTTGTATCTTTTGCAGGGCTCGATTTCCTGCTTGCATTAAGCTGTTGAGGTTATTTGCTTCTACGTATAAGGCAAGGTCATCTGCGTATGCTATTGTTTTTGTTTCTTCGTCTTCGAATTCTATATTAAGCACATCGTCGTATAGAATGTTCCAGAGGGTTGGCCCGAGAACCGAACCCTGGGGAACACCTACGCTCATTAGTTTTTCTTGACCTTTGCCCCATGTTATTTTTCTTTCGTTAAGGTAGGTTTCTACTATAGCAATAAGGTATCCTGGTATGTTTTTTCTTTTCATGGCTTTTATGATTAATTTCCAAGAGGCACTGTTGAATGCATTTTTAACGTCTAAGGCAACTAAAATTTTCCATTTTCTCTTTGTTTTTTCTTGGTGTTCTTGGATCCATTTAATGGCGTGTAGGGTCGATCTTCCTTTTCGGAACCCATATTGTCGGTTGGAGAGTTTGTTTCCGTTGTCAAGGTCTTCGACAATTCTATTTCTTATTAGAGTTTCGTAGAATTTACATATCTCGTCCAGGAGGCATATCGGTCTAAATGAGGAGTTTTCCTCTATGGGCTTTCCTTGTTTCCATATGAGAGTTACTCTAGCCACTTTCCATACTACTGGGAAGTCTTGTTCTATTAATAGATCATTCATGATCGTTTTTATCTCATTGGGGATTAGTTCGATTAAGATTCTCATTGCCTCTGAGGGGACTCCGTCCGGGCCTGGTGCAGTACCCTTTTTCATGCGGACCGTGGCTTTTTTTAGTTCGTCGGAGGTAAGTGGGGGGATACCGTTTCTTATTTTGGGCATTTTTTCCCATTTGTCATCTACGTCCGGGAAGAGGTGGTTTATTACTTCAGTTTTCCGTGTTTTGTTTAGATTGTATGGCATTGTGTTTAATTCTTTGGCAACTATTTTATAACCTTGCCCCCATATGTCATTTTCTAGTTCTAGACATGTCTCTTCCCATTTTTTTTTCTTGGCATTCATAATCAGTTTTTTCAGTTCTTTTTTGCACGTCTTAAGGTTATTCTTTAAAATGGTTTGTTCTGCATTGTCGGCTCTCTGTCTTGTTAAAAGTCTTCTATTTCTGATACATTGTTTTCTCTTTTCTTCTATATCAATATTCCACCAATATGGGATAGATCTGTTATTTGTGGCTTTTATTGTGGCTTTTTTGGCTATTTTACTAAGCTGATGTGTGAGGGTGGACCAGTTATGGGTTTGGGTTGACCTCATTTCCTCTTCTAGTTCTTTTTTAAACTTTTTGGAATGAAAAATTCTTCTGTTACCTTGTTTTGCCTTTTCTACTGTCGTTTCTACGCTAAATAATATTGGCTTGTGGTATGAAGCTATCTCGTCATCCAATGTGTGCCAATTGCTGACTTTTTGAAGGATGTTTGATGTAGCACATGTTATATCTATATGGCTTGCGCTATCACCTCTAATAAAAGTTGGAGTTCCGTCGTTACATATGCCTACGTCTGTTTCTGCCATGCAGTCCGCCCAGTATTCTCCTTTGGTGTCTGCTAGTGGTGCACCCCATTGCTGTGATTTGGAATTTGTCTCCTAAAATTATGACTTCTTTTTTGTGTGCCTTTACTTCTTCAAAGATTTCGTTTACTGTGGTTTTATATTCTTCTAAGGACATACTAGGTGCTAAGTAACAGCTGATTATCTTTATTTTCTGTAGCTCGAGAATTATATATCGGTTTCTTTTTGTGAATTTCTGCACTCCACAGTTTTTGTTCAAAATTAGAATTGCGACCATATTCTTTTTATCTTTTATCCAGTTCGTATTATCTGTAATTTTTTTGTTTGGTTCCGATATAATTGCTATGTCTGCTTTCTTTTCAAGCATTAAGGCGTGTGAGAGATCATGTGCTATCCTCGATCTTCCGAGGTTTAGCTGCAGAAGAACTATCTTGTTCTGTACATTTTTTGAGGTAGCCATTTTAAAGTGTAAGTGTTTTCTGTTATGTGTAAATTGGTGTTGCTATAAACAAAATGAAATTTTAGGCGTCCACTTGAGAGACCTCAAGTTCCTTTATGGTGGCCGTCGCCTCTGCTGTTAATTTGTCGAAGTCTAAAAAGTCTGAGTCCGAGGGTAGGTTTTGAGTTTCCATTTCTGTTTGCTCTGTTTTGTTTTGGTCTTTTTTTTTTAGATTTTTTAACCTTTCCTCCAGTCTGGCTTGTTTAAGTGTTTAAGTGCTGCCTTAAACTCAGGACACTTCATGGTACCGGCTTTGTGGCCTTGCTCTTTACAGATTGGGCACGATTCGTCATTGGTACATTCCTTTGAGGAGTGGTCACTTCCCCCGCATTTGAAGCAATGTTTTGAGCGATCTGTTCCCTCACATTTTTCTGCGGTGTGTTCGTAGGACCAGCATTTTATGCATCTTTTAATATTAAGCCTCTTTTCTAGTCTGCATTTAACTAAACCGACTCGTAAGAATCCTTGTTCTGTCAGGGTTTCTGCATAATCTGATTTCAATGTTATAGTGGCTGCAAGTGTGTCGTTGTTTAAGGGTCTTAATTCACTGAGTTTATTGTCTTCTTCCCAGTTTCCAACGGTTTCTCTGATCGATTGTATAATGTCTTCAGCGGTAGAGTCAGCTTCCAATCCCCGAATGTGCAGTGTCTCGTATCTATCGATTCCCAGGCGTTTGGTCTTTAGTCCTGATTTGTCATCTTTGAGAGCCTTATGAATGTTTGTGAGGGCGTCTTGATTTTTTTCGATTGTAAGCAAAAGTTTTCCGTCTTTCGTACTTTTAATACTTCTTACCGCGTCTACTGAGGAGTTTGTTTTCACGATAGCTTTCACCTTGCTCAGCACCTCTTTATATGTTTTTCCTCCTTCACTAATTATCATTCCATAGGTGGTGCGTTCCCTATCTTTTCCTTGATTTCTGACTGTTGTATAGATATCTATTTTAGTGTTTGTCTTTTGAAACACAACTTCACTCATTTTTCTTAGCTTTTCTGTGGCCATGCCTGTTATGTGGTGAATAGCAATTTTTTTATCCAACTCTGTTTCATCTCTGATCATTTTTAGTTTTTCCCATACGTCCTGGGGAGTACCGTCGTGTGATACCCGTATAATTTTGCGGTGACTGTGTTCTTTCGGAGGGAGTCCTAGATCTTATTCTAGTGGTTTGTTCAATTATTTCGAAATCGTTGTTAATACTGCCCAATTCCGGAAATTTATCTTTGTAAAGTTTTTGGATACTTTTATTCATTTCTGGGTCTGATGGTTCAACAAGTACCACTTTGGTTATTGTATCATCCGCATCGAGAAGGTTTCCTACGACTATTTCCGTGTTTACGTATAGTTTTTGATCCCAGTCATGGTTTTCCACCTTTTGGTAGGATTTTAGATCTTCTATCCCTTCGAGGGATTTTAGGGTTATGACTGTACAATTAGCATGCCAGGGTTCAGTTTGCGTCGATATTTCCGCCGTTTTTTTTTTGTTGGTTCTGTTTGCGTGTCTGCTTCGTATGTTATCTTTTCTACAGGTTCAAACCTATTCCTTTCCAGCCATTTTTGTACACATTCTCGTTCGTATTCTTTGTTGTTTCTTTTCATTTTTTTTAGAATTTCTTTATTTTTTTGTGTGTGTTAGGGGTCTCCTCTATGATATCCTCCAGTGATTGAACGAGGGTTTTTGTCTTTTCAATCGCTTCGCTTAATGTAAAGGCCTCTGGGCTTTCCCTTCGCTTGTATATATTGTCTGTTGATGAAAGGTCTATGGTTGTGTCTAGTAATTTTCTCTTTTTGCTATCCGGCAAAGATAGAGAGTTACATCTTGTTAGGGTTCCTATAAGGTTTAGTCTGCTACGTATAAGAGCATCAGGCTTGTTTGTTCTTCCAGATTCAGGGTTACCCCCGGCGGACTGGTTGCCCCCGCTTGGTGATTGATTTGTATTGTCCATAATTTTTTTCCCACGAGTTGGGCAGAAAGGATGGTCCAGCGGGGCAGTGCTCCCTTGCCCCGCTAAGGCTACTTATTCCAGGATGTCGCCGGGTTTCCCAGAAGCTCCGTTTGAGACCAACTACGCATGGCCATTCACCCCTCGGCACGGGTCGCGTGACACCTTGGGTTTCGGATTTTTGGGCCTCAGGTTGTCTCCTGAGAAGGCCTTTCTGTCAGGGGTGCCTCTCCCTTAGCCGGCGGGTCTCCGTTTTTTGGCGCCGAGAACTCGCCATTCGCCCTCCCATTTCAGGGTCGGACTTGTCGGTTTGCTTTGTTAGCTGGGCTGATGTTCTTGAACTGGTACTTATTGGTGTCACCTAGTCGGCATTAGTGACCCCACCAGTGCCCCACCGACCATTTTGAGCTGTTTGTCGGCTTCACTACCCATTCCCGTCCCGTTTAGGCTCGAGAACAGGGAGCTACTGAACCACTCCACCAACGGTAAGGTCTTACAGCTCCTAGGAGTGGAACCTAACCTAACCTAACCTAACCTAACCTAACCTAACCTAACCTAACCTAACCTAACCTAACCTAACCTAACCTAACCTAACCTAACCTAACCTAACCTAACCTAACCTAACCTAACCTAACCTAACCTAACCTAACCTAACCTAACTTTTTTTTTTTGAGGGGGAAACCGCATGGCACCGAGACACTGGTTCTATGTGCTCGGTAGTGTCGGGCGCTACTCCGACTAAAACCCCCTTGCGGCTCTTCCGTTTGTCTACCAGGGATCACCTTTCGGCATTTCTTCTGGTAGATCGGCCGCCCCGAGATGTTCGCCATTTCCATCCGTTTCTTTTCTTCCCCTTTTTTGGTTCAGTGCTCAAATTCTGTGAATTCCCTTTCCTCCCTTTCTTTCTGTTTGAGAACCTCAGCCACAAATTTGTGCCCCTCATTCCACATCTCTTCGCCGCTTAGCATCCAGCTGATGAAATTTACCGCGCTTGCCTCTTCCAAATCGATCCTTAACCCTGTTCTATTTTCTCTCCATCTACTGCAGCGGAGAATAGTGTGTTCGGGATCATCAACCTCCTCTTCACAATATATACATCTTGTGTGCGGAACCTTGCCTATCCTGTGGGTGTACGAACGGAAGCATCCATGTTCGCTTAGGAATTGCGTCATGTGGTGGTCGATCTTTTTAAATTTACACTCCAGCCATGCTCTCAGGTCCGGGATGACTGTCTTCGTCCACTGGGCGACTCCCTCAAGCTCCTCCCACCTGCGTATCCAGTTCACTAGGGTGGCCTCCTTCTCCCTTGCTCTATCTGCTTAAGTCACTCTCCCCTCCTTGTACAGTCTTCGACGTTCATCAACCAGTAGGTCTAGTGGGGGTGTTTCTCCTATGACTGCCACCGCCTCCAGGGACACTGTGCGGTATGCTCTAGTGACTCTGAGAAGCGCTTTCCTTTGCGTGGACAGCAACATGTTCCTGTACTTTTTGGTACTTATTAACTTTCCCCAGATGGGTGCAGCATATAGTAGGACCGATGCAACCACGCTAGCCAGCATCCTCCTAGTCATGGTGCCTGGACCTTTCATGTTAGGCAGTAGTCTCGATAATGCTGCAGTCTACCTCGAGGCCTTCTCACACATTTTCCTCACGTGCTCGCTGTAGGTTAGTTTTTCGTCCAGCCAGACCCCTAGGTACTTTACCTGTTTACGTGGTACTACCGCAGTCTCCTATACCGAAGACGATGACATCTCGCTTTCTGGGTCCCTTCAGAACTATTGCTTCGGTCTTTTCGGGTGCTATTTCTAGGCCCTGACTCTCAATCCATCGACATATGATATTTACAGCGTCCTCGGCATTCTCAATTAGGTCCTGTTTTGTATCTGCCCGTATTATTGCCGCAAAGTCGTCAGCGAAAGCCGCCGTCGTACATCCCTCCGGTAGGACCAGGTTCAGTACACCATTGTACACTACGTTCCACAGTATTGGTCCAAGAACTGATCCCTGTGGAACCCCCTGACACATATCCAGAGTCTCTTTCCCGACCATTAGGGCTCTTTCCTTGAAGTAATTTCCAACGATGTTCTGAATATATTCACTCACTCCTATTTCCCTTAATGTATCCATGATCCTACTCCATTTAGCCGTGTTGAAGGCGTTCTTTATATCAATGAATATTACTGCCCCCCACGTCCATCTCAGGTCTGTTGCCTCCTTGACGACGTATTCGATTGCCTGGACCGTGGATCTTCCTTCGCGGAACCCAAACTGCCTGTCAGATAGGGCATCCCTCGCTGCTAATTCATCGGATAGTCTTACCTTAATCAGGTGTTCTAAAAGCTTGACCATGCAGTCGATTAGACATATAGGCCTGTACTTCTTAATCTCGGCACCCATGTCACCCTTGGGGATCAGCACTACCTTTGCTTTTTTCCACCTGGTAGGAAGTTCCTGGGTCTCCAGTATGCCGTTCATCATGTTCAGTATTTTCGACGGGAACTCTTCAGCCGTTATCTTTATGGTTTCTGCCAGAATGCCGTCAGGCCCTGGGGCTTTTTTGGTCTTTAATTTTTTCACGGCGTTTCTCAGTTCATCGGCACTAAAAGGTGGTGGTTTCGGACATCGGATTTTTCCAGGGATCGGAGCATCCCTCGTTCTCGGAAAAAGTTCCTTGGTTTTTTTAATTTTTTGTTCATCTGGTAGCTCGTATGGTTCGAGAAGGTGCTTGAACTTATTTGTTACAATCCGGTAGCCGGTTCCCCAGGGGTCGTTGTCCAGTTCATCGCATAGCTCCATCCATGAGGTTTTTTTTGATTTTTTTATACTGTTCCTAAGATTTTTCCTGGTTACTTTATACTCTGATTCGAGAACACCCATTACGTCGTTTCGAACCCTCCTTGCCCGTTCCCTTGTCAGCCTCCTTCTGAAGTGTACACATTCATCTCTGTACCTTTGAACCTCTTCATTCCACCAGAAGGGCTGTTTCCGATTTGTTGTTCTAGTTCTACAATAGGCCTTTTGTGCTTCTTTCATAGCTAACGTGATATCATCCACGTCCATGTCCTCCGTGACTACTGTTCTCAGTGAATCTCTCAGCGCTTCCTTGTCCAAGAAAAATCCTCCCTGTACCCCGCTTCTCTTCTTATTTGTTCCATCGGTTACGTTGAAGGTTATATACCGGTGCAAACTAAGCGACTCTTTATCTGGGTGGACCTCCCATTCCGTTACCTTCGGCACAAGTTTCCTGGAGCAAAAAGTCAAGTCCAAAAAGGACGTCTGGTGTCTCCGAGCGAAAGTGGGTACTCTACCATCGTTAATCATTGTCAGTTCCAGTGACTGTAACCACTCCTCTAGATATTCTCCTCGAGAGTCCCGGGTTTGTGACCCCCAGAGAGGAGACTTCGAGTTAAAGTCTCCTGCTACCACTACTTCCTTATCCCCGTCCCTAATGTGTTCCATTATTCTGTCAATGAACGATGTATACGTATCTAAATTTACGTTTGGAGAAATGTAGCAGTTGTACATGGTCCATGTTCCAAAATCCAGCATGATAAAACCTCGTCCGCAGTGGTGTGATTTAACGCCACACGTCCTGTTTACTATTCTGGTTGCTACCACCTTATCCTTATCGATAATCCATTTTAGGTCCTTTGTGGTCTGGCCTAGATTTGGTTCCTGGATCAGAATTATGTCCGTGCTATTTATTGTTGCCATGTTATTAGCCATGTCATGGGCGTTCTTTCTCCGGTCGGTATTAATTTGTAGCACCTTAAGCACCATTTTTGAAAAAAAAGAAAATAAATCACTAAAGTTTTAATAATATTTACTTATCACAGTTAATTATCACAGTCGAATATCACAGTCGGTTATCACAGCTAAGTGTTAAAATATCACACAGTCACGGGCGTCCCCTTCTCTCACCCCGCTTTACGGCGTTCTTGAACACCGGGCACTTAAAGCTGGCATTTCGATGGTCGTCAGACTTACAAGTCCAGCAGTACACTTTTCCAGACGTGCATTCAGCGGCCTTATGTCCACTCCCCCCACATTTCCTGCATTTGTCCCCTATAGGTGCCTCTTTACAGTCCTTGGCGATGTGATTTATGCTGCCGCACGTGTAGCATCTATTGATGTCCACCCGTTCCTTAATCCTAAAGCGCGTGAGTCCTATTTAATGGACTGCTGGTTCAGCAAATTAAGTGCCGCCTCCTCCTCGACCTCCACTGTGGCCACCTGTCTGCCACCCTCCATAGGCCTTAGAGATTTAACCTCTGCTGTGTCCTTTCCCGTATAACCCTCTATTGCGGTGATCACCTCGGTATCCGTTGTCACTGCATCTAGGTCGTAGATGTGTATTAATGTTTTATTGCCCTTCATTATCTTAACATCTGCCCCTTCCATGCTACCCCCAATCTCTTCCTTTAGTGCCCTGGTACTCGCTTCGTCCTCGAGCTGGACGATGAGGTCCCCTGCTCTCGACCTCTTTATCGCTCTGATTCCTTCGGGCACCCTGTCCCCAGCAATCTTGGATTTCAGGTCCCTGAGAATATCCTCATACGATTTATTTTTATTTGATATCACAATCGCCGGCACTTTTTTCCTACTTTTAAGTATAGCCGTCCACTTCTCTCCCTCCTCCGCCAACTGGGAACCCATGTCGTACAAAGCTATCTCTTTTATTGCCCCCCTGAGGGCACACTCCACTAGTTTGCGAAATCTTAAGTTAAGCATCTTTGGGTCCGCAATAATTACAGCCCTTTCGCTTCCATCCTCCTGTAGTCTCTTTCGTAGTTCCTTAAAAAGGGAGTAATCGTCCTCCTCGTGACGGCTAATCCCCGCCAAGTATACTGCCCTTCCTTGCGTTTTGGTTAAAACCTGTCCATCTATCGTAAGTTCCCTCTTGTTCTGTAGCTTAGCTACCGCCCCTTTTCCGATTTTCTGCATCTGGATTACCTCGCGGATGATCTGTACATCTGTGATCTTCATTCCATCCGCTTTATCTTCTGGATCGAAGAGAACTATCGTATCCGCATCTCCTGGCAGGGAGGCGGGATTACCTCTATAGATCTTTGTCGCGTAGGCTCCCCTATCCCATTCTTGCCCGCACAGCTCTTTAGTGCTCTCCCATGTCCCCTTAATTCCTTCCTCGTCGACCTCTTCCTTGGTCACCTTTCTATCCCCTCCGACCTGTGTTGCCGTGTCCGTTTTTTGGGCCTCTACCTCTACGGTCTGTGTTCCCATCTCGCAGGTTTGCGGTTTCTTTATGGGTGTGTACGTTGTCATTTGTACTTTAAGAGTCTCTGACATCCTCGAGAGCTGTTTGCTGATGGTCTTGACCTCCCTTTTCGTGTTCGTGTTTTCACTAATTATCTTCTTTAGTTCTTCAACTTTTTCGATCAGCCGGTAGAGGGTCTTCACGTGTTCGTCAGGTTCGCCCTGGTCCTCCCCGGTTTTGGTAATTGTTGGTAGGGAGTTTGATCTTTCCCTTACTTCCTTCCTTTCGCTCACGAAAACCCATTCGTTCTCGTTATCGTTCTCGTTATCGGGTGACTTCACCTCCATTCTGGGTCTTTTCTTTGATCTTGTATTCCCTTCAGTCTTGGTACTAGTGGGTGGTTCATTCTCCGGGTCATCTGCCAACTTTTGGAGTGAGCTTGTGTCCCATTCGTTCTGAGTCATCCTGCAGGGTGGGCTCCTTGGTATCGACCCTCTTCTACCAAACACTTCACTCTCCGATAACTCGATATCACCCAAAGCAGTCAGGTTTGTCAGCCATTTTTCCGGACTATCCTGAGTTGTTGATAGTCTATCTATCTTCATTTCGCCGCTTGGTTCAGTAACCATGCCACGCGTTTCATATCTGTTCTCAGCCGGTTCCCCTTTATCTATCGGTTTGTCCTCGTTGTTGTCCTTGCTACCTTCATCTTGTACCACTTTGCCACCTGCTATGGTATTTGTTCCGATTTCGCTTCTTTCTTGATCGCTATCATCCTTCATATTTGTGTTTTTATCCATTAAATTCCCACGAGTAGCTAGGGAAGTTTTTGGTTCTCTCCTACAGAGCCCCGCATGTAGGAGTAAGGCCTTCCTTCGGCTTCCGCCTCCGGCTACCCCGCGCGTCCTCGCCATGACGCCGGGGGGCTGCTCGCGACCCTGTCTCTGTGGGGCCATGCATCCCTCGCCGCAGGTCCCAGGCTTAGATTCCATTTTTTTTTTTGTGGTTTTCTGTCGGGGTTTTCCTTCCCTTAGCCGATGGGTCCCCGTTTTATGGCGCCGGGAACTCGCCATTCGCCCTCCCTATCCGGGTCGGACTTGTCGGTTTGCTTTTGTTAGCTGGGCGTAGTGTTCTTGAGACTGGCATTTATTGGTGTCACATAATCGGCATAAGTGACCCCGCCAGTGCCCCACCGACCATTTTGGGCTGTTTCTTGGCTTCGCTACCCGTCCCCGTCCCAGAGGGCTCGAGAACAGGGAGCTACTAGACCCCTCCACCAACGATAAGGTGTTACAGCCCCCAGGAGGGGAACCTAACCTAACATAACCTAACCTAACCTAACCTAACCTAACTTTTTTTTTTTGGTGGAGAAACGCCTTTACGCGCCCCTTTGCAGGGAGTGTAGGACTCGCCCCTACGCCATATCCACTAAAACTCCACCCGTTCCAGTTGACCCATGTCGAACACCCCGGGACTAAGATACGGGATCTTTTTACATCGGGGTATTCAGGTCGCGCTTAAGTTCCTCCCATTTTTTGATAGTCTCTCTCTTCCTCTTCTTTCTTTTTCATGATTTTGCTGATGAAATTGGAGAGATTGTCCCACTTATGTTGGCTTTCTACCATTTTGTTTATTATATTTTGTGGTGTAATAGTACCTACCTGTTCCCGTGCCTGATGTCTCTCTGGATTCCACCGGATGCAGTGGAACACCGTGTGTTCCGGTGTGTCCTCCTCGCTACAGTACATGCAGTCGGAGTCCGAGGATTTTCCGATTTTATGTGTGTATTTACGGTATGATCCATGGCCACTCAAGAATTGAGTCAGGAAATAATTTGTTTTTCGGTGTTTACATGATATCCATGGCTGTATTTCCGGTATGAGAACTTTTGTCCATTGTCCGGTAGATAGGTTTTCCTCCCATCTGTTCTGCCAGGTGGTCATTGTGGTTTCAGCTTCCTCCTTTTTATTGGTTTCAGTGACTGTCTGATTTATTCGTTTGATGTCCTGGAGCCTGACCCTTTCGCCAACGAGTAACTTGATTGGAGGTATCCCCGCAATTACATTTGCGGCTTCCCCCGAAATTGTCCGGTACGCACTTGTGACTTTAATCAGCATCCTGCGTTGGATGCCTTGGAGCATATCTCCGTACTTTTTCGAGTTCGCAACTCTGTGCCAAACTGGGGCGCCGTATAGGAGGATGGAGTGGACTACATGACAGAGTGCTTTCCTCTTCTCGCTGCTTGGCCCTCCAACGTTCGGCATAAGTTTAGTCAATGCTGCATAGGATTTTTCGGCCTTCTCAGTTACTTTCCTAATGTGTATGTTGAAGATCAGTTTGTCATCTATATGAATCCCAAGACACCTTGCGCTTTTTGTGTGGTTGATTACGCTTCTTCCAATGTGGAAAGTTATGTTTTCTCTTTTCCTGGGTCCTTGGAATATGACAGCATCTGTCTTCTGGTGTGCCAGAGTTAGCTGGTTTCTGTCCATCCACCTATTGATTGTACATAGGGAGTCATTGGCCTTTTCCATGAGTCCTTCCTTAGAATTTGAACGGACAACCAGGGTCAGGTCGTCTGCGTAGGCCACCGTATTGCAATCCGTGGGGAGATCTAGGTTAAGTACCTCGTCGTACAACACGTTCCAGAGGAGTGGACCCAGTACGGAACCTTGTGGGACTCCTTGTGTCATATTTTTGCTATAGCCGGTGACATGGATTGCTCTGTCGGTGAAGAAGCTTCTAACAAGGTTGACAAGCCATGTTGGTGTTTCTTGCTCCTGCAGTCTGTTTAGGACGATAGACCATTTAGCTGTGTTGAAGGCGTTCTTCACGTCTATGCAGATCATCACTGCCCATCTGTGTTTAGTTGTCCTGGTGATCGCTTCTACGGCTTCAATTGTGGATCTTCCCTTGCGAAATCCGAACTGGGTGTCTGAGAGGGCAATGTAGTTTTCCAGTTTGTTCTTGAGCAGGTGCTCAAGAAGCTTTCCCAGGGTGTCCAGAACACAGATCGGCCTGTACTTGTTTTCTGCCCCCTTGGGGATGAGAGCGACCCTGGCCTTTTTCCATGGTTTGGGGAAAATTTGTGTCCTGGCTATCTCATTATAGACGTCGAGGAGGGCTTGTGGCATGATAGCGGCCGCGGTTTTGACCGTTTCAGCTGTGATCCCGTCTGGTCCCGGTGCTCTGTTAGCTTTCAGGTTTGCTGAAGCAGTCTTCAGTTCTTCATGAGTGAATGATTCGTGATCATCAGTTCTGCTCCATGGTTCGGGAATCTCTTGCCAGTCTGGGAACAGCTCCTCTATCAATTCCCTTTTTTTTTGGTTTGGCAGTTCGTATTGATTTTGGCCCTTCAGATGCCTGGTTACGATTTGGTAGCCCTGGCCCCAGATGTCGACCTCTAGCTCAGTACACAGCTTCTTCCAACTTTCCTTTTTAGAGAAGGTAATTTCGTTTTTGTATAGCCTTCTTACATGTTTGTAGTTACTCTCTGCCACTTCAATTTCGGCTAAAGTACTGTTCCTTCTACCCCTAGTTCTAGTGAGCATCCTTCTAAAAGCGTTGCACTCTGCCCTTAAGTCTGCTACCGCCTCGTTCCACCAGTAGGGCGCGTTTTGTGGGCACCGTCTCGGACTTCTAATTTGGCTTGATGTTTGTGCTGCTTTTAGGATGCTTGTTAGGTTCTCGTGGGTATTCCGGCAGTTGTGCCTTAGGAGTTCAAGCGTGTCTTTCAGGATGATGTTGTCAAATAGTTTCCTGTTGTCGTAGGCTACCTTCCCTTTTTTCTTGTTATCACCGTTCCCGTTAACTTCGAAGGTAATAAACCTGTGGAGGCTTAGGGATTCCTCTAGCAAGACTGCCCAGTTATTAATTTCTCTGTAAGAGCTTTCGGAGGCTAGTGTGATATCTATAAATGACGCGCTGTCTCCTCTGACAAACGTGGGTGTCAGTCCGTAATTGAGGGCAATCAAGTCGAGCGTGGCCATCCATGTATCGAGGTGGTTTCCCCGTTCATCTGGTTCTCCTGAACCCCATTGCCGTGATTTGGCGTTAAAATCGCCCAGGATTATCGTCCTGGGGTTGTTTTCAAGCCTAGCATCCTCCACGATTTCGTTCACCTTGTCTTCGTATTCCCGTTTGGTGATGTTGGGAGAGATGTAGCAGTTGTATAGCGCAGTGCCATTAATAGTCAACTTTATATATCCGGCGTTACTACTAGAGTGCTCGCTGATGCCTACTTTTTTATTGAGTACCAGGACTGCCACGTCAGTGTTTGTATCTGAGATAAGACCCGTTCTTTTAATGATTTTTTTATTTGGCTCTTGAAAAAGTATCAGATCTGTGTTCGACCTTAGAGCTGTGGCTAATGCGACCTAACCTAACCTAACCTAACATAACCTAACATAACCTAACATAACCTAACATAACCTAACATAACCTAACATAACCTAACATAACCTAACATAACCTAACATAACCTAACATAACCTAACATAACCTAACCTAACTTTTTTTTACCGTGAAGAGAAAATCCGCTTGCGGACCCCCGATGCCTGCGGGATCATCGGGGAGTGTGGGGCTGAGTTGATCTTCGGGCGGGCTAACTCTACCCACTAAAAACCCTCCACCTGCATCCTGTCCGAGCTCTGGTATCGTCTTTTGAGACATTCTTCGGAGCTCGAGGTCTGTCTACTGACCTACATTGTCAACCAAAATAGTTCCTGCCGCCCTATCATCCTGCTCTTTTACCTTCATGATTGATATTATATACCCATGTATGCTTTCCCAGTTCGCTTTGGATGTAATCATCTGGGTGACCAAGTTGTTTTCATCGAGTCTCTCACCTATTCGTGTTTCCAACTCGATTCGCTCCGTCTGCCATTTGGGGCATGTGAAAAGCGTGTGGTTAGAGTCGTCGCTGTCCGGACAATACATACATGTGTCGTTTCCTCTTTTGCCTATCTCCATTAAGTAGCTCATGAAGCATCCGTGGCCAGTTAGTATCTGAGTTAGAAAGTATTCAGTTTGCCTATGCTCACATTTTGCCCATCTTAGGACATCGGGTATTAGGGTCTTTGTCCATTGCGCCAAGTCCGTTGTGCCATACCATTCGTTCTGCCATTTTTCCATGGTCTGCCGTCTTACCTCTTTCCTTACCCGTTCGTTTATTTCGACTTTCACATAGAGTATAGCTCTCTCTTCTGCCAATAGGTGTATTGGGATGATCCCCGTTACTATGTGCAGTGCCTTAGTGGAGGCCGTCTTATAGGTGCTGGCCACCCTCAGTAGGCCTTTCCTTTCTGCCTTGGTCATCTCCTGTTTGTAGCTTTGGACGTTTAGGTCCTTGTACTATGTCGGCGCGCCATACAGTAAAATGGACTGTATGATCCCGTGTAGCGCCCTGCGCCTTTCGTTCTTAGGTCCCCCTATGTTCGGCATCAGTCTACGCAGGATGCCAGCTCTTTCTCCAGCCTTTCTAGCTGCTTCTTTTATGTGTGGGCCGAAACTACCATTATCACTCATTGTGACCCCTAGGTACTTTAAAGTCCTCGCCGTTGTGATGTCGATTTCTCCTATTTTAAACCGGATATCTTCTCTTTTCCGAGGACCCTTTAGTATAACTGCCTCCGTCTTTTCATCGGCAAGCTTTAGGCCATGTTCCTTGGTCCAGCGTGCAACTACTCGGTATCCTTCTTCCACGATCTCCATTAACTTTTCCGTGTGGTTTGCCGTTACCACAAGGCAAAGATCATCGGCGAAGGCCACTACCTCTGTACCCTCCGGGTATACGCTTCTTAATAGGCCATCGTATGCCACATTCCACAATGTGGGCCCTAAGACGGATCCCTGTGGAACTCCTGCTGTGACCTCTGTTATTTTCCCTCTGTCGTATTCTAGCTTTCTTGATGTTAGGTATTCTCCTAGGATGTTCATTAGGTAGTTCGGTAGTCTCTTCTTTCCGAGTTCTTTCATAATAACGTCCCATCTTATTGTATTGAAAGCGTTTTTTATATCGAACGCTATTATGGCTGCCCATCTGGTTCTTCTTTCGTTTACTATACCTAGTACCCTCTTTACCGCGTCCACAGTAGACCGCCCCCTCCGGAAGCCGTACTGTCTGTCTGACAATCCTCCTCCTTGTTCTATGGCTTCTTCCACCCGTTCCCTTAGTAGTGTCTCGTATAATTTGCTAAGTGTATTTAGCAGGCAGATAGGTCTACATTTTGTGATGCCTTGTGGGTCTATTTTCCCCTTGGGGATAAGTACGAGTCTCGCCGTCTTCCACTGGTTTGGGAATGTTTGTGTTTTGAGTAGGAGGTTCATGGTCTCTAGTAGCCAGTTTGGTTCTGCTGTCCCTGTTTTCTTGATGGCCTCTGGTGGTATCCCGTCTATGCCTGGGGTTCTATTTGTTTTTATTTTTGATATGGCCTCCTCCAGCTCCTTTGTCGTAAAGTTTCTGATCTCTCCGTCTATTGTTTTCCCATATTTGTGGGGTGATCCCCTAGGGAACAGTTCCTCGACTACAGCCCTCTTTCTTTCCTCTGGCATGTCATATGGGGAGTAGGCCTTTAGGTGTCTCATCGCTATTTTATATCCATGGCCCCATATGTCGTTATCGAGATCTTTACATAGCTGTTGCCACTGTTCTTTTTTTGACCTGTTAATAAGTTTCCCCAATTCTCGTTTTCTGGTTCTGTGTGCCTCTAGCGCTCGGTCCAGTTTCAGGTTTAGTTGTCCGTTTTGTCTTTTCGTCATCCTCGTCGTAACTCTTCTCGCACGCCAGGTACTCCTTCCTTTTTTCTTCAATTTCTGTAGTCCACCAGTAGGGAGTTTTGTTGTTTGCTCTGTCAGGTCTTTTACCAGCCCTATATGATTTTTGTATGACGTCGATGGCTTTGTCTATTGTGTTTTCTCCTTGTCTTTCTATTTGGTTGTTCAATGTTGTTAGGAATTTGTTCCAGTCTGTCCCTGTCGGCGAGTTTCTCGAATGTTTTTTGTGTTTTTGTTTTGTCGTAATGTCAAAAGCTATATACCGATGTTCTGTTAGAGTTTCTTCGTCCAGTACTTGCCAGTTTTTAATGCTTCTCGCCAATTTCTGATCCGAGAGCGTAATGTCTGTTGTTCTCCTGACGAAAGTGGGTTTGTTCCCGATGTTCTATACGATTAGGTCTTTGGCCGTCACGTGTTCCATTATTAATGTTCCTCTTTGGTCAGTTATTGGGGATCCCCATTCTGGCGCCTTGGCGTTAAAGTCGCCCAGGATGATGAAGTTCTCCTTGGTCTTATTGGCGTATTTGACTATTCGTCTGATATGGATCTCAAAGTCTTCCATTATCTTGTTAGGTGGCAGGTAACAGCAGATCAGGGTCACTTCTGTTAGGTGTACCGCTATGAGCCCTTTTTTGGGGACTATCTTATTTATTTTTACCTTGTTGTTTGCTATGTACACGGCTACTGTTGTAGTGTCCATAAACCAGCCTGAGCCTCCAGCGATATTTTTGTTTGGCTCTGATACCGCCATGATGTCTGTTATTTTTTAGCACTGTTGCTAGGGCTGCGTTGTGTGCCAATCTTTTGGTACCCAAGTTAATTTGGAGAATACTTAGCTTGGTGATTTTGGACATTTACAACACTTAAATACTATTTACTAAAAATAACTTCCCCTGGCCTTCTGCAGGGCCATGCGGAATTTGGGGCACTTGGTGGTGTCCGCGCGGTGTCCTTTCTCTCTGCATAGGGGGCAGTACCTTTCGTTTTGGCAATCTTTTGCCCTGTGTTCCGTATCTCCGCAGTTTAAGCAGGCGTTCTGGCGGTCTGGTCCATTACAGTTGGCCGCTACATGTCCAGCCTCCCAGCATTTGTAACACCTTCTTACTTCTACCCTTTCCTCTATTCTACACTGAAGCCATCCAATTTTTATTTGGCCTCCCAGCCTTTTTATTTTTCCCGCTGCTCCTGCGCTAACTGCCAATGTCGCAGTCTGGCTGTCGCCGTACGCCGGTCTCATTGCCAGGATCGTCGGCGTTTTCTCTGCATCCCCTGTGGTCTTACTTACCGCCTCGAGTACATCTTTATCTATGGTGATAGCGTCTATCCCCCTTATGTGGAAGATCACCTTCTCTTCCCTCCTGTATTTTACCTCAGCTCTGTCCTTTCTGATTTTATCCTCTATTTCGCTCTTTAGTGTTGTCACCGAGCCCTCCGTAGTCATTAGGAGATCCCCGTTTTTGGTCTTCTTTATATTCTTTACCGTAACTTCTATCCCATTTATATCTACCTTCTCTTTTACCTCTCTCAGCAGATCTGCGTAGGAGGTCCCCCCTGCCTTGATTAGGAGGGCCTCTGTTTCTTCGGTCCTATTTCTCCTAGCTTTTTGGCCTCTAGCCTTCTCTTCTTCGCTAAGTAGTAGCTTCATATTATTTGGGACATGAAGGATTACTTTCATAGTTAAGCTCCCAAAGATGTAGTCTACCATTTTTAGGGTTGTCTGCAGGTCTAGGTGTTCCGGGGTTGGGATAGATATTTTTGCGCAGCCGTTTTCAGTCGCGGCATTCCTTAATTAAACAAGCGCTGTGAATATAGGCCTCTTTATGTTTCCTTCCGTCTGCGTCGGCGATTGCTCTGAAGACGTACCCCTCTTTTGTTTTGGCCTCACCGCCAATGGTGACCTTGGACGTTTGAGTTAAGTTTATGATTCCGCTCGCTTTTAGTTCCTCCGGCTCTACTTCGTCCAGATCTATATATATATATGTCTTTAAACAGTCGGGCGATCCCGTCCTTCATATCCAGGCCAGTACATATGGCCAGGTCTCCCGTGCTTGCCGATGTCAGAGGGTGTCCTTTTTCTTCTTTGACTCTCCTATAAGACCTTTTGGGCCAATCCAGCGGCTCCACCTTTTCAAAGCCCTCGTAGGTGCCGTCCGTGGTACTTGCGGCCCAGATTATCCCTATGTCCCGGTCCTCTTGCTTTTGTTTGATGACTTCTTCTATATTTTCGTCTGTTTGTGTCTCCATTTCTACAGTTTCGTGTTTTTCCTCCGCTGATTTGAGGTTGTCCGCCTCCCATCTTACGCTCTTAACCGCCCTACTTAAAGCTTTCATTTTCTCCTTGATCTCTCTCTTGGTATTAGGGTTTTCATCTACTAGTTTTACCAGTGTTGCCACGATACTCTCCACAGTTTTCAGCGACTTTAGGCTGTTTTCCTTTATGTCGCTAGTATCTTTTTTTTGCATTTTCCTGGGTTGTTGCTCCCCCTTTCCATTAACATTTTCTGTTAGAGACCTGCTCTTTTCGTCGTAGTCGCCAGACGACCTTCCTCTCTTTTTTCCACCTTCATCCTCATCGATGACTATTGTTTCTATTACTTCATCTTTTTCTGTTCCTATTCCCGTCAGATTAAATATTTCGCTGTCAAAGACGTTATCGTCGATGAACCCTGTTACGATTGAACTAGTTCCCTGCCTTGGAGAGATCGGTGATGCTGCGCATGATAAAAAACGTTCGTTATCCGCATTCACTAAGGCTATGTCCAATTTCTTTATTGGGGGCGTTCTTTTAGTTTTCGCTCTCTGAGTCTTCCACTTCTCTTCGATCGCGGCTTCATCAGCCTCTTTCTTCCTCTTTTCATCCTTAAGTGCCTGTTCTTTCCTGTCGCCATCTGTATTATTTTTTTCGTTTGTGTTGTTACTTGTGTGTGTTAAATTTAAATTGTTGTCCATGATTGTTCTCACGATTTGGGCAGAAATACAAGTCCGGCGGGGCAGTGCTCCCTTACCCCGCTAAGGCTTAATACTCCGGGGGGTCGCTACGTCCCCGGAGGCATCGTTCATGACCGCGTCCGTGCGGCCATGCATCCATCAGCACGATAGCTCCCACGTTGGATTACGGCTTTATTTCGGCTGGTCGGCTCCATCCTGGTTTTCTGTCGGGGTTTTCCTTCCCTTAGCCGAAGGGTTCCCGTTTTATGGCGCCGGGATTTCGCCATTCGCCCTCCCTATCTGGGTCGGACTTGTCGGTTTGCTTTTGTTAGCTGGGCGTAGTGTTCTTGAGACTGGTATTTATTGGTGTCACGTTATCGGCGTAAGTGACCCCACCAGTGCCCACCGACCATTTTTGAGCTGTTTGTCGGCTTCACTACCCATTCCCGTCCCGTAGGGCTCGAGAACAGGGAGCTACTGAACCACTCCACCAACGGTAAGGTCTTACAGCTCCTAGGAGTGGAACCTAACCTAACCTAACCTAACCTTTTTTTTTTCCACCCGTTCCAGTTGACCCATGTCGAACACCCCGGGACTAAGATACGGGATCTTTTTACATCGGGGTATTCAGGTCGCGCTTAAGTTCCTCCCATTTTTTGATAGTCTCTCTCTTCCTCTTCTTTCTTTTTCATGATTTTGCTGATGAAATTGGAGAGATTGTCCCACTTATGTTGGCTTTCTACCATTTTGTTTATTATATTTTGTGGTGTAATAGTACCTACCTGTTCCCGTGCCTGATGTCTCTCTGGATTCCACCGGATGCAGTGGAACACCGTGTGTTCCGGTGTGTCCTCGCTACAGTACATGCAGTCGGAGTCCGAGGATTTTCCGATTTTATGTGTGTATTTACGGTATGATCCATGGCCACTCAAGAATTGAGTCAGGTAATAATTTGTTTTCCGGTGTTTACATGATATCCATGGCTGTATTTCCGGTATGAGAACTTTGTCCATTGTCCGGTAGATAGGTTTTCCTCCCATCTGTTCTGCCAGGTGGTCATTGTGGTTTCAGCTTCCTCCTTTTTATTGGTTTCAGTGACTGTCTGATTTATTCGTTTGATGTCCTGGAGCCTGACCCTTTCGCCAACGAGGTATCAGATCTGTGTTCGACCTTAGAGCTGTGGCTAATGCGACGTCATGTGCCTTTATGGCACGGCCCACGTTGATTTGTAGTATTTTACAGGACATAAAAGGGTTGTAAGACGAGTTGGTGAGCTGGTTTTTAAGCTTGAGTAGGAGATGAGGCATCTCCTAGAGTGTTCGATATTTCGACGGTTGCGCAGGCCTCGTCAATCAGCTTGCAGAAGTCAATGTGGTCCTGGTCTTCCATGGGAGTTACTTCACTGGTGTCGGTTTCGTGCTTTTTAGCGAGATCTGTGCTTTTTCCGGCGGGTTTTTCATCTTCGTTGCCGCGAGTGAGTTTAAAAGAGGTTTTCTTCCTGTCTTCTAGTCTGGCGGTCTTTAGCGCCGTTTTGAATTCCGGACACTTCATGGTGCCAACTCTATGTCCTTTTTCATTGCACAGAAGGCAGGCTTCATCATTGTTGCACTCCTTGAAGTTGTGGTCACTCAACCCGCATCTATAGCAGTTCTTTGAACGGTCCGGCCCTGTACATTTATCCGAATAGTGTTCGTGTGACCAGCACCTTTGACACTTAGTGATGTTGAGCCTTTTCTCGATTCTACATTTCACGAGACCAATCCGGAGAGTGCCTTCTTCCAGGATTTTGTCCGCGTGTCCTGGTTTGATGGTCAAAGTTGCTGCCAGCGTATCGTTGCTAAGCGGTCTGAGTTCGCTTAATTTGTTTTCCTCGTCCCACGTGCCAGTAACTTCGATAACGGCATTTTTAATGTCTGTCGTAGTGTCGGCCTCCATACCTCTAATATGTATCGCGGTTAGCTGGGCCCTTCCCAGTCTTTTGGTCTTTAATCCCATCGTGCTATCTTTTAAGGCGTTTTGTAGGTTGTTCAATGCTTGCTGGTCCTTCTCTAGGGTGAGCAGTAACTTGCCGTCTTTTGTGCTTCTTAGGCTCCTGATAGCCTTGGCTGATTGGTTAGTGCCGACGATCGCTTTAACTTTCCCGAGTATCTCTTTGTACGATTTTCCCCCCTCGCTGACTAGCATTCCATAAGTGGTTCTTTCCTTTTCTGAATCTTTGGTACTAGCTGTAGTGAAGATCGCTACCCTTGTGTTGCTCCTGTGAAACACCGCTTCAGTCATCTTTTGTAGGTTTTCGTTAGTGATGTTTGCGATATGATGAATCGCCACCTTATCGTCTGTCGCTGTTTCCTCCCTAATTTTATTTAGTTTCTCCCAAATATCTTTAGTTGACCCGTCATGCGTAACCTTGATAACCTTCCTGGTGCTTAACTCGGCCGATTCCTTCGACTTAATTTTGGTAGTCTGCTCTAGTACCTCGAAATCTTCTTGAATGCTGGCGAGCTCAGGGAACTTTTCTCTATACAAGCGTTGTATGCTATTGTTCATTTCTGGGTCTTTAGGTTCTACTAAAACCACCTTGGTAATCTTGTCTCCAGTGGTTAATGGGTTCCCCACTATTACTTCGGTTTGTTTAAATAGTTCCTTTTCCCAGGTCATTCCCTCGACCTGACTGTAATTGTCTAGGCTTTCGATCCCTTCTAGTGATTTTAGGGTAGCTTTGTGTTTACCGTCATGCCACGGTTCGGTTTGGGTTGACGCCTCCGAAGTCACTTTTGTTTGGGTTCGTGTTTGGGTTTCGGTGTCAAACGTAATTTTTTCTATTTTCTCGTATTTATGTTCGTTGATCCATTGGGTAAGACTCTCCATTTCGAATTCTTTTGAGTTTTTTTTCATGCTTCTTGTTATTTCTTTTATCCCCTTGTGTGTGTTGGGCACAATTTCCAGAAGTTTCACAAGTTTTTTCACGAGGTCTGTGTTCTTCTCGATTGCTTCTTTTAGGATAAAGGCTTCCGGGCTCAATTTTTGTTTGTAGGGTTCCGCTGGCGAAGGGTCTAGCATTGACGTGTCTGCCAACTTCCTCTTCTTAAGGTCCGGTAGAGAAACGGAGTTACATCTCTCCCCTCGTCCCAATAGGTTTAATCTACTGTGTATCCTAGGCTTTACCGTAGGCTCTATCTGCATCTTTTTCTCTTCGGTATCTTTTACCTTTAGGTCTGATCTTCCAGCATCGGAGGACTCCTCCGCGGGCTGGTCGCCCCCGCATAGGTCAATTGTATCAGTAGATGTGTTCATTTCTGTTCCCACGAGCAGCTAGGGAAATTCCGTCCACCACTGCAGAGCCCCGCATGCAGCAGCAAGGCTAGGTACTCCGGGAGTTTGCCTGTTTCCCGGAGGCATCGTTCGCGGCCGCGTCCGTGCGGCCATGCATCCCTCGGCACGATGGCTTCCACCTTAGATTCCGGCTTTTTTTACGGCTGGTATGCTCCATCCTGGTTTTCTGTTAGGGTTTTCCTTCCCTTAGCCGATGGGTCCCCGTTTTATGGCGCCGGAAACTCGCCATTCGCCCTCCCTATCTGGGTCGGACTTGTCGGTTTGCTTTTGTTAGCTGGGCGTGGTGTTCTTGAGACTGGCATTTGTTGGTGTCACGTTATCGGCATAAGTGACCCCACCAGTGCCCCACCGACCGTTTTTGATCTGTTTGTCGGCTTCACTACCCGTTCCCGTCCCAAACCTAACCTAACCTAACCTAACCTAACCTAACCTAACCTAACCTAACCTAACCTAACCTAACCTAACCTAACCTAACCTAACCTAACCTAACCTAACCTAACCTAACCTAACCTAACCTAACCTAACCTAACCTAACCTAACCTAACCTAACCTAACCTAACCTAACCTAACCTAACCTAACCTAACCTAACCTAACCTAACCTAACCTAACCTAACCTAACCTAACCTAACCTAACCTAACCTAACCTAACCTAACCTAACCTAACCTAACCTAACCTAACCTAACCTAACCTACCTTACCTTACCTTACCTAACCTAACCTAACCTAACCTAACCTAACCTAACCTAACCCAACCCAACCCAACCCAACCTAACCTAACCTAACCTAACCTAACATAACCTAACTTTTTTTTGTGGAGAAATGCCTTTACGCACGCCTAAACAGGCAGTGTGGGACTCGCCCCTACGCCATACCCACTAAAACTCCACCTTTTCGCCTTCTACGCCTTCGAAGGTATCGGGACAAATCTGATTTTTACATCGATACCTTCAGGCTGTTTCACATTATGTTCCGCCCATTTCCTGATAGTCTAGTTCTTCCTGGTATTTGTTTTTCATAACGCTTCTTATGAATTCTGTAACTCCGTTCCAGGCTTCGTGGTTACTGATCATGGTTTCGACAATGTTTTGCGTCGATAGAATTCCGTAGCGCCCTCTGACACTGTTTCTCTCCGAGTTCCATCGGATACACCTAAACATCGTGTGCTCAGGGGTGTCCTCTTCCCCACAGTATATACAGTCTGAATCAGTAGATTTGCCTATCTTGCAGGTGTACTTTCTAAAGGGGCCGTGACCACTGAGAAATTGTGTTGTAAAGTGGTCTACACTGCGGTGTTGGCATGAAAGCCAGTTGTTTAGGCTTGGAATTAGTGTTTTCGTCCATTGAGCTGTGTTCATATTTTCGTTCCAGACATTTTGCCAGGCTGCTCTTGTCCGTACTGTTTCCTCTCTCCTTATAGCCTCTGTTATTTTTTCTCCATTACTTTTCCGCGCGTGTAGTCTCACTCTTTCGTTGATCATAAGTCTGATCGGTGTTATGCCGGCTATTACGTTCGCCGCTTCGCTTGATATTGTTTGATATGCGCTTGTCACTCTTATCATCATTCTTCTCTATATTCCCTGCAGCATTGCTCCGTATTTTTTTATGTTTGCGGCTAAGTGCCATACTGGTGCTCCATATAGGAGTATCGAGTGAACCACGTGGCTCAGTACTTCTCTTTTTGCGTAGGATGGTCCTCCTATGTTAGGCATTATTCGCGCCAAAGCTGAGTATGATTTTTGCGCTTTCTCTATGGTTCTCCGGATATGTTCGTTAAAAATGAGCTTATCGTCTATGTGAATACCCAGGCATTTGGCACTTTTTGTGGGGATGACCTCCATGTTTCCTATCCTAAAACTGATACCATCTCTTTTTCTGGGCCCCTTGAAGATGACCGCCTCTGTCTTTTGTAGAGCCAGCGTGAGTTGGTTTCTGCCCATCCAGTCGCTTATAAGTGCCAAGGAGTCATTCGCTTTTGCCATAAGTCCCAGTTTGGAGCCTGATTTAACTACTAGGGTGAGGTCGTCTGCGTAGGCTACTGTTTCGCAGTCTGGTGGGAGTTCCAGTTTTAATACCTCGTCATATAAGACGTTCCACAAAGTCGGACCCAGTACGGACCCTTGTGGGACCCCTTGGGACATGATTTTGTTGTACCCGTTCACATATATTTGCCTGTCCTCGAAGTAACTTATGATCAAGTTCCTGAGCCACCCAGGTGTTTCGCATTCGTGTAGTCTCCTCAAGATTATACCCGAGAATACCGATCAAGGAGAAGCGACAGTAGCTGTCGGTGCCTTTGATATCGGAGGGACCTTTTTCACAGCATGACTTTGATTGATACACAACTTAGCACGCTGAGAAAACATGCTTAATTTCTACACTGAACGAAATAGTTTGGCAAATTATCTGAAATCATTGTTATAGTCCATGCGCATATGTTCTAATGTGATTCAATTACATTAAAGTAGATAGGGTTAATAGCAATGGTAAGATTTCGGCATCATTATGTAATAATTAATTATTTGTTATATAAATAAAAGACGTTTATTATTTTATTATTTATCTATAAAACTTGTTCAATATTTGGTTTATTTTTTGTTCAAAATGTAATAAAAGCCTCATATTTAAATTAAATTATCTTTTAAGTAAAAATAAAGTAAATAAAATTACGGGTACCAAAAAAATTAAGTAACAATTAAAAAGACATTAGGTTCGAGAGTTTAAATAAATATTTTCAAAGCATTTAGGATAAAAAAGAATTATGTATTAAGGGTTGGATAGCTGACCTAGCTATCAAACTACTTATTTAAGTAATTACCAATATTTTCAGAATCAAATCCAGTATGATTCATTCATTAAATGTAAATATGAATATACAGAGTAAGTTAAAATGGGAAAAACATTCTTAGATTGGCATAATTGTAACTTACAATTTAGCAATAATAAAGGTGTTTTGCCAATTTTGACCAATCACAACTGAAAATACTGAAAGACCTTCCTCAAGAAAACACGAAGAATTATATTTTTTTATTTAAAATATCAAAATAAAATAAACAAAATCAGCAGTTCATAGTTTATTAAATTGATATAAAAGAAGACACTCATATATTTCACAAAATAAATCATTATACTTAATGTCGTGAACCACCTTAAGCCGACTCTGATCCCCTTTGCCGTTGGAGCTATCGCTTCGTCTGTTTTTATACCGCACGACAGAGACAAACGCACTCCTTCGAAAAGCTACCAGAGAAATCGTTGCGCGGCGGCTGAGTCATATATGAAGAAATTCCAGTTTCTAAACGGTCGAGAATGTTCTAATGCAGAGCTGGCTTTATATAAATAGCGCGAGTTTGTCACTAGATGTTAAGTTTCAATGAAAGTGTGGTATAGTAAAGACGAATTGTAATAATTAAATTAGAATTGTTAGTTATAATAGTGCCTAATTATTAAATAAATTAATTAGTACGTTATAAATAAATTATAAATAAACTATAAACTGTTTTTAATTAATAAACTATTTTTAAATTAAACAAACGTTACATTGATAGTTAAACATGTGATAAAATTTTTAATTTTCTAATAACTTTTTTGGCACATTTTGTATCTGTATTAGAATATTTAAGTGTGTAAAAAATCTTCATTCGTATAAACAGTTTTTTTATATACACAGTTGGAAAATTTTTGCAAGGATGATTAAAACAAATATTTTCTGTTTTGCTAAATAAAACATTCGAAACAGCTTTTCCTTTACAAATTATATCAAAATATGAGTTAAATAAACATTCTAATTTATATACAAAATGAATAAAATCTTCAGGCGGTGACTGAAGATTTCCACAAAAACTTTGGTCATGGCTATAGGCTTTAAAATGCATCAATAAATTATTAATATTAAGTTCGTCACAGAGTTTTCCAAGGTTTTTGCAGATATCACATGCGTGTACTTCTAATGCTTTTTTAAGTAGGTAACCACAGACATAACTAAAAGCATTTTTGGTGGTTAGAGTTTCTTTTTTATAATTATAATCAGGAAGAACAAGCGCTTTAGGGGTTACGATTTCTTCTGCCTCACTTATAATCTTAGTTATATCTGTCTGTTTAACATTCATTAATATTTCATCAAAATCATCAACACAGTTCATATGGTTGGAATGAAAATAATTTTGGCAAAATAATTTTCGAAACGCTCTTTGAAATTGGATGGGCGTTGGATTCACATTATTTCCACCTTGTTGTCTTATGCAGCCAAAAAATTTTCAATACAATCTGTATTTAATCTTCTTGTTTTAATGTACTGGTAACCTAATTTGGAAAGTTTTTCCCACAATTTTAGTAAACTAATTATTGTTATTACCCAACATTTGTTAAATTTTACCTTGTTGGTAATATTTTGGTCATCTTTATTAAATATTTGTAAGTCTTTTAGAAACAAAAGAGCCCGTGCTAAAAATTCTTTTTGAAAATCGGAACCGTCAAATACATTTTTAAATTTATTGGAATCTCTTAAAGAAAATGAATTGAGGATATCAAACAAATTATTAAAAAAATCTATACATTCGATATTACCAATAGACTCTGTGGGTATAGCGTTTAAAGTTAGATAGGTATTCATTCCGCTAGCTACCGTTCTGCTAATGAGTTGTGCAGCGAAACTTACTCTCATTTTTTCAAAACTTGAAGGATTTATATGGGAGCTAGTAAGTTTGGGTGCACAGCGGTAAAATTGTTTTTTATCTTGCTCATAAAAATATTTAATAAAAGACCAAGATGTTTTTTTACCACCGAAACAAAAAGAATGCTTTAATAAATTGTTTCTTGTGGCTTTAAGCAAGTGACAGGGATCAAAAATATAAAGCAAACTTTGGCCTCCGAGCTGAAATTCTGGGTTGTCTGGTGTAACTCCAAATAACTTTGCCAGTTCAATAAAGTTTGAACCCATATCACTGGCAATACCCTCAACATAAAAACCAATACTACATAATTTGTTTATACATTCTTCGAAAATCGGCCGAAGATCTTTGGCCTTCATCTGTGTGCCAACGAAAAAATATGCTATCGGTTGTTTCCAAGGGGAATAAAGCCCTCTAGCCATAATAACTAGTGCGTTTTTACATATCGCATCCCCTTTTTTTTCTTCCCCAATATCCTCAAAACCCACAATTTCATCCCGTCCGGTATCAAAATATAAATTTGATTTTAACGACATTTCGTCTACACACAGCATACAATGTCGGTCTTGTTTTAGCATCGTTTTTAATTTTAGTTCAAGTGCTGTAAATATAGAACTATTTTTTAAACCAGGATTAGATGAGATCCTTTGAGTTAGTCTTTGTAAACTCCTTTTGCATGGAAGAGTTAGGAGTTTGCAAATGTATTCGTAGGCTTGGGGGCTTAAAAAATACAATGTTAAGGCAAATTGCTTCATATCTGCCGAGTACCTTCTGGATATGGGTTTCTTATTCTTTAAAGAAGCATGAGATTTTACTATTTCTGACAGTTGCTTACTCAAAAAGCTATCACACACTTTATTGAAATCTTCAAGAGTCCAATTCATACCATCATTCGGTGAATTATTTTTTTTATTGTGTATCCTTTTTCTTAATTTTCTTAATTTCATCCTTAACTTATATTTTCTAGGTGAACGACTACTTAATAGTGAATCGGTTTGTGTCGATCTCGGCACAAATAGCGGTGGGATATTAACCTTACCTAGTATCCGAACCAAACCCTTGATAGGTATTTGGACCTAAAAAAATATTTTATCACTATAAAAAGTGAAATATTATTAGAATACCCCAGTTTGTAGGGAAATTTATTGTATTATGTCACGAAAAAGGTGCGTTTAAACTTATCATGAAGATTTCGAAAATAATGGTTATTTGGCAAATGGAATTAAGTGTGTATATAAAGAGATAACCATATTAAAAAATTTGATTTTAAACTATTTTTAAGTAACTTACCATCAGAAAGTAGGGCTTCTTCTCCAGGTGGGAATGATTGACCAGGAGCCAAGGACCTGTTGGTTATGTCAGTACGAGCAGGGACAACTACAATATGTTAACATTTTATATTCCTTAATCAATATTTATATTAATGAATAATTATTATTACTATTATTTAGAACAATATTTTATTAAAACAAACCTGACAATATAATAATTTTTTTAGGAGGCTCTCCTGATTCTGCATAATTTTTATCAGGTATTTCTTTGTTGGAGGAAGGTTGAGAAACTTTGTGGGTATTGCTTTTGGTAATAGGATTTTTCTAGTAGGTCCGCCTTTTAAAAAATATTTTCCTTCAAAATGATTTTCACAAACCCGATAGTTTTTGTGGACATTCAATATTTTCGGTAGTAAATCTTCCCTACTGCAAGCTTCTATCCACATTTTTGCACTAATTTTTTTTTATTGGGTAAATACTAGACTAAACAATTATCAATATTACTAAAATATGATGAAAATAGTGACGGTGCGGTATGTTTGTACCCCGAATCGTACTAAGAGGGATGCAATCTATTGGAAATATTTTTATCATACACAATTATAATTAATTAATTAATAATGATATTTACCGTTCGTAGTCCTTCGGAAAACTAAATAAACTTAATCCTTGGCCGGTTTTGGACGAACAAGAACGGTATGCACAAAAATATCCAGATCCAGACATTCTATTACAACACCAAAAAAACACCAAAAAATATCACATAACAGCTCACAGACTAAACACAACTTGGACTGAGTTTGACAGATAACATGACATTGAGTGATACACAACTTATTTTCGCACATGCGCGTATCAAAACGGTACCCTGAAAACACCAAGCTGTCGCTTCTCCTTGATCGGTATTCTCGGATTATACTCCACTTTGCCGTGTTGAATGCATTTTTGACGTCAATGCATATCATTGCCTGCCAGTGACGTTTGGTGTCTCCTATTATGGCTTTTATGGCTTCTACGGTAGATCGTCCTTTGCGGAATCCGAATTGGGTCTCTGAAATAATAAGGTGCTCTTCCAATTTGTTTTTTATTAGATGTTCCAATAACTTGCCCAGCACGTCCAAAATGCAAATTGGTCTGAATTTCTCGTCTTCTATGTTTCCCTTAGGGAGAGAGCTACTCTTGCCCTTGTCCAGGGTGTCGGGAAGATCTGTTGTTTGGCTATATTATTGTATACTCGTAGAAGTTCCATTGGCATTACTCCCGTGGCCGCCTTAACGGTTGCCGGAGTAATACCATCAGGCCCTGGTGATTTCCCTGGCTTTAGTCTTGCGGAGGCCGCAATTAGTTCTTCGGCTGTAAAAGTTTCGTAGTCCGGTGACGTCTCGCGAGCTTCGTTTTCCTCTATCCAGTCTGGAAAGAGTGTATTTATGATTTGTCTTTTTTTTTCGTTAGGTAGCTCGTATGGCGATAACTGACTTCTTAAATTTCGGGTGGCGATTTTATATCCCTGACCCCATATGTCGTTTTCTAATTCGCTACATAGCTCTCTCCATCTCTCTCTTTTTAATCGATTTATCTCGTGTGTGTATTCTTTCTTGGAGCCTTTATATCCAGTTTCTAACTCCGCCAATTGCTCCGGTGTGGTTGTTCTTCTACCTCTGGCCCTAGTGAGGTGTCTTCTGCAGGCGTTACATATACTCCTTCTCTCCGCGACATCGTTGTTCCACCAGTATGGGACATTCGTGTATGTTTGTAGTGTGTGTCTGCTTTCGCTGGCTTGTTGTGCAGCTTTTAGAATTTTGACTAGTTCTTCGTGCGAGTCTCCAGTATTATGTTTGAGGAGTTCCAGGGTATTGTGAAGACATTCGGTGTCCACTAGTCTATTCGGAGCGTAGATCATTTGCTTCTTTTTTTGTGTTGCCCCCGTTTGTTCAATCTCAAACATTATGAATCTGTGCAGACTCAAAGATTCTTCCAGCGATACTCTCCAATTTTTGGTTCTCCTTAAGGTTCGTTGTGACGCTATTGTGATATCAATGAATGATTCACTCGCTCCCCTAGTAAAGGTGGGTACTTGTCCGTTGTTTAGAGCGGTTAAGTCTAGGGTGGCCATCCAGTTCTCAAGATAGAAACCTCTTTCATCTGTGGTGTTTGGGCTCCAATGAGATGATTTCGCATTGAAGTCGCCCAAGATTATTATGTTCGAGTTGTTTGTAGATCTCGCGTCTTCCATAATCTCGTCTATTTTTTTACAATACTCGTCTCTGGGTATGTTTGGGGAGATGTAACAGTTAAAAATGTCGGTTCCGTTTACGGACAATCTTATGTAGCTGGTTTTGGATTCGTGGGCAGTTATACCTACCTTTTTATTTTTAACAATGACTGCCACATCTTTTCTTGTGTTAGAGATGAGACCAGTGTTTGATACAATTTTTTTATTAGGTTCTTGGATAAAGATTATGTCAATGTCCTCTCTTGCTGCAATTGCATTCGCGACATCGTGTGCCCTTCTGGCACGTCCGACATTTATTTGTAAGATTTTATACGACATTATGGTGGTGCGTGTGTGTTTAGTTAGTCTGTGTGTTCAGTGCTGTCCATTGCCACTATCGTGGCACGGGCTTCATTCGCTAGATCGTCGAATTGTTTGTTGAAGGACTCTTCAAGTACCTTGGGCTCCTCGCCTTTTATCTCGGGCTCTTCTACTTGTATCACTTCTTCTTGTTTCTTGGGCTCTTCCTCTTGTTTCCTGTTAACGGGGGGTCTTTCCGTGGTGCGTGCGATGGGAGTATTATTTCTCTCTCAGATTCTGGCATTTTTGAGAGCCATTTTAAATTTTGGGCACTTCATAGTACCCATTTTGTGTCCGATCTCCTTGCATAGAGGGCATGCCTCCTCGTTTGTACAGTCTTTGGAACTGTGCTCGCTCTTTCCACATTTAAAACAGTCCTTCGAGCGGTCTGGGCCTTCGCATGAATCTGCGTAGTGGTCGTATGACCAGCATTTCTGACATCTTCTAATGTTTAGTCTTTTTTCCACCCTGCATTTTACCAGGCTCACCCGTAGGGAACCTTCTTCCAGGATCATATCCGATTGACTTGGTTTAAGCATGAGAGTCGCAGCTAACGTGTCATTGCTTAGCGGGCGTAGTTCACTTATTTTATTTTCCTCTTCCCATTCTCCCGTGATCTCTATGACGGATTGTCTTATGTCTTCTACGGTGGTGTCCGCTTCCATCCCTCTTAGATGTATGGCTATTCTCTTTTCCATTCCTAGCCTTTTGGTTTTTAGGCCTGTAGTGCTATCCTTTAGCGCTTCATGGAGATTTGTGAGAGCAGCCTGATCTTTATCTAACGTAAGCAGTAGTTTTCCATCCTTAGTACTCCTTAGGCCTCTGATGGCTTTGACCGAGGAGTTGCTTCCGACAATGGTTTTGACCCTGCCTAGGACCTCTTTGTACGATTTTTCTCCGTCGCTAATGATCATTCCGTATGTCTTTTTTCCCTTTCGTCTTCTCTGTTAGCCGTGGTGTAGATGGCTACTTTGGTATTTGCATCGCGGAATACTGCCTCTGTCATCTTCCGAAGGTTTTCTAGGGTAATGGTGGTAATATGGTGAATCGCCACCCGCTCGTCCGTCAGAGTCTCCTCCTTGATCTTCCGGAGTGTCTTCCATATATCTTGCATGGATCCATCATGCTGTGCATTTATTATTTTTTTGGTGCTTAATTCCGTACTGTCATTGTTAGACTTTATTTTTGTAATTTGTTCGATGACTTCAAAGTCGCTTTTAATGTTGTTTAAACCTAACCTAACCTAACTTTTTTTTTTTTTTTTTTGTGGGGAAAGCTCAGCCAGCCTCCGGCGCTTGTGCTAACGTCGTCTATCGCGCCGGAGAGTGTGGGACTCAGGTGTTTGAAGTCCACCCGCCTACCCTAACTAAAACCCCACCACGCACCTCAGACCTGTTGGGAAAACCGGGATACTCTCTCGAGTTTTACTTCGGTCACCCAGATCTTTGCCTCAGTAGATATCATTGTTTAAAGATTTTTGTGTATGTCTTTTCATGTTCCCCCCATTTCCTGATAATCTCTTTCTTCTTCTTCTTCTTCTTCTTCTTCTTCTTCTTCTTCTTTCTTTTTAATAACCTCCGTAATAAAGTCTTCGATGGCGTTCTATCTTTCTTTTTTCTCGATCATCTTACCTATTATGTTTTGAGGCGTAAGGTTTCCTACCTTATCCATAATTATCCTCCTCTTTTCGCTCCACCTATTACATCTAAATATCGTGTGTTCCGGGCTGTCTTCCTCTTCTTGTCTGCAGTATATACAGGTAGCGTTTGCGGATTTTCCAATTCTATGTGTATAGCTACGGAAGGAGCCGTGACCGCTCAGAAATTGCGTAGTGAAATAGTTTGCTTTGCGGTGTTCGCATCTTAGCCAGATCTGAATATTTGGGATAAGTGTTCTGGTCCACTGCGCCACAGTCGTGGTATTATCCCAGTCTACCTGCCAGCTAATAAGGCTTGTGTTCCTCTCTTCCCTCCTGATGTTACTAGTAATTAGTATGCCCTCTCTTTTTCTCTCATGTAATCTTACCCTCTCTTGTACCAAGATTTTAATGGGAGGCACCCCTGCTAGCACCGTTGCTGCACTGTGTGACACTGTTCTGTAGGCACTTATAACTTTGAGCAACATCTTTCGTTGCGTGCTATCCAGCATCCCTCTGTATTTTTTTACATTAGTTACGTGGTGCCAGATTGGTGCCCCGTACAGGATGACCGATTGTACAACGTTGTTCAACAACATCCTCTTACTACTGGAGGGTCCTTCTAAGTTGGGCATCAGCTTCACTAGTGCAGCGTAAGACTTAACTGCCTTCTCGACACTCTTCCTTATATGTTGATTAAAGATTAGCTTGTCATCCACATGTATTCCAAGGCATCTAACACTTTTTATAGGGTTAATAATGCTACGTCCCATTGTGAAGCTGATACCTGTCCTTTTTCTCGGCCCCTTAAAAATCACAGCTTCCGTTTTCTGTGGGGCAATCTTTAACTGATTTATATTCATCCAGTTCCAAATTCTGTCTAAAGAGATGTTTGCTTTTTCCATTAGCCCTTCCTTTGAGCCAGATCGTATTACTAGGGTCAGATCATCAGCGTACGCGATTGTTTCACAATCTGGAGGTAGCTCCATCTTAAGACCGTCATTGTAGAGGATGTTCCACAGCGTTGGTCCCAGAATGGATCCCTGTGGAACCCCTTGTGACATAGATTTTTTATAACCTTCCACTGAGATCTCTCTATTCTGAAAATAACTTGTTATCAAGTTCACTAGCCACTCCGATGTTCCTCCTTCCTGAAGTCTGCGGATTATTAATGATCATTTTGCTGTGTTAAATGCATTTCTCACGTCGATACATACAATGGCTTGCCAGTGGTGCCTAGTGTCGCCGATAATTGTTTCCACCGCTTCTATTGTTGACTTTCCCTTACGGAATCCGAACTGTGTTTCCGCTAAGTTTCTGTAGTCCTGTAATTTCGCGAGAACTATATGTTCCAAAACTTTTCCGAGTACATCCAGTATACATATAGGTCTGTATTTGTTTTCCTCGGCGTCTCCTTTCGGGATTAGCGCCACCCTCGCTTTTTTCCATAAATTAGATAATATCTGATTTTCTATGGCCTTGTTATATACTCTTAGGAACTCGTCCGGCATTACCCTAGAAGCAATTTTAACAGTTTCCGGTCTTATCCCGTCCGGGCCTGGGGCTTTTTTTGGTTTGATCTTATTTATTGCCTGTTGTAATTCTTCGAGGGTGCATGGTTCATATAGGTTTGATGCTTCCCAGATATCCAGCTCATCGTCCCAGTCTGGGAATAATTCCTCGATGATTTCTTTTTTCCTAAGTGCCGGTATATCGTATGGTATGTTTGGTTTTTTAAGTTGCCTCGTGGCGATTTGGAATCCCTGGCCCCAAACGTCCTCCTCTAGTTCCTCGCAGAGTGTTTTCCATTTTTTTTCTTTGAGTTCTTTATCTCTCCCCTGTATGTTGTCTTGATTTCTTTATAAGTTTGTTCTAGAGCTTCCAGATGCTCGTTCGTTATTGTCCTTCCAGCTCTGGCTCTGGCTCTTATTAGCCTTCGCCTAGCCATGTTGCAACCCTTCCTCATTTCGTTGATTGTTTCATTCCACCAGTATGTTATATTTTTTTGAGTCGGGTGGCTAGACTCGCTGAGTTGTTGTGCCTTCTTAATGATTTCGGTTAGTCTATTATAGGAGTCTCCAACCTTGTGCTTCAGGATGTCGGTTGTACTGGCTATTATCTCGCTGTTATAATGTTTTTCGCCGGTGTAAATATTATATCTCTTACTCCAAGGCTCTTTCTCTGTAGTTTCGAATATTATGTTTCTGTGGAGACTTAGAGACTCTTCCAGGGATACTTTCCAGTTTTTAATACGTCTGTATGCTCCTTCTGAGGCTAGTGTGATATCTAAATGGGATTCGCTATTTCCCCTGACAAAAGTTGGAGTCGACCCTTCGTTGATTGGAATCAGATCCAATGTTGTCATCCACGTCTCTAGGTATTCCCCGCGTTCGTCTGTGGTTTTCGCGTTCCATAGCCTAGATTTTGCATTCATGTCTCCCAGTAAGATCGTTTGCGGGTTGTTATTCTTCCTCATATCCTCCATTATCTCGTCAATTTTCGTTTCAAAGTCAACTTTTGAAATGTTAGGAGATATATAACAGTTGTAGAAAGTTATCCCGCATATGTCGATTCTGACATAACCTACTTTTCTCACGTGTGTTTGCACTCCCACTCCTTTATTGATGACAACGATCGCGACGTCCTTGTTTTTATCTGCTATTAGTTTCATATTGTCCGTGATTTTTTTATTAGGTTCCTGTATAAATATCACATCTACCTGGCTTCTTTTGGCTGTTGCGAAGGCAACATCATGTGCCCTAACGGCACGGCCTACGTTTATTTGAAGAAATTTCATTAAAAAATTGGTAGTGTTACAGCGGTATTTATGGGTCAAAAGTGAAGGAAGAAAGCGAAAAGATAGAGTTTAGTAGTCCTGGTTAAAGAATCGGAACTTTAAGTGTTTAAATATGTGTTTGTCCTTCTGAGGCTTTTTTTTTGGATGAAGGGGCGATGCCCCCCATTAGTGTATGTAGTTTGAATTTGCCCTCCTAATTTCTTCTCTGAGGGCTTTTTGATACTTAGGACATCTATTGTTACTGTGACCTTGTTCTTCACATGTCCAGCAGTACGGAATATGATTCGTACAGTCTCTCATGTAATGTCCTCTGTCGCCGCATTTTCTACATCTATCCTCTCTACTAGGTCCTATACACTCCGAGGCCTTATGTCCCATCTTCCAGCATTTATAGCATTTCTCGAACACTATCCTTTCTCTAGCCCTGCAGCTTGCCCATCCTATTTTAATATGTCCTTCTTTTAAAATTTCCTTGGCGCTTTCCTCGTCCACCATTACCATTGCCGTTTGTCTGCCTCCTGCAATTTGTCTCAATGGCTTAACTTCCATTTTGGCGCCCTCGACTAAGGTTTTTATTGCTGCCTCAACTTCTTCCTGAGTGGTGATAGCGTCTATGTCCTGTATGTATATTGGTATTTTATTGTCTCCTGCATTTTTAATGGAGTCTCCGTCCCACTTCTTCGATATAATACTTTTGAGTCCCTCCGGGTCCTCATTCCTGTTTAATGTAATCAGAAGGTCCCCATTCCTGGTTCTTTTGAGATCTCTTATATAATTTTTAACCTCCTTGGCTTTAAACTTCCCTCTTACCTCTTTTAACAGGTCTTCGTACTTCTTTCCCTTAGCCTGTATGACCAGGGCTTGGGTATTGAAGTTTCGTTTCTGCTTTCTCGCAGCTACAGCCTATCCTTCCATGTTGTTTAACACCTTCTGTTTCCTTCTATCCATGTCGTATATTTCAAGTTTGAGTTCTGTATCCAAGAATACCACTTCAGTTATTTTCCTTGTCCTTTCCGTCAGAAATTCACTATCACAGAGAAGTCTTACTCTTGTGCTCCCTCCCCTTTGCATAACGTCTTTTAGCTTAATGCAGCAGTTCATTAGTGCTTTATCTGCTCCTTCTGTAATATCCCCGCCGAGGAAGTAGATTTTTCTTTCTTCCGATTCATTTTTTTCAAATTCCATCCCTTCAAATTCTTTTTTTTTCTTGAGGCATGCCGTGTTTCCTCTATTGTCCATCTTTCCGTTGATAATTTTGCCTATCTCTTGGTTTTTCGCGATATTGAAAATATGACTTTCTTTGTCAGGGTCAAAGACTATAGCATGGTCTATATCCTCATCTAAAGTAGACGGGTTACCTTCAATGACTACTGTGTTTGTGTATGTTTCCCTACTCCATGGTCTGTTTATTACACCTTCGATGTCTTCTATGGTGTGTTTATTATTCAGGTCTTCGATAAGGTTTTCTCTATTTTTAATAGTCCTTCTTTCCTCTTCCGTTTCCGTCTGTGTACCAATTGTTGTCATGTTCGTGTTCGTCTGGACCCCCTTCTGTGCTGTCTTTTTTATTTCTTTGATTAGGAAATTTAAAATGGTCCACTTCCTCTCTAAGTCTTTTAACTGCCCGTACAAGAGCCTTTGTTTTATCTTTTATCTCCCTCTTGGTGTTAGAGTTTTCCTGTACCAGTATTGCCATGGCTTTTGCGATTTCTTCTATCGCTTCTAGATTTGTCAGTGTGAGTAAGGGCGTCTCATCTTCCTCTTCTTCCTCCTGGTTCTCGCCTTCTTTATCTTTGTAGTTCTCACTATCTATCTTCTTTATTCTTTTATTTCCTCCTGTATTCAGTACATTTAGGAGCATCATCTCTCCGTCTTCTTCGTAGAAGTCCGGGTTGTCCGATGTCCTTTCTCTCTTTTTAGAGGGTCCTTCTCCCTCTGTTTCTCCTCTGTCTCCTCTATCTATATTATCTACTATTGGGTCGAGGTCTATGATTTCTGTCCCTTCCTCTGTCATCTCAGTTTGTACCTGTACTCCTCCTGTCAGTTGAAAGAATGGGCTTTCGAAGACGTTATCTTCGAAGAAACCGGCTGATCCAGTTCCCGTCTGTAATGTATTCGGTGTAGTGGAGCATGACTGGAAGTTTTCTGTCATATCTGGGCGATCTCCGTCGTCTGATTCTGTGTTATCTTTGTTGATTTTTAATTTAGTTGTTGGGGGTGTCCTTGCAGGCTTCCTTCTCTTTGAGTTCCATTCTTTCGTAAGCCTATCTTCTTCGGCTTTCTGTATCTGTTCTTGCCGGTTTTTTTCTTTAATTTGTTGCACGTCAGTATTCGTTCCTAGGTCTTTATTCGTTCCGATTGTTGTATCCTCCTTGGGTCGGTTCCCCCCCAGTGAAGTTGTTAAAGAAATTGTTTTATCCATATATGATACCACAAATCGGGCAGAAATAAGGGTCCGGCGGGGCAGTGCTCCCTTACCCCGCTAAGGCTTAATACTCCGGGGGGTCGCCACGCCCCCAGAGGCATCGTTCGTGACCGCGTCCGTGCGGCCATGCATCCCTCGGCACGATGGCTCCCACCTTGGATTACGGCTTTTTTACGGCTGGTCTGCTCCATCCTGGTTTTCTGTCAGGGTTTTCCTTCCCTTAGCCGATGGATCCCCGTTTTATGGCGCCGGAAACTCGCCATTCGCCCTCCCATTTCAGGGTCGGACTTGCCGGTTTGCCTTTGTTAGCCGGGCTGATGTTCTTGAACTGGTACTTATTGGTGTCACCTAGTCGGCTTCAGTGACCCTACCACTGCCCCACCGACCGTTTCGAGCTGTTTGTCGGCTTCACTGCCCATTCCCGTCCCGTTGGGCGCGAGAACAGGGAGCTACTGAACCACTCCACCAACGGTAAGGTCTTACAGCTCCTAGGAGTGGAACCTAACCTAACCTAACCTAACCTAACCTAACCTAACCTAACCTAACCTAACCTAACCTAACCTAACCTAACCTAACCTAACCTAACCTAACCTAACCTAACCTAACCTAACCTAACCTAACCTAACCTAACCTAACCTAACCTAACCTAACCTAACCTAACCTAACCTAACCTAACCTTTTTTTTTTGGAGGAAAAATGCCTTTACGCACACCCTTGCAGGATGTTGGGCAAGGGTAGTGTGGGACTCACGAATTCAAATACCCACTAAAAAACCCCCGTGCGTCTGTGTTGTCCTCGTTTCCACCCCGGGACCACCTGCCGGCATTTCATCGGGGTGGGGACATTGTGCTTTGAGATTTTTTCTGTTTTTTCTGTTTTCTTAAAATCCTCCCATTTCCTGGAAGTCTCTTTCCTCCTCTTCTTTTCGTTTCAATATTTTTCTGATGTTATCAGTTATTTTGTTCCATCCTTCTTGATTTTCGATCATTTTTACCACGATGTTTTGTGGTGTAAGGTCTAGGTCTGTGATTGTCTCCCTGTCATGTCTCCACCTAGTGCATGAGAAGACTGTGTGTTCTGGTGTGTCGATTTCTCCACAGTACATGCAGTTTGGGTCGCTGGCTTTTCCAATTCTATTTGTGTAGTTTCTAAATGAGCCATGCCCACTTAGAAACTGAGTTATGTAGTTGTCCGTTCTTCGATGTTCACATTTTAACCAGGGATCTAATCTTGGGATGAGAACCTTTGTCCACTGTGCTGTTTCTACTGTGTTTTCCCATTCTTCCTGCCACATGGCTATTGAGTTTGCTTTTTCTGTTTTTTTGGTTTCTTCGTTTATTTCCTCCCCTCTTTTCTTTTTAGAATGAAGTATCACCCTTTCGTCCACCATTATCGTGATGGGAATGATTCCAGAAATTACGTTTGCCGCTTCTCTTGAGATAGTTCGGTATGCACATATTACTTTGATCGTCATTCTCCTCTGAAGGCTCTGGATCATTCTGTTGTATGTTTTGATCCCAGTTATCAACCTAACCTAACCTTTTTTTTTTTTTTGGATGAGGAACCTCATGGCCTCCCCAGTCTATCGCGACTGGGAGTGTGGGACTCAGGGTCTCTAGCTCTTGCTAGAGTAGTGCAAACCCTGCCTACCGCACCAAACCTCACCCCCTTTCCCTAATACCCTGGCATCATCCTTTCGGACATTCATCTGGGTGTGATTGTGTTTCATTTTCTATCTTTGGGCCTGTCTTCTTCTTTCCTCTTGTTCCTTTTCGCTCAATATTTCGTTTGCCATTCTCCTGACTACTTCCCAGTTGTCCGCTTTACTGATCATTGTGTCGATCAGGCTGTCTACGTCTGGGACCGTGCCCAGTGCCGCCCACGCCTCCTGCCTAGTTGTTTCCCATCGTTTACAATGGAAGATAGTATGAGCTGGTGTGTCAGACTGTTCACAGTACATATACGCGTCCGAATCTGCTTTGCCTATACGTCTTGTATAGGACTTGAAGCATCCATGTCCTGTGAAAAACTGAGACAGGTAATAGTCTAGATTTCTGTGCGGGCATTTGTACCATTACCTTATGTCGACTATCAGTCTTTTAGTCCACTGCCCTACCTCTCTGGTATTCAGCCACTCTTCGTGCCATGTCCGTATGCTAGCTTCCCTTTCTATCATTTTCCCCTCTCTGCCATTTTCTCCCCTATGAGTTCTAACTCTTTCTGATACCTGCAGATGTATTGGGATTATGCCTGTGACTACCTGGATTGCCTGTAATGAGCAATGCCGGTTTTGTACGCCGAGGCGACCCTCAGCGCGACTTTCCTCTGAGTTGTCTCCAGTCGTTTTCGATATTTGTGAATTTCCAGTGCTTGGGCCCAGACTGGTGCCCCGTAGAGCAGTATGGAGTGTACTACCCCACTTAGTAGTTCCCGTTTCTTGCTCTGGGGGCCGCCTATGTTTTTCATCAGCCTTGTCAGTGATGCAATTCTTGCCTCTGCCTTGATTGCTACCATCTCTATATGCTTGCCAAAGGTTAGGATGTCATCTATAACTATTCCGAGGTACTTTAGCTCTCTTCTTGGCGCTAATATATTTCTCTTAAACATTATACGTGGCTTCTCTCTATCTAATTTTTTCCATGGTCCTCTCAATATTATCAGTTCTGTTTTTTCCGGTGCCAGCTCTAGTTTGGTCCTATCCATCCAGCTCGTTATTTTGTGGAGCGCTATCTCAGCTCTATGTTCTAGGTCCTCCCTATCCTCACCCCTAACCAATACTGCTAGGTCATCGGCGAAACCAATTGTTTTTATCCCCTCCCCGAGTTCCAATCTCAGGACCCCGTCGTAGAGAATGTTCCACAGCGTGGGTCCTAAGACCGATCCCTGTGGTACTCCAGCGGTCACTTCTAACGATATCCGGTCCACTACAATCTCCCTTTCATTGAGGTAGTCAGACAACACGTTTTGTAGGTAATCCGGTAGGCCCCTTCTTCTTAGTTCTCTTAGGACCATGTCCCATGCCGCCGTGTTAAAGGCATTCCTTATGTCTAGCGTGATCAGTGCTAGCCATCTACACCCTGCCACATATTTTGCCACTTTTTTAACCTCCTCGACTGCGTCCACCGTTGATCTACCCGGTCTGAACCCGAACTGGTTTTCGGCCAAACCCCCGTTTCTGTCGACCTCCTTGTCTACTCTACTTCTGATCAGTCCTTCGTAGATTTTGCTCATTGCGTTTAGTAGACATATCGGCCTGTAAGATGACGGCAGGCCCACTGGTTTTCCCGGTTTCGGAATAAGCACCAAGCTAGCCTTTTTCCACTCTCTTGGGAACTCCTGTTTCTCTATCAGCTGGTTATATATACTAAGTAGCAATGACGGTGCTATTTTCCCCACTTCCTTGATGGCTTCCATAGGTACTCCATCGGGGCCCAGAGCTTTCTTACTTTTAGCTTTTTCCAGGACTGCTTTTAATTCCTCGACCGAAAAAGGTGTTACAACGGCAATGGGTCTCGTGTTGCGTTTCAGCTTGGTTGTTTGTGGGAAAAGATGTCTGGCTATTTCTTTTTTTTGTGTCGTTGACAGTTCTGCCGGTGACTGTATCCCCAGTCGACCCGTTACTATTTTGTAGCCGTCTCCCCATATATCATCGTTGAGATCTTCACATAATTCCGCCCACTGCTGATTCTTGAAGTTTTTTATTAAATTTTTTAGCTCCTTCTTACAGGTTCTAAACCTCTCTCTAGCTTGCATTTTTTCATCGTCCGTATAGCCCGTCATTTTCCTCTGTGTAGTCCTTCTAATCCTCGTTGCTTCCTTACGTTTGTTGTCGATCTCGCTGCTCCACCAGAACAGATATTTTTTTAGAGACTTGGTCTTCGATCTCACGCAGTCTTTATAAGACCTTTCGACTAGTTTGGTGGCTTCTTCCGGGTCCATTGTTACGTCGGTGGCTCTTATTTCTATTATTGTTCTGAACGCCTCCCAATCCACCGTTACATGCTGCCTGGTCCTTTTAACTGCTACTTTTGCATTTATGTCGAAGCAAATGTACTGGTGGTCGCTTAGGTTCTCCATATCTAGTACTGCCCAGTTCTCTATTTTCCTTCCGACTTTTCTTGATGACAGAGTCACATCTATGAATGATGACTGGTCTCCCCTTATAAAGGTGGGTTTTCCCCCAGTGTTATGTACCATTAAGTCCCGTGCCGCAATTTCCACGGTTAGGTATTCGCCTCTTGCGTCCTCAGTTGGGGATCCCCATTGCGGGGATTTAACGTTAAGGTCGCCCATCATGATGAATTCTCCTCCTGTGTTGATACAGAAGTCCATCATCTCCTCTATGCTTTCGGTGAATAAGTCCATGTCAGTATTTGGAGATATGTATCCTGCCACTATAGTGAATCCCTCCAACTGGAGGCCTAGGTACCCTTTTTTTAGGGAGATCTTGTTTACGGTGATTTTTCGGTTCCTAAGGTATATGGCTACGTCTGCATTTTTGTCTGTTATCCACCTCGGGGAGTCCGTAACTCGCTTTTTGTTTGGTTCGCTGACCACCAGTACATCCGCTTCAAGTTCTGCTGCTGCTGCGTGTAAGTCGATAGCCCCCCTAACCCTTTTCAGGTTGGCCTGCAGCACCCTTATATTACTTTTAATCAGTTCTGTGAAGCATATGCGGCACCAGCCACGCTCGTTGCTCCCCCGCTCCTTTTTGGATCGCCTCTTTAAAAGCAGGGCATTTGAAACTGGCGTTTCGGTGCCCCTCCTTTTTACATGTCCAGCAGTACTCTGTAGCCTCCCTACAGTCTGCCCCCTTATGGCCTCCTCCCCCGCATCTTCTGCATTTGTCCCCCATAGGCTTCTCTTTGCAGCCTTTAGCCATATGGCTTATGCTGCCGCAGTTAAAACACCTATTAATAGGTATTTTTTTTTGAATTCTGCAGGAGGACCAGCCAATTCTGATGTTTTGTTGTCTTAGTAGTTTTTCTACGTTTTCCCCACTGCTTTCTAGGGTGGCCGCCTGCCTGCTCCCTGCCATAGGTCTCATAGAGGTGACAATAATGGTGCCAGGTCCTGTGACACTTTCCACCACAGCCACTAGTTCCTCCGCCGTGGTCACCGCGTCCACGTCGTAGACGTGGACCGCAGCACTATTTCCTCTCAGACTCTTTACCTCGGCCTCTCCCACATGCTTCTTTAGTTCTTCCTTTAGAACGTGAAGATTGTCTTCGTTATCCATTTCGAGGAGCAAGTCCCCCGCCCTTGTCTTTTTAATAGTTTTGATGTCTTTCGTAACATTTCCTGTGACATTGGTTTTTAACTTTCTGAGCATATCTTCGAATGTAGTCGCGCTGTCCCTAATTACTAAAGCTGGAAGAGTTTTGCTTTTAGGCTTTTTCAGGGTTTCTGCCCATTTACCTCCTTCGCTTGCTAATCCCGTGTCCATATCGAACACGATAACCTCCTTATTTCTCCCCCAAAAGACACATTCCACTATTTTCCGGAACTTCTCCGTTATGGCCCCCGGGTGGGTCACTGACCATCACAAGTTTTTCGGATTCGGTCTGTTCCATTCTGTTCCTTATTTCCATAAGGAGTTTAAAGTTTCCTTCGTCTGATGGGGCTAGCCCAGCCAGGAAGTTAGCTCTCCCTGTTTTTTTTGTAAGGGTTTCGCCATCGATTTCAAGCCTCCTAGTATTCTCTAGGGTGGCCACCATCCCCTTTTTAATTTTCCCCAGGTCGATTACGTCTTTGATGTGCCTTTGGCCAGCGAGATTTATACAATCCGGTCCCTTCTCCGGGTCGAAAAGAAGCGCTATGTCCAGGTTTTCCCCGCCTATGTTCGTGGGGTTGCCCTTTCCAATTCTTGTTGTCAGGTATGCGTTCGTTTCCCAACGCTCATTACAAATCTCATCAATTCTCTCCCACTTTCCCTCCTCTACGACAGTTTCGACCTCCTCTTTTGTGATCTCCTCAGATTCGCATCTACTACACCGGTTTGTTGTGATTATCTTTGTCACTTTCTCCTCTGGGGGATTTATTCTTTCTTGTCCTTTTATTTCTATAAAATCTTCCGTAACGACACTCAATTTTTGTACTGCCCTTGACAGTTTTTTTATTTTTTCTTTTATTTCCTTCTTTGTATTAGTGTTCTCCGTGGCTAGTTTGCCGAGACTTTCGGAGATCATTTCGACTTTTTTCAAGGCTTCCCTTAGTACTTTCCTTTCCTCGTTTGCGTACGGGCTTTCCACTCTCTTTCTTTTGGATTTCCTTTCGTCTGACTCTTCCTTGTCGGATTCTATTAAAATAGAGTTAATGTCTCCTTCCATCTCTATAAAAGAATCCCTCCTTACCACCGTATCTCTCGGTGGTGACCTGCCCAAAGAATGTCTCCTGTTATGCTCTTTCATCAATTCTTCTTCAAACAATCTCCTCTCTGTTTCTTCTCAACCTAACCTAACCTAACCTAACCTAACCTAACCTAACCTAACCTAACCTAACCTAACCTAACCTAACCTAACCTAACCTAACCTAACCTAACCTAACCTAACCTAACCTAACCTAACCTAACCTAACCTAACCTAACCTAACCTAACCTAACCTAACCTAACCTAACCTAACCTAACCTAACCTAACCTAACCTAACCTAACCTAACCTAACCTAACCTAACCTAACCTAACCTAACCTAACCTAACCTAACCTAACCTAACCTAACCTAACCTAACCTAACCTAACCTAACCTAACCTAACCTAACCTAACCTAACCTAACCTAACCTAACCTAACTTAACCTAACCTAACCTAACCTAACTTTTTTTTTTTGGCGGGTGGAAATGCTTTACGCACATCGGGTACCGGATCGTTCCTTCCCCGATAGTGTGAGACTACCCCCTACGGCTACTCACTAAAACCACCCCGTTCTCCCTAAAGCCCGGGACCGTCTTTCCAGACATTTGCGTCGGGCAATAGTTGATGCCTCGGTTCTATCTAATACTTCTTTCTTCTTCTGCCTTCTTTTCCATTATACTTGTAAAGAACTTTTCTCCCTGCTCCCAATTTCCCTTGTTGACCATCATCCATTGTACCACTCTTCTCACGTTTATTCTTTCTCCCATACTTAATTCTAGGGCCACTCTTGGTACCTTCCACCTGGGACATGCTGATATTGTGTGTTCCACGTCGTCTGTGGCTCCGCAGTAGTCGCAGTCTTCCGATATAGTTTTCCCGATTCTTCGGGTATATTTCTTGAAACTACCATGGCCGGATAGCACCTGCGTGAAATAGAAATTTGTTCTTCTGTGTTTGCATTCCAGCCATTCTCTTATATTTGGTATAAGAGTTTTGGTCCACTGCGCTACTGCTGCCTGCTGCTCCCACCTAGTCTGTCATCTTTGGATCGTAGCCTCCCTGGCTTCCTTCTTTATATCATCGGTGATTTCTTCCTGCAGAGACAGTTTGCACCTCTCTCTTGCCATTTCATCTATTGGTGGTATTCCTGCAATTACTGCCACTGCCTCTGCAGACACCGTTCTGTAGGCACTGGCAACCCGGATAAGCATTCTTCTTTGCATCCTTATTAGCATGTCCCTGTATTTCTTTATTGACAGTGCCTTTCCCTAAACTGGCGCTGCGTACAGCACAATGGAGGCCACTACCCCGTAGAGCAGTCTTCTACTGTAGTATCCGGGTCCTCTTAGATTCGGTAGGATTCTGGCTAGTGAAGCCACCTGTCTATTGGCTTTCTCGCAGGTTTTCCTGATGTGCTCGCTGAAGGTTAGTTTTCCATCGACATGAACCCCTAGATATTTTACCACCTTTTTGGGCCTTATTTCATTCCCCCTTACCATGAAAATAAAATCTTCCCTTTTTCTAGGACCCTTGACGATGAGGGCTTCAGTCTTTTCCGGAGCAATTTCCAGGCCCTTTTCCTTCAGCCAGGCGCAAACACACGAGAGCGCTATGTCCACCTCGGTCATCAGGTCCTCCTTATCCTCACCATTTATAACTAGCGCCAGATCGTCCGCATACGCTACCTTATGGCATTTTGCGCCTAGGTTTAGCTCGAGGACTCCATTGTACAGGACATTCCACAATAGCGGCCCAAGTACCGAGCCTTGCGGGACACCCTGTGTCACTGCAATCTCCTTTGTTCCTACGATTATTTTTCTGTTGCAGAAGTAGTTTTTAACTATGTTCAGCAGGTATTCACTCACACCCATGTCCTGCAGGCTTTGCACGATTTGACTCAATTTGGCCGTATTGAACGCATTTTTTATGTCCACAAACACCACCACACACCACTTGAATTTCCCACTCTCTGCCAGCTGGATCACCTTGCTGATCGCATCGCAGGTGGACCTTCCCTTCCGGAAACCAAACTGGTTTTCTGACATTACGCGCCGCTGTTCCAGTTCCTTCTCCATCCTTGTTTTGACCAGATGTTCGAGCAGTTTGGCTGCTGTATCGATAAGGCATATTGGTCTATATTTGCCTAAAGCAGGATCCCCTTTGGGTAAAAGACATACCTTTGCCCTCTTCCATTCATGCGGTATCTCTGAACTCCTAACTATCTCGTTCATCATTGAGAGTATGACATTTGGCATCTCCTCTGCGACAATCTTTATGCTTTCTGACGCCGTCTGATCCCGGAGCTTTACCCGTTTTTAACTTATTTGCGGCATCCATTAGTTCCTTTCTAGTAAAGGAGGTGGGTTATTAACTGCCACTTTACCAGTAATCGGCCTGTCTCTCGTCTCTGGAAAAAGTTCCTCTAGAATTTTCACTTTTTTGTCCTCTGAGACCTCGTATGGCGTCATCATATTTTTAAATTTGTTCGTGACTATTTTGTAGCCTTGCCCGAAGGGGTCCTCTTCCAGATCACTACAGAGCTTCTCCCAGCTTTCAATTTTTGACCTCTGGATAGCCTTCCTCAGCTGTCGTCTCCTATCTTTGTATGTCCTCTCCGCCTGTTCAATATCTTCTGGCAGTACATTGTTGGCCCTCATCCTGGTTAGTCTTCTCCTAATCTCCAGGCACCGGCGTCTATCATTCTCGATGTCCTCAGTCTACCATACGGGCATTTGATTGTCGCGGTTTTTGATTTTTGTCCTACTGAGACTGTTGTTTTGAGCGGCTTTGATTACGCCCACCACCTCTTGAGGGGAGGTCGGTTGCCTAGAAGCTGTCAGGTGTGTCTCTGAATAGCTGTTTGTCCAGGACGGTCTTCCCGCCATAGTGACCCTTGCTTTTCACACCACCCATCTCTATTAGAATGTATCTGTGTTAGTGATGGGTAGCTGGGAAATTTCCCCGGGGAATTTCCATTGGGAACGGGAAAATTCCCGGGAATTTCCCCAAACCCTAATTCCCGAAAAAAAAAACGGAAATTTTTCTATTCAGTGAAATTTAAGAAAGCTTAGCGAAAAACTTACCGTGTTACAGAAAAATGAGGAAAAAATTTTATGGATAAATATTTGGAAAAAAAAACTTATGCGCTTACATCTATTCATAAAGGATCTTGTCTATTAGATCCAAAGGCGCAAGGTTGATACTTAATTGTTGAAGAACAACTCGATGTCATTAAATACTTAGCTTCGCAAGAAGTTCACATTTCTCTGATGATGTTTTTTCTCCAATAAGCTTGTTGAAATTTCCAATTATAGAGCGCACGAAGGTATGTGGGTGAAAGATTTTATTTGGACTGCTTCACAGAATGTAACACCTGTCGTTTGGTGGAAGGGAATTATTGGACTGAATCAGCTATCAAAAGTGGCAGTAAAAATTCTTTCTGTTCCTGCTACTTCAGCTTCGACTGAGCGAACTTTTTCCACATTTTCTGCAGTTCAAATAAAGAAATGGAACAAGCTAACAACTCTGCGTGCAATAAAATTAACGTACATCGCCCATTACTGGCGAACGCGTAACAAAGACAGCTGTACAGGATGTACCACGTTTTGTCAAGTGTCCGTCTATTACTAGTTTGACTCAAGTAACTGAAAGTGTTCAGCATTCCAACATGATAGTGCCGGAAGCAGAGATACCTAGACCTTCAGGCCTTTCAAAATCACCAGTAAATTTTGAGTCAGAGACAGAGACGGAGACAGAAACTTCTTCGGAGGACGAAGAAATTCTTTATCAGGACTCTGATTCTGATGAGGAAGACGTGACCAATGAGGTTAATAGCTCAGAAACTGAAGTTTAGTTTTGTTTTTACATACTTTGAAGGGGTAAGTGGATGAAGGGGTTATGTTATAAAAAATAGTTTTTGAGCAATTAACTTTTTAATTAGATTCATTGGCATTTTTAGTGAAAAATGTCTTTAACATGCGTTTTTTGAGTTAGTAAGTGTGTTTATCAACTAATTAGACGTACAAGACCAGACCAAGACAAGACACATATGAACTTAATTAATTCTTAATCAACATAAAAATAGGATTAAAAATGTTACATAATCCCTTCATCTACTTATCCCTTCCTTTCATAATACTCAACAGTTTTATATTCTACTAGGCAGATATTTTATTTGTGTTTTTTTTAGTTAAAGGATATCTTTTTTAATAACAGAAAATGATATTTAGATTTAATTTTTTTTTGTGTTGTTATAGTAAGAAGATATATTTTTTGATTTGTTGCCAAAGAAAATGTGTTGTTTTCAAAAAAAAAAATGGATATTTTAATTTAATTTTTATCTTGATTGCGTCTTGCGTAATGAATAGATGGAATAGAAAATAAACTGAAATTCACAAAAATGTATCGGGAATTCTTGGGGAAATTCCCGGGAAAATTTCCCGAACACTTGGTTCCCGGAAATTTACCCATCACTAATCTGTGTAGGCTAAGTGGCTCAAGGTCCTCCAGGACAGTCCATTTCCTTACTCTGTCAGTCAGTCCGCTGGAGCAGAACGATATGTCAATAATCGACTTTTGGTCCTTTCTAGTGAATGTTGGAGTCGTTCCTGTGTTCAGTACTACAAGATGGAGGGCCATCAGGCAGTCGGCCAGGAATTCCCCTCGCTAATCCTGGGTGTTCAATCCCCACAGTGCTGATTTCGAGTTAAAATCTCCCACTACCAGGACTTCCCTACTTTCGCTCTGTATGTCATCCATCAGGCCGTCGACGTAGGACTTGTATGTTTCAAGGCTAACGTTTGGAGATATGTAGCAGTTATAAAGAGTGAACCTCGCCATGCTTAGTTTGGAAAATCCATTTTTGAGAGTATGCGTCACTACTCCACATGTTCGGTTCCTGCAATACAGGGCCGTGGTTTCCTCCTTGTCTAACATCCATCTAGGGTCCCTGTTTGTCTGTGGTCTGTTGGGTTCCTGTACTGCAATAACATCGATGTTCAGGGAATCAGTGGTAGCTCGAACTAAGTCTTGGGCCTTTCCTCTTCTGTCTACGTTTATTTGTAGAATTTTAACTGGCATGGGGAGTTGTGGGTAGGTCTTATTGGTCGGGGGTATCCCGCCCCTGTGGGGCTACGCCCTGCCGGGTCTCGATGGGTGTTTCGTCCGTCTGCATATCGTCTTCCAGCGTGTTCCCAAAATTTACATCAGGCTTTGTCTCCTTTAGGTTTGGCTCTGAGGTGCTATTTTTGCTTCTGCGGTGTACCTGTCTTGCCGTTTTTAGCGCTGTTTTAAATGCCGGGCATTTTAACGTACTCACCTTATGGCCCGTCTCGTTGCAGACTGGGCAGGCTTCCTCGTTGTCACACTCCTTGGCAATGTGGCCGTCTTTTCCGCATCTAAAGCAGCTCTCCTTCCGCTCTGTGGCTTGGCATTTATCTGTCCTATGTTCATAGAACCAGCACCTGGCACATCTTGGGACTCTTAGCCTCTTTTCTAATCTACACCTTACTAAGCCAACCGTTGGGATGGTGACGGTTGCAGCCATCTGATTGTTGGCCATTGGCCTAAGCTCGCTTAGCTTGTGTAGTTCCTCCTCCTAGTGTCCTAGTTTCTCCTGAAGCGCCTGCCGGAGGTCCTCCCTGGTACACTCCATGTCCATGCCCCTGACGTGGAGAGTCTCTGTCCTACCATCCTCCCCGATCTGTCTAGTTCTGAGGCCTTCCACCGATTCTTTCAGCGCTTTTTGGATGTCGCTGACTGCCTTTTGGTCCTTGTCAAATACTATGACCATCTTCCCGTCTTTAGTGCTCTTAATCGTCCTTATGGCTTTCCTTGCTTCATTACCGGCTACCGCGGTTTTCACTTTTCCTAGGATTTCCTTGTAGGTTGCCCCGCCACTAACTACCATGCCTAGTGTTGGTCTTACTTTTGTGTCCCCTTTGCTGGTTTTCTCCTTATATGCATTTGTTGTGTGTATCTCAACCATGGTTATGGACTCGTGGAAGATAACCTCTATCGCCTTTCTAAGCCACTCTATGGTGTGCTCTTGCAAGTGGTGTATTGCCACTTTTTGGTCTTCACGTGTTTCCTCTTTGAGGGCCTTGAGTCTTCTCCATATGTCCATCGTGGGTGATCTTTACCACCTTTCTAGCTATTGGAGCCGTAGCTCCCTGGATCTGCTTGGACCTAATACCATACCTCAAAGGGGTCGGTCAAGTCCGCTAGCTCTGGGTACTTGTCTTTAAACATCTTTTGAATGCTGGCTTGCATATCGGGGTCTTTAGGCTCTACCATGACTACGCGAACAGTTCCATCTTCGGTACCTAGCGGATCTCCAACTATTACTTTCGAGTTTGTATATACGTCATCCGGCCATATTAGGTTCTCAATACTTGTGAGCTCTGAGAGTTCGTTAATATCCTTCAGATCCTCCTCTCTCAGGGTCCTGACGCCGTTGTGCCACGCGTCTGTTTGGGTACCTGCCTTAGACGTTACTGGCTTTGCCGCCTCTTTAGCTGACTTGTCTAGAGTGGTGGTTAGCTTCCGCACTTCCTCCAATCTTATTTTCGTCCTTCTAGTTAGCTGTTCCATACCTCTTATGCCATTCTTGATTTCAACCTTGGTGTTCTGGTTTCGCTTTACTAGTTCAACTAGAGAGTCTACCTTCTCTTCGATCATTTTTATACTTTCCTCCAGTTCCTTCATGGCCTTCTCTTGATCCGTGTACTCGGCTTTTATCCTTTTTCCCTCTTTTTCTGTTCCCTCTGGGGTTGATCCAGTGCTTCCCCTCTTTCTTTTACTCATCTCCTCAGATTCTTCGTCGCTTGATGTATCTAGGACTATAGCCTGCGGATCTTTAGACTCATCGCTTCCTACGAGAGTGGTATCATTCTGGTTCTGTTGCTGTCGTCCTGTTAGTCTATATAGTGGACTTCCAAAAGATGTTCCCTCCCATTCTGGGGTGGGGATGTCTTCGCCTGTTTCAGTCGTTCCTGAGGCGCCTGATTCCTCATCAGCAGAGTTTTCTCTGATCACGCCGTCGCCGGGGGTGTAATACCTCTCCTCTCGCTCACTAGTTTTCCTAACCTAACCTAACCTAACCTAACTTAACCGAACCTAACCTAACCTAACCAAACCTAACCTAACCTAACCTAACCTAACCTAACCTAACCTAACCTAACCTAACCTAACCTAACCTAACCTAACCTAACCTAACCTAACCTAACCTAACCTAACCTAACCTAACCTAACCTAACCTAACCTAACCTAACCTAACCTAACTATGGTGGTGGTGCGCCATACCATAAAATATAAAGTTTTTGATTTTTTAATAATATGCAAGGCTTCTGTTAGAGATGATGTATTTTCAAACTTGATACATACAGATCATCAAAATATATTCATATAACAAACTTCACAAAACCATAACAACTTAAAACTATAGAAACAACCAAGAAGGTAAAATATATACAGGTAGTTTCGCAAGTGAACACCACAAATATTCCCCCTCCTGAAAAAAAATTACTTATGTTTGATTATAAGTGTTTACTGCGAAGGAGACTTTCTTTTTGTTAGATTTTTGATATATAGTCTCAGATTCGCTAGTTAGTAGAAAAGCAGGTTTTACCCTGTCGATATTGATAATAGTTTCTTTTTCACCCTTCTCTATAACGATATTGTTTGAGAATCTTTTTTTAACTTTATAGGGTCCTTCATAAGGTGGTTTAAGAGACGGCTTGATTCCCTCAACTCTGACAAAAACGTATTTGCATGAATCTAACTCAGGATACACAAAAGGTTTTTCTTTGCTATGATTTGATGTTGTTGTCGGTTTAATGTTCGCAAATAGTTGTCTTAGATTGGCCAATAAAGGATAAGTGTCAATGGCATCATTAGAATTAACGAAAAATTCACCGGGTAATCGCAGAGTTTGTCCATATACGAGTTCAGCCGAAGAGCAATGAAGATCCTCTTTGACTGTAGCTCGTAAACCTAGTAAAATTAAGGGAAGTTCATCTTTCCAGCGATTTGTATTACATCTAGCTATTAAGGCAGTTTTAAAAGTACGGTGAAAACGTTCTACCAAACCGTTACTTTGAGGGTGATAAGTTGTGGTATGGATTTTGTGACACCCTAAAAATTTTGTTAACTCCAAAAATAACCCGGATTCAAATTGAGTACCTTGGTCAGTTGTAATTGTGTGCGGTACGCCAAAACGACAAATGTACCGGTTAAATAAACATTTGGCAACTGTTTCCGCGGCGATATTCGAAATTGGGTAAGCTTCAGGCCATCTTGTGAATCTTTCTACGATCGTTAGGATATAACGATAGTTGGACGATTGAGGAAAAGGCCCTACTAGATCTACATGGATATGTTGGAATCTTCCTTTAGGAATGGTAAAACTTTCTAGTGGGGATTTATTGTGTTTGTGTACTTTTGAACGCTGACAATTTAGACATGATTTTGCCCAGAGTTTGATATCTGAATTCATGTGTGGCCAAAAATATTTACTGCCTACAAGTTTTTTAGATGCTTTGATACCAGGATGACAAATATTGTGCAAATGTTCATACACGCTATATCTGAGGTTTTTAGGTATGTAAGGACGTTGTATAGGTGATGATACTTCACACCATATTTCTATATCCTCATGAGAAATTTTTATTAGTTCTAATATGTGTTTGTTTTGTGTTTTGGTTGATTGATTTTTTAAAAGGTTTTTTAATTCTATGTCAGTATTTTGAGAGTCCTTCAACGATTTTATATTAATTAAATTTTCATTTAAATAGAAAATACTATCGTCAACTCGTGATAAGGTGTCAGCGACCACATTGGACTTACCTTGAATATGACATATGTCAGAAGTAAATTGAGCAATACATTCTAGGAAACGAAATTGACGTGGGCTTTTTTCTGAACAGGATGTAATAGCTTTAGTAAGAGGTTTATGGTCGGTATAAATTGTAAAATCGTGGCCTTCTAGAAAATATCTAAAATGTTTGGTGGATGCATAAATGGCTAACAGTTCACGATCAAAAGTAGAGTATTTTCTTTCGGTAAGAGTGAGTTTCTTTGAAAAGTAAGCTATAGGTTGCCATCTCTTGTTTTGCAGCTGTTCTAGTACAGCACCTATAGAAGTATTGGATGCATCTACTGTCAAAGAAATATGATCATTTAGAGAAGGATGGATAAGCATAGTAGCATTGGCTAATTTGTTTTTGACATCCACAAAACTATTTTCACATTCATCAGACCAATGGTTGATAGTTTTATCGGATTGGTTTTGTAATGTAGTAATTACTTCATATAGAGGAATAAGTGATTTAGCAAAGTCTTTAATAAATCTGTGATAGAAGTTGATCATTCCTACAAAACGTTGTAGTTGTTTGAGATTTTTTGGACGTGGAAAATTTCTTATGATGTCTACACGTTCTTCTGACGGGAGGATACCATCAGAGGAAACAGTATGGCCAAGAAATATTAATTTTTGAGATCCAAAAATGCATTTATTTGGTTTAAGATTAACTCCAAAAGAATTGAGTCGCTCAAATAGAGTTTTTAGGTGTACTAAATGTTCTTTTTCATCTCTGCTTGCTACTAATATATCATCTATATACACGAATAGAAAAGGTAAACCAGAAACAACTTCATTTATAAAACGTTGAAACGTTTGTGCTGAATTTCGCATACCGAAAGGCATTCTCAAAAATTCATACAGGCCAAAAGGGGTAGTTATGGCAGTCTTATAAACATCTTCATCTGCTACCGGGATTTGGTGGTAAGCCCTAACCAAGTCAATTTTCGAAAAAATTTTACATCCGTGTATGTGTTGATTAAAATCTTGAATATTGGGTAAGGGGTACCTATCTGGGACAGTTACATTGTTGAGTTGCCTATAGTCGCCACAAGGTCGCCATTCGAAAGAATCTTTTTTGGGCACCATGTGTAATGGAGAAGCTACTGGAGAAGATGACGGTCTGCATATGCCAAGTTCAACCATTTGTTCGAATTCGATTTTAGCAATATTATGTTTATTAGGATTAAGACGTCGTGGACGAGAAAACGGAAGGCGTCCTTTAGTAATTATGTGATGTTTGACTGAATGTTTGACTGGTGAGAAAAAGTCCGCTGGTGCAAATAAATAAGGATAATTTTGAGCTAGCTTCGTGTATTCGTTTTCAATCGAGAATATTTTGAGTGTGGGGGTATCAGTGTTTACAAATACACTGGAAATTGAAAAGGAAGTTTGACTATCAATGAGTTTTCTGTTTCGGAGATCGACTATCAAGTTAAAATGTGATAAAAAATCTGCACCAATGATTGGCCTAGAAATATCGGCGATTGTAAAAATGAAAGAAAAATGTCTTCTTAAACCTAGATCCAATCTGAGTATCTTTTTTCCATAAGTACAAATAGAAGAACCATTAACAGCAGTTAAGAAGTTGTTGCTATCCTTTTTGTAATCTTTAAAAACTTCACGTGGAACTACAGAAATATCGGCCCCTGTATCGATAAGAAATTTTAATTTATTGTTTTTGTCAAAGATAAAAAGGCGACGACTTTTGTTTGAAATATCTGCACTATTTGTCGTCGAAATAGTGGGTTTTAGTCGTTTTTTGGATCAGGAGATTTAAATGTGTCGAAAAGAAGGCACCACATTCCAGAGCCTTTTTTTGGAATCTCTGATGATAGTAACATACGGAATTGTTTCGAGTTGAAAAACGAGAATGGGACCTACTCCTTGATCGATCTCTATTTCTACAATGACTGCAATAATCATTGTTGTTGGAATTAGAAGGGCAATTTTGTACTTTATTTTGTAAATAACTGATATTTTCTTCAATGGATTTTTGATTACTCGCAAGTTTATTAAGAACAGTTTGACAATTAATTGAAAAATCGCTGAAAAGTTTTATAAAAATGTCGTTACCCTCTGGCGAATTTCTCGTTAAGGCTGTAGACTGAGAGACGTGACATGCCTGACTAAGAGAAGGTTTCTTAATAATGTCATGACAAGCTGAAATATTTGATGCTTGGTACGTCTCCCAAATCTTGTCAGCGATATCTAAAAGATCATTGACACTATCCTTACCAGATGCGGTTAGAGCAACTATAATGGTTTTCGGTAGTCTCCGCTTCCACAGTTTAAGAATTAAATCTTGACTAACCATTTGTGAACCTCCGACAACATTTAACATAGATCTATAAAAATCAGATGGCTTGCAATCACCTATTTCGGAATTGGAAAGAAGGTTATCAAGTCGTCTCTCTTCGCTGGCGGATAATCTGTTGATTAAGGTTTCCTTAAGTATCTGGTAGGAATTTTGCTGGGGAGGAGAAGAAATATCATAAATATTTTAGATTACTTCTAAAGGTAAATTAGCGATAATGTAGTTATATTTGGTTGTGTCAAGAGTTATTTTGGCTAATTTGAATTGCGATTCTACCTGACTAAACCAAATCTCAGGTTTAGCGATCCAAAAAGGTGGAAGTTTAATTGCTGAAATATGTTAATTGGAATTAATTTGGTTATTAGTCTCTAATAAATCAGTTTCGCTCATATTATGTTAATTTAAATAACTAAATTGCAAAAAAAGGAATATTTGTGATTTTCGTACTTACGAAAACGTTTCTTAAATTAAAAAAAAAAAAAATAATAATAAAGTCTAAAAATATTAGGAGTTGGGTACTTGTTTCAATCTGGTGCTTCTAAAGGATTCTGCTTCAAAAGGAAAACTAATTCAGCTTCAATGGACTTGTGGTTTTTTTTCTTTTCGGTCTGGCTAAATAATTTTTGACGAGTTGTCAGAATTTTGTGTGCATCTGTCAGTACATTCCAATTACTGAAATTTCTTTCGATTTGGGAAGATCACGTCGGGGTCACCATTTATGGTGGCGGTGCGCCATACCATAAAATAAAGTTTTTGATTTTTTAATAATATGCAAGGCTTCTGTTAGAGATGATGTATTTTCAAACTTGATACATACAGATCATCAAAATATATTCATATAACAAACTTCACAAAACCATAACAACTTAAAACTATAGAAACAACCAAGAAGGTAAAATATATACAGGTAGTTTCGCAAGTGAACACCACACTAACCTAACCTAACCTAACCTAACCTAACCTAACCTAACCTAACCTAACCTAACCTAACCTAACCTAACCTAACCTAACCTAACCTAACCTAACCTAACCTAACCTAACCTAACCTAACCTAACCTAACCTAACCTAACCTAACCTAACCTAACCTAACCTAACCTAACCTAACCTAACCTAACCTAACCTAACCTAACCTAACCTAACCTAACCTAACCTAACCTAACCTAACCTAACCTAACATAACATAACATAACATAACATAACATAACATAACATAACATAACATAACATAACATAACATAACATAACATAACATAACATAACATAACATAACATAACATAACATAACATAACCTAACCTAACCTAACCTAACCTAACATAACCTAACCTAACCTAACCTTTTTTTAGAAGGTGCAAAAAATGCTTTTACGCACACCCCCTTGGTGGTCTGAGGGGGTAGTGTGGGACTCTAGTAATGCCCACTAAAAAAAAAACCTATCTGGCCGGTCCTCTCCGGGACTGCCTTGCGGTATAACGTCAGAGAGGGTAGCCTTTACTTTGTCTTTATTCATTGATTTATTCCTTGTCTTTCTCTTTCGTCACTCTCTTTTTGCTTGAGGACCTTTGTGATGTACCCTTTTACCAAACTCCAATTTTCCTTAGAGTTGGTCATATGCTGGATCAATTCTTGTGGTGTCATGTGCCCTAGGTTACATTTGAGGGCTAACCTTTCCTCTCTCCATCTGTCGCATCTAAGGATGGTATGCTCTGGGTCATCAACTTCCGCATTGCAGTAGATACACCTGGTGTCTCCTGCTTTTCCAATCCGGTGGGTGTATGATTTGAAGCACCCGTGCCCACTGAGGAACTGGGTCAGAAAGTAGTCTGTTTTCCTGAAACGGTAATCAAGCCACTCCCTCAGGTCCGGTATTAGTACCTTTGTCTACTGTGCAACGCATACCAGTTCGTCCCATCTTCTACACCATTTGTCGTTTGTTATTGACTTTTCTAGTCTATTGTCCTCGGGGTTTCTGTCGGACCTATGCATTCTACCCCTTTCCTCTATCTGCAGATTAATCGGGGGAATCCCACTTATGGCGGCCAAGGCTTCTCCGGACACTGTTCGGTATGCACAGGTGACTCTCGGCAACATCGCCCTCTGTGTACTAATTAGCATGTTTTTATGCTTCTGTATCTGAACTACTTTCTCCCATACTGGTGCCGCATACAGTAATATGGATGCGGCGACACCAGATAGCATTTTTCTGCTCATCATACCCGGACCTCTCATATTTGGCGGTTATGTTTAGGAGATAATCGCTTATCCCTATCTTTCCTAGTGATTCCAAAATTTTGCTCCATTTAGCCGTATTAAAGGCATTTTGGATATCTATGAAAATAACAGCACCCCAGGTCCATTGATGGCTCGTAGCATCACAGATCAAACGTTCAATCGCCTGAACGGTCGATCTTCCTTCCCGAAATCCGAACTGTCTATCCGATAGACCTTGTCTTTCATTGATCTCTTCCTGCATCCTCTTCTTTATCAGGTGTTCAAAAAGTTTACCCATAATGTCAGTCAGGCATATAGGTCTGTATTTTTTGTCCTGCGTGTCGCCCTTTGGAATAAGCACGACCTTTGCCTTTTTCCACCTCCTAGGAAAGACTTGTGATTTTAGCAGTTGATTTGCCATCTCCAGAAATCGATGTGGGAACTCTTCTACTGCGATCTTTACTGTTTCTGCCAGGATGCCGTCTGGTCCTGGGGCCTTTTTCATTTTTAGCTTGGCTGTTGCACGTTTATGTTCGTCTAAACTGAAGGGAGTTGGTTCAGGACACCGTATCTTGCCCGAGATTGGTATGTCCCTAGTTTCGGGGAAAAGTTCCTTGACCTTTTGGATCTTTACCTCTGCCGGTAGTTCGTATGGTTCTATCAAGTGCTTGAACCTATTTGTAACAATTTTATATCCGTTACCACAGGGATCGTTCTCAAGTTCGTCGCACATTTCCCTCCAGCTACTGGCTTTGGCCTTTTTGATAGTGATTCTAAGTTCCCTTCTAGCCTGCTTGTACTCGTGTTCCAGCTCATTGATAACTTCTGCCAGCATTTTTCCTTCCCGTCCCCTTGTCAATTTTCTTCTGACGCGTAGGCATAGGTTTCTGCTCCTCTGGACCTCTTCGGTCCACCAATGAGGCTGCTTTTTATTTGTCGTCCTAGTTTTACCGCTGCTACTTTTTTGTGCCTTCGAGATAGTATCTATGAACTCGCCCAGATCCATGCTTCTATTAGTAGTCATTTTTATTAGGAATCTAAGCAGGGTCTTGTCCAGGAACCACGTTCCTTGATTCCTCTCAGCTTTTTTTTGGTGCGGTCCCCCTAATAATTGTAAACGTGATATATCTGTGCAGGCTTTAAGATTCCTCCTCCGCGTGTACCTTCCAGTCCTCGATTTTTCCGACCGTGTTTTTGGAGCATAGAGTCAGGTCCAGGAATGATTTTTGTTCCCTCCTCACGAAAGTTGGTACCAAACCATCGTTTATTACTGTAAAATCTAAAGAGTGTAGCCACTCCTCCATATAGGCTCCTCGGGCATCCATAAATCCTGCGCCCCATGTGGGGGATTTGCAGTTGAAGTTACCAACGACTATCGCCTCTTTACCACCTTATCTGACGTCTTCCATAACCCCATCGATGTATGCCTTGAAGGTTTCCCTATTTACATTAGGGGAAATGTAGCAATTGTAGAGCGACCATGATTCAAAATTTATTTTAACAAAGCCCCTTCCACAGTAGAGCGATTTTACTCCGCAGTTCCTATTTACGCATCTCGTTGCTACCACCTGACAGTCGTCCACTATCCACCTTTTGTCTCTTCTAGTCTCTGTAACATTTGGTTCCTGCATAAGGATAATATCCATGTTATTTTTCTGGGCCATACGGTTTGCGAGATCCTGTGCTCCATTCCTCCTATCGATATTGATTTGGAGTACCTTAATGTGTGTCATGTCTTAAATATAATATATATACAAATAAACAAATAAAATATATACAGGTGTTTTAAACGTTAAGTATGTGTTACCGTGTGTACGCTAATCTCATCCTATCACCCCGTCTAATGGCGTCTCTAAACCGTGGGCACTTAAAGCTGGCATTTCGGTGATCATCTGTCTTACAGGTCCAGCAGTAAACCTTTTCCCCTTGGCATTCTGCTGCCTTATGCCCTTCGTTTCCACACTTCCTGCATTTTTCGCCTATTGGAGTCTCTTTGCAGTCCTTTGCCAAGTGGTTGATGCTTCCACATCTGTAGCATCTACCAACCTCCACTCTTTCCTTTAACCTACACCGACTCCATCCTATCCTTATCCAGGGTTCCCTCAACAGTATGTCTGTTGTTTCCTCCTCTATGTCCACCGTTGCCGCCTGTCGGCCCCCTGCCATGGGCCTTAGAGATCTGACCTCAGCCGTTCCCTTTCCCGTATATGATTCTACCGCACTGCGGCCGTTATCACAGCATCCACGTCGTATATGTGTATCGTAGTCCTTTTTCCCTTGAGAATCTTTACCTCCGCCCCGCAGATGGTTTTACTTATCTCCTCATGTAGTGCCTTAGTACCCTCATCATCCTCCAGTTCTACTATCAGGTCTCCAGCCCTTGATTTCCGGATAGCTCTTATTCCTTCCGGTACCTTATCCTTGTTTTTGTTTTTGTTTTTAGGTCTCTTAGGATATCCTCGTACGTTTTCTCTTTGTTTGTGATCATAATCGCCGGTGTCTTCTGTTTCTTTTTCCTTGTTATGGCTGCCCATTTCTCCCCCTCCTCAACTAGTTGCGTGCCCATATCGTATAGTATTACTTCTTCCGCGGCACCCCTGAGGGAACACTCCACTATTTTTCTGAACCTTGCGTTAAGCACTCTGGGGTCCGCCATGATTACAATCTTTCCTCCTTCTCCAGTCTCCACTTTATTTCTTATGGTTCTGAGTAGTCTATAGTCGTCTTCATCCTTTAGGCTTACACCTGCCAAATATATTGCCTGCCCGGCCTTTTTTGACATGACTTGGCCATCCATAGTCAGTTCCGTTCTGTCTTGTAGCTTCGCCACCCCTACTTTCTTTATTTTTTTCATTTGGATTATCTCCCTTATGGCCTGCTGCCCTGTGATGTTTATACTCCCATTTTCTCCCTCTGGGTCTAACATCACCACCGTATCTGCATCCCCTGGAAGAATGGCTGGGTTTCCTCTATATATTTTGGTCTGGTAGGCTTCTCTCTCCCAGTCCTTTTCGCACATTAGCTTAGTGCTTTCCCATGTTCCCTCTGCTCCCTCCTTATCTACGTCATCTTTTGTTATTTTACTATTTTCATTTACCTGTATCGCCATATCTTTAGTCTGTACATCTGTACACGACTCTTCGGTTTGAGTTTCTATCTCATGCGTAACTGGTTTGTTTGCAGATCCCCGAACTAGTTCTGCGGCCCTTTCCGTGACTGTGGAGAGTTTTTTTACCTCCCTCGCTAGGTATTTAATAGCGTTCTTAATTTCTTTCTTTGTATTTGTGTTCCTCTCAGCTACCTTGCTTGCTGATATCAGCAGATCAGCCACGTCTGTTTTTGGGGAGGTCGCCTGTACCTCCTTCCTTGGGAGTGAAAATCCTATTTACTAGCGTCATCTGTTTTAAACAGGGGTCCCGTCGTTACTCTTTTGCTCCACCTGCTATTGTCGTCAATGGATATCTTAGCTTCTTTGGACCTGCTTCCCGTCCCTTCCGGGGAAGACTCGTTGCTCTCCCTTTTCCTTTTCATAGCATCCTCGTTGTCCTTCTCATCGTCGCTAATGAGTATCTGCTCCTGTTCTTTTACTACTTCAATGGCCGTTCCTCGTTATCATTGCTGGACCCATGACCTGTCAGCTTATACAACTCGCTATCAAAAGCTAAAGATCCTTCCCATTCTGGCGTAGGAGTTTCCAGACCTAGAGACTCTGAACCCGATTCTGAGGCTACAGAATCCCTCTCCATTACGTTAAACGTACTCAGGTTATCCATATCTTCCTTATCTAACCTAACGTTGGGGGGTGTCCTTTGGATAGAATCTCTCCGTTTAAACACGTCATTCACCACATCTTCCACGATTGACTGTCCCATTGCTTCCGTCGACTCAAACCCTCTGTCAGATTTGTCGTCTTTGCCACTTTTTTCTCCGTAATTATTTATATTTAAATTTTCCATTTGTTTCCCACGAGATAGGCAGAAATATATAGTCCAGCAGTACAGTGCTCCTTTGTACTGCTAAGGCATTCCTTTCGGCTACCCCGCACGCCCTCGCCATGGCGCCGGGGGGCTGCTCGCGACCCTCTTCGGGGGGCCATTCATCCCTCCCCGCAGTTGCCCAGGGTTAGATTCCGTTTAATTTTCTGTCAGGGTTTTCCTTCCCTTAGCCGATGGTCCCCGTTTTATGGCGCCGGGAACTCGCCATTCGCCCTCCCGTTCTGGGTCGGACTTGTCGGTTTGCTTTTGTTAGCTGGGCGTGGTGTTCTTGAGACTGGTATTTATTGGTGTCACGTTATCGGCATAAGTGACCCCACCAGTGCCCCACCGACCGTTTTTGTTTGTCGGCTTCACTACCCGTTCCCGTCCCGTAAGGCTCGAGAGCAGGGAGCTACTGAACCACTCTACCAACGGTAAGGTCTTACAGCTGCTAGGAGTGAAACCTAACCTAACCTAACCTTTTTTTTTTGTTGAGGGGAAACCGCATGGCACCAGCCGCTGAGTCTATGCAACTGGTAGTGCCGGGCGCTACTCCGACTAAAACCCCTCATTCACCTTTGTGGTGTCCTTGCTCCATCCTGGGACCGCCTTTCGGCATAACATCAGGATGGGGACTGTAACTGTGAATGATTATGGTCTGTATTTCAGGTGTGCAGATGTTTTTTACGCTCCTCCCATTTCCTGGTAGTCTCGCTCTTCTTCTTCTTTTTTGCTTATAATGAGACTTATTTCGCTAGCTATTGCGTTCCAGTTTTCTTTGTTTTCCATCATTTCGCCAATAATATTTTGTGGGGACAGGTTCAGTTCGATGATTTTACTTCGGCTGTACCTCCACCTTATACACGAGAAAACTGTGTGCTCCGGTGTATCTTTGGCTCCACAATATATGCAGTGCACATCGTCTGCTTTTCCGATTCTGTTGGTAAATTTGCGGAATGATCCGTGCCCGCTTAGAAACTGTGTACTGTAATAATTCACCGTACGGTGTGTGCAGTCTATCCATTTTTTGATATTTGGGATTAACTTCTTAGTCCACTGCGCGACGCTGGTGATTTCATTCCAATGTCCTTGCCACTGCCTTATTGTTTCGTCACGCTCCTCCTTTCTGGTGCTTTCATCGATTTCTTCACCAGCTCTCTTTCTTGCATGTAGCCTGACCCTTTCCTGTATCAGAAATTTTATAGGTATTATACCGGAGATGACGTTTGCCGCTTCGGCCGAGATCGTCCGGTATGCACTAATTACCTTTAAATTAGTTCTCCTCTGGAGTGCCTGGAGTTTATTTGAGTATTTTTTAATATCTGCGGCTCTGTGCCATACTGGGGCCCCATATAATATTATTGAATGCACCACTTGACTGAGCACGACTCTTTTTTCTGAACTTGGTCCACCTATATTGGGCATCAGCTTTGCCAAGGCTGAATATGATTTTTCCGCCTTTTCCACTGTTTTTCTGACGTGTTCGTTGAAGATTAGCTTATCATCTATATAGATACCGAGGCATCTAGCGCTTTTTGTCGGTTGGATACTTATGTCTCCTAAAGTGAAGCTGATGCCCTCCCTTTTCCTAGGTCCTTTAAAAATTACTGCCTCCGTTTTTTGGCCGGCGAGCTTGAGTTTATTCCGAGTCATCCACTCGGTTATCATTACTAAAGAGGTATTTGCCTTCTCGATAAGACCCCTTTTGGATCCGGACCTTATTATAAGGGTGAGATCATCGGCGTAAGCCACCGTCTCGCAGTCATCGGGAAGTTCTAGTCTCAAAACTTCATCGTAAAGGACGTTCCAAAGCAACGGGCCAAGTACCGAGCCCTGGGGGACTCCTTGACTCATTTTCTTACTATATCCCTTTATGTATATCTCCCTGTCCTTAAAGTAGCTTGTTACCAGATTTAAGAGCCACCTTGGCGTGTTCGTGTTCCGGAGTCTATTTTTTATTATCGACCATTTGGCGGTGTTGAACGCGTTTTGTACATCTATACAAATCATTGCCTGCCAAGGTTGCCTGGTTCTGCCAATGATGGCCACCACCGCCTCTACCGTGGATTTCCCCTTTCTAAATCCGTATTGTGCGTCACTTAGTTCTATGTAGTTCTCCAATTTTATCTTAATGAGCTGTTCAAGCACTTTCCCCAGAACATCTAATAGACATATGGGTCTGTATTTTTGGTTTCCTTTAGGGATTAACGCCACTCTGGCCTTCTTCCATTCTTTCGGTATTATTTGAGTTGTACCTATTTTGTTGAACACCCTTAGGAGTTCCTCTGGAATTACTCGGGACGCCAATTTTACCATTTCCGGGGTTATTTCGTCTTGACCTGGTGCCTTCCCTGCTTTTATTTTATGCGTAGCGACCATTAGTTCTTGTTGTGTGAACGGTTCGTGATCCTCCGCTCTTACCCAGATTTCCTCTTCTTCGTCTACGTAGTCCGGGAACAACTCCATTATAGCGGTTTTCCTTTGCATGTCTGTTAGTTCGTATTGGGCGTTCTGTTGCCTAAGGTGTTTAACAGCGATCCTGTACACTTGCCCCCATACGTCCCGTTCGAGTTCTCTGCATAGATCTTTCCACTTCTCCTTCTTTGCTTTATTAATTTTATATCTATACTCTTTTTTTGCCTCAGAGTAGTTATGTTCAAGTACCATGATCCTGCCCCGCATCCTTTCCGCTCTTCTTCTGGCTCTGGTGATTTGTCTGCGGAGTGTGTTACAGGCTTTTTCAAAACATGCTTTGTCGAGTTGGCTCCTTGGTCTAAAGGGGTTTTGCTTTCTTTTATTTCCCTGTAGGGTTAACTCAAAGGTGATGATGCGGTTTAGGCTCAATGACTCTTCCAATGACACACTCCAGTTCCTGGTGCTTCTGTAGGTACGCTCAGAGGCCAGAGTGATATCTATGTAAGATTCACTGTTTCCCCTTACGAAAGTTGGTGTACATCCGTCGTTCAGGGCAACTATGTTTAGGGCTGCCATCCAATTTTCTATGTATATGCCCTTCCCGTCTGTAGCAATTGGGCTCCATAGACTTGATTTACCGTTTAGATCCCCCAAGATCATGAAATTTGTATTGTTTTTTGTCCTCGTTTCTTCCATTATCTCGTCAATTTTTTCCTCATATTCCCTTCTAGGCGTGTTTGGGGACACATAGCAGTTGTATATATCTATGCCGTTAACTCTTATTCTGACATATCCTGTTCTGCAAGAATGTTCCCAAATACCTACCCTTTTATTTCTAATTATGACGGCTACATCTTTCCTTGTGTCTGTGATTAGGCCTAGGTTTTCTGTGGTCTTCTTATTGGGCTCTTGCAGAAAAATGAGATCGATGTCCTCCCGTATAGCCATTGCAATTGCAGCGTCGTGCGCCCTTGTCGATCGTCCTACGTTGACCTGTATAACCTTTACCGGCATTATGGTATTAGTGCAGAAATATGTGGTTAAATTTTGTGTAGAGAGTAAGAGATAGAGATGGTGAAGGTGTTGCCTGTGTGTATGTACAGAGTGTGTAAGCTAGCTTAGCTAATAATAGTATAATATGTACAGAAGAATTAAAACAGATAGAGTAAGGTAGCGTAGAGTAGGTGAAGTATAGATAAAAGTTATTTACAAAATATTTACAAGATATTTACAATGAGAGCTTTCACTCACCAGGATTATATGTAAGTAGTCCTCCTGAGACTGTTTGGGATTTATTTGGGTGGGGCGGTGCCCCGTCATGTTCTGGATTGGGAGTTAGCCTTCCTGATTTCCTCCCTGAGGGCTCGTTGATATCTGGGACACCTGTTGTTTGTGTGCCCCTTTTCGTCACAGGTCCAACAAAAAGGCACGTGATTTGCGCATGTTCTGGCGAAGTGTCCGTTTTCTCCACATTTCCTACATCTGTCGTCTCTTTTTGGGCCTCTGCACTCCAAGGCCTTATGGCCCATGCCCCAGCATCTGTAGCATTTCTCGAATATGATCCTCTCTCGGATCCTGCAGCTTGTCCAACCGATTTTTACGCTTCCCTTTGCGAGGATTTCTGGAACGTGCTTCTCTTCTACGAGAATTACAGCAGTCTGTCTTCCTCCCATGGACTCTCTCATGGATTTGATTTCTACCTTAATACCCGTTATGAGGTCCTCCATCGCGTTTGTAATGTCCTCACCCGTTGTAACCGCGTCCATATCTTGAACATAGAGCGGGACTCTGTTGTCCCCTGCCGTTCTTATGGTCCCTCCTTCTAACTTATTTGAGAACACGTCTTTCAGTTGCTGTATGTCCTCCTTTCTATTTAGAGTTACCAACAGGTCCACACTCCTGGTTTTTTTTAGGTCCCGCACCCGGTTCCCTACATCCTCTGCGCTAACCTTATTTCTGACGTCTCTTAGAAGCTCCGCGTACGTCTTTCCTCTGGCTTCGACTATGAGGGCTTGAGTTTCGTACTCCTTCCTCTGTCTCCTGTGAGCCAGCGTCCACCCCTCACTTGATATATTGTTCCTGTCGGGTACTAGTTCCGTATCCATGTTGAAAATCATGACTTCCATCTCCTCTGCCCTAAATACACATTCTATTATTTTTCTTAGTCTTTCCGATAGTGCCTTAGGGTCAACCAACATAGCCGCCTTTTTTACTTCCTCCTTTTTCAGCCTCTCCTTTAGCTTCACTAGCATTCTGAAGTTATCTTCCTCCTGTTTGCAGAGGCCCGCCAGGAGTATCGACCTCCCCGTCTTCTTTGTGAGGGTCTACCCATCGATGTTTAGATGCCTCGTGTTTTGTAGTAAGGCTACGGTCCCCTCCTCGATTTTGCCCATTTCGATGACATCTTTTATATGCTCCTGCTTGGCCATATTAATGTTCGTGGGGCCTTCAGCTGGGTTGTACAGGATCACTGTGTCTATGTTGCCCGACATCGCTGTTGGGTTCCCTTCGTGTATGGCAGTCTTCGTAAATGCATCTTTCGCCCATTTTAAATAACACGTCCGGTC